TCTTATTTAAAATATTTCAGTGTCAGGAATCTGTAGAAGTGGAGGGCTCTTGTTACAAGTTTATGTGCTTCTCAGCTTAAGGTGTAGATATAAAAATTGGATGGATTGTCACAACCTTTCTCATAAATGAAAGTGTGAGACTTAAAAACAGTGATACACAAACCAGTGTTGACCCCCTTCATTGACATCAGTACCCCAGATTTGTAGAGTGAGTTTGGAAATTAGGTCATACACAGTAACCAACATTTATAAATGCAAAACAAAAAAAGAAAAAGGGGTAGAAATGTAATAATTGTTTCTATCTTGCCAAAAACATAAATGTGTGCATCACTGAGGGAGGACCTCGATCAACATCAGCAGGGTATTGTAAAACCATAGTTTGTCCGTAATATAGGCTATATTCCATATTATATGCCAGTCCATTGTTTTTTATTAGAATAATCAATGCATCTGTAGTTCCATGACTATAACCAGACATGATCAGAGCCCATTATTTTCCAAAGATGGTATTTTTGTATCTTTTTTTCATCTTTTTTTTAACCTAAGATACAGGTACATGTTGTCGTAAACAAAGAAAAATATGGAAGCAATTCTTCATTCTGCTTGTAAAACTCAAGTTTATCACTCATGACATTCAAACTTTGTCCAAAAGAATTACAAATCATTGTTTTGCACTCCACATTAGATTGGATCTGGTATCCAATTAGCTATTTCCCTGCTGACTTGACCAGGCTAAGTATCCTTTGTGCCACAGGATTCCCCACTCGCATAACAAAAGTATTTTTCTTCTGAGATCCACTTCATTAACCAGACTAATATGTTGCAAAATGTTTATTCAAATGAGCCAGGATCAAATTCTGTAAAATGAATGAGAAAATGTTTAAATGAATTGTGCTTGAAGGGGGGAAAAAGTATTTTGGAATTAATTAAACATTGAAAGGGTATCAGGGTTGAAAAAGAATGCTTGTTCATTTTAATTATTTTCTCTTCATTTTGCTGTTATTTATCATCGTCATTCATCAATGTCCAATGTCAGCAATGAGTACCCATGAAAAATAGAATAATTATGTATTATTGTCATCAACCTGACAGTGAAAGTCATTGTGAACAACTGATTGGCTGTTGTTTTGAGGACAATGGACATTGTGAGGTTTGATTGGCTTCTGCCAGATGAAAGATTATTTTTCTTCTAGACTGATTGGGCTGCGCAATGTTTCACCTGGATGGCTCCAAGGCGTCTTAGCATAGAAAGTCATTTTCCTGTTGCTCTTAAATGATGCTGTGATCTGATAGGGTTTTGCAGGACATGGGCTGGGATAAGCCACATGTGACAGTCTGTCAGGTCACCTCGCATCAGGAGGCGCAGAGATGAGACAGCAAACACTAAACAGTAACAATACACACACATGAATATAGGGCACGTCCAGCCATTCAACTGGTAGTGATTCAGACAGTGGGGAAGACGTGGAGAAATGGAAAGGCTCGATTTACAAGAAACAGGATGCTGAAACCTCCAAACCGCTCAGCTCTCTGATGAATGCGGTGACCTAATGGACTTACAAAGAGTTGCAATAAGAAATTCTTCCAAAACAACGCTCCATCAGTTCACTAACAGTCAGCAGACAAAAACACCTAATAAAACATTTACCTTTGTCCATATCCATATACAAGATCCTGGGCTACTGTTTTTCTTGTAATCGTGTTTGTTTACCAGGTTTAGTAAAGTTGGGTCTGTAAAGTGATTCTTTGCATGATTGTATTAAGCTGACTTATAATTCATCTCAAAATTTCACAATCGGTCACTTTAAGGGATATTTTGTAAAAGTTCTGTCAAAAGGAAAAGAGCGTTATGCACAAGAATGTTACACCTTTTTCTGTTCAGGTCAATAGTTGCTTACTGACATACAGTAAGTGTAACTTTCATTCAAGTGAGCAATATTCATACTTAAAACAATTCCCATAGCCAGTAACGACAGATAACTTCAGTCTTGATGAGAGCTCCATCGGGTCAAATTTTCAGATGAACCTGCCAGTCCAGAAGACATTTCTTTATCCATTTTATATCCCCAATGACAGGAATAAGCTATATCCGTTATTATTTTCAGTGCTCAAATATTAAGTTGCAGAGGAGAATGTAACTATTTTTTTCATGCACTCTTATTAATCATTTATCTTTTTATTGCATCTGATAAAGTGCAAAACATTATTTAAGAACAGTACATGATTTTGACTGGTTGGTGTATTTTCAGCTATTTTTTTCCACATTGGTTCCCCTTAAATACACCGTGAAGGAGAAATAATTGTGTCATCATTTCTAGAATTAGTCAGCATGTTTAGATGAACCTCTGACCTAGAAAAGCACAGCGGGAGAATAACGTTGTTTCACACAGTGTATCCCAGTATGCTGGGATAGGGGGAATTCTACGGTCTGAAAAGGCACTTTTGTGTCCTGGTGACAAACTCACCATACGTAACCCAGATTAAATCCAGACACATATAAATAACAACGATTTGCACATTTCAGTTAAACTGGTGATACACGTTTATGCTGTGCTCAAGTCATTATGAAAGACAATACTGTCTTCAGGGTCATTATGTAACAATTAATATATTAATAAAATTCCTTTTTTTGTTGTTCTTGCTTTTTTGGGCTACAGGATGGTTGGTGAATCCTGCATTAAAAAAAACTAAAGCTTTGGGGACAGTATTCTGAATCCGCTACCGGATCGATATTCCAGGCAAACCAGTAAATACGCTGCTACAGTAATCATGTCTCCTGAAGATTAATGTGTGAGGCATAGGAAAAAAATCACATAGACCCTCAGACGATATGTGGTACATCATGTAATTGGATGGACAGTAACAATTTAATCTATTTATTTATATGATCTTTCCACTGCAAATACAGCCAAACATAACTTTGAAAACAAAACTTAATGATTAGTAACAATGCATGCAGTCATATTTTTGCCCTTTACATCATGGTTGTGGTTATTTCAAAACTAGCCCTATTATTGAGCTTTTACTGGTTGCTGTAAACATCACAGAGCAAAGAAATTAGCAAAATATTTACTGGAAAGCTTATTATGAAACTAATAAATTGAACACAACATCCATCTTAATTCACAGAAATCGAAACAGAAAGGACTGTTTTGATTGGTGAAATGGACAAAATATTTAATCATGAACATTCTATTCATTTTCATTTATCTGAAACATTGGTATTTCCATGTATTGTTTATGCGATACAAAGTATATTAAGGACACTTAAATAAAAATGTACATTATAACATTAGCATTATTTGCAGATGTCCCTGTGACTCTTGAACAACACAACACTTGTTTTCCAGTCTTGAAGGACACCATGGCTCACAAGAGCAGTTAAGAAAATATGTATTCGCTACATCGATGTGATGGAAAAATCAAAGTTGGATTATTTTCATCTTGAGGGGAGGCTGTGTGTAGAGACTATTTAAACCCAGCTAGAGTTGAAAAGAAACTGAATATGACCAAATGTGCAGTAATTTGTGGAGGGATTTTCCCCACTCAGCAAAATGTGTTGCTGTGACATCTTTTCAAAGATTAATTTAATGGTATTAGAGCTAAGGCCTCATAAGTTTGTGATCAGACAGATTTTTCATGTCAAATGTGATTCATTGAACGCCCTGATCAATGCATGACACTGTGGCTTTGATGACTTATGAACCATAAATCATGAAAACAAGTGTGCATCAGATCTTTAGGAAACCTGATCAGAGTTTCAGCTCCTCTGAAGGACACAAAGACAAAGCGTGATGAAACAGTTATTAAATCCCAAGCGAGCGCGACCATCTCTAGCCTGAGCGGAGGAGAAAAGGGGAGGCGTGACCATGGAGGGGGTGACCGAGCGAGACGCAAAATGAAGAAATGCAGAGATGAAGCGATAGAAAAATAAAGGTCCTGGCAGAGCCTGGAGAGAGAGGCAAGTGTAAAATTCCTTTTCCTGAGTCATTTATCAATCATTGTAAAATCAAAGTTACAAAGTGATATGTTCTAATTTTACACTGAGCAATAAAACTTTATTTGCGGTTGATATAATACATATAATGTACATATAATGTACATATATGATATTATATGATCTTATATATACACATATAATATACATATAATTAAAAAATGTTTTAAAAAACAACATTGCTTTATTGGGCAAGAATATCTTGTGTATTTGGATGGAGGGAGTTAGTATTAGGTTTTCAGGAGGAAGAAAATTGCACTAATGATAAACTGACTGAAAAGAGGAGTTCAGTGTACATCAAAAGGAAAGCAATTTTCTGTGTTTTTCCAGTCATTATCAAGTAGGTACGGGTAAACATTTGTTCCTGGACAGCTAGTCCAACAAGTTGAGCAATTTGTCTTGTTCAGAAAACTGCTGCACAATAATTTGAAGAGAAAAAAGGAAAAACTGCAGATGTGCTGCTTCTGCTGTAAAAGGGTATCCATCTTGTCCTCATTTCCTAACAATTCAGCTGTTTATGATAAAGAGTGAGGTGAAAAAAAAAGGAAAAAAAACAGAATGGGGCCTTGAGGGAGCCTGTTTTTTTTCCAGTGTGCTTTGCTTCAAGGGTCCGAGGTGGCAAGTAACCATCAGTTTAAAGCACTGCTGGTCATCAGATAAGACCACATTGTGAATACTTCTAAATAAGCCCAGGTCAACCCATCCTTTCTTTGGTCCTGTGATAAAGTTACGTTAAAGTCTTAACCCGCACATGTTTGTTGTAAACGTATCATCGTTACATATAATGTTTTTCCTGTAGATTCATTTGACTCCCTTTTCTGATGTGAAGCACGGGGACGTGTGACCTTGAGCTGGAACTTTCAGTTAGCTGTCCCACAGCGCCACCTGCTGGTGATCAAAACACTTCATTCATTTCAACATTATTGTTGCTGTATGTCTTGTGTAGCTGCTCTTGATCTGACCTGCTGCCTATCTTTACAAGGAGACCTATAAAAAGAAGGCGATTGAAACGATTTAATACAGCATTAATCAAGTAGACTTACATCTGCACTAACTGGGTTTTCAGCTGTCTGAGGCAGGTGTGGAACTACTTCAACTATTTAATATACTGCTGAGGGGTTTTTAATCGAGCAATATATTTTCCATTACTGTATATTTAACTTATGATATATCTAAGTTCAAACTCTGGTCACATGGTAACGAGGGATTTTAAAATCTTGTTGATAACCAATCAATTCTTATCATGACACATTGCAAACTTTTAGCACAAACTGTGTAAATTAAAAAGAAAAATATAAAACAAACATAGATAAAAGATTTGAAATGTTGACATCTTTTCCCTATAATACATATGCCTGTGCCAACAGAAATTAAGGAACATTTTTAAGACAAAGAAATCCTTGTTTCTAAGAAGGCTTGGAGCAATTGTCACCCGTCCATCCAGCGTAACAACCACATCGAAACTCAGATTTCATGAACTGCTCCTGAGATGCTCCCATCTGTCCTACAACCTGGTAGTTCCTCCCTCCTGTTGGCTTCTTCTCAGGCACCACCCTCCATGCAGCTGGGTCGAGGTGGAGGAAGGATTTGGAGTCCAGGTTCCTCCTCCGGCACCGTCCTTTGGAGGAGCACATGGTCTGACTGCAGAGGACTGCGGCTGCCGTCACATTGACCAGGTAAGGACCCAGAGTCTGATCAAGAAACGACTTCACAGCCTCACAAGTAGCCTGGACATAGAAACAAATATCCCAAATATAATACAGAATAAAACAGGAAAATGAAACGTGTCAAAGCTCAATCAGAAGTGAGGGCTCTGTGACAACATTAACTAGAAAATTAATACACAAATATATATCAAACACATCCAATAATTATAGATAATAAAGCTCAAATAGAGCACTTTTTCAAACTAGACCTGTAAAATTAAAGAGAAAAAAATATAAAAAGTTTACCACATGAGGATGGGTTTTATGTGACTTAAAACTTGAAAAACAAATCAGAATTGTGTTTGATATGATTTACCTTGGATTTGGAAAAGGCCCGGTCCCCCCAAAGCACCACCCCGGCAGACCCTAAAGCAGCACTCTCTCCAATCGTGTAGACCAGGTGTTTCTGCGGGATGAGAAGGTGAAAATATGAACATCTGATGAGAAGAATGGCAAACCTTTTCAGTCTACAAACGTGCTTCTTGCCTGTGAGAGGAAATCCAGCGTGTAGGTGTAGACGATGCGGGCGTAGGGATACACAGGAAGTGCTGATGGGGTGACCTGAGCCGCGGCCCTGGCGGCCTCCAGGATGCGGTGGTGAGCGTAGAGGAGCACCTCTCTGTCCAGGCCGCGCAGCTCCAGGCTGAGGTAGATGTCCGGATACAGGGCGGAGGAGGCGTTCCACAGCCAGAACAGCTGGTCGTTCCTCTTCAGCTCCACAACTGGACACTCCCCCGAGTAGTTGGCGCTTTTGGCACTGTAGTGGTTGTAGCAGTTGGGAAAACCGTAATACCCCCACAGGCCACTTGGTCTCATTTGCTGGCCAAGTTTCAAAGTTTCCTCCATGAATTTCCTCCCGGCTTTCTCAAACTCCACCCGCGCCGCGGCCTCCACCTGCGCCGGGCTCCAGTCTGGGTGCCTGGATCTGACCAGCGCCCTGGACCCCTCCCAGTACACCTGCTTACTGTCCCAGTTTCTCTCCCATAAAGGTCGCCAGCTCTCCCAATCTACCACCGCCAGGCCCTGGAAATCCCTGTCAGCGATATAGGTGCGGATATCTTCACGGGCGGCTCTGAGGTGGTCGTCCAGGCTGGCGTTCTGGGGCAGTCCCCCGTTAATGGCCTCCCCCTGGACAGAGTACCTGGGATACAGACCGAGCTTTTCCGCATAAAAGATGGTAATGTTTTCACCCATGAAGGTTTGGTTCTGGTTCTGGACGATGCTGAATGTCCCCAGGTCAAGGTCCACGCCGTACTGAGAGAGGCAGCTGGCAGTTGGGGCGTTCCACACAGAGAGGAAAGGCACGTGGGAGAAAGACGATGTTGGGGTCTGCAGCCCAGAAACCAGGCAGGCCAGGCCCAGGAGGTGTAGGTACCACATCCCTGCACATGACAAAAGAAAAAAAACCTTTACATAAACTCAGATGTTTTGTGAAACTTACCTATTCCTTTTCTTCTTCTTTTTTTTCAGTTGTTCTTTAAGATCAACTTGCTGGTTTATTTTATGATCTCCCTTTAGCACATAGAGTTTGGATTTTTGACCATAAATGTTTATCTGTTCTATCCTTTCCCAGATAAACACAACTGTTTGTGGATTACCTCCACTGGACTAAACAAGCACCCAAAATGTTTATAGAATCTTAAATGAAATGAGAGAAAAACTAAAAAATCCTGACTTACCTGGTTTATATGTGGAAAAGGACTTTAGATTGTGGTTTTCTCCAGAAACCAGAAGTCTCATGATCTGACTAAAACTTGCATGGAAAAGGGAAGTACAAAAAACAGAACCAATCATTCCTATGCACAGCGTTTCTAAAAACCAATGAGGAGAGACATGTAAATCATGTGCAGCAGATTTAAAGGCACAGGCATACTCAAACTGATCCACTCACTCTTGGCTTTCCTGAGCTGAGTTTCAACTTTGTTCAATATACACATTTAAACACCACTAAAAATACGCAGTTTGTTGAGTTTTGGTACAGCTTCTGAATATCTCTCTAAAGGACTATCAAGCAAAGCCATAATGAACTCCTCCTCGTCCAGATTTGAGTGTAAGTGTTGCTCAACTCTTAAATGTAGTAAAAAATAACTCTTGGCTAACAGCACCCTACAATTACATGGGGAAGGGGTATGAGTCTGCAGACAGTGTCCCTCCCAAAGAACACAAGTCTTTGAGTCCCCTGACCAAGGGTGAGCCACCACGGCTTCAACACGAAAACGTTAACTTTTAACGGCTGAGAATGAAAAAATAACCTACCTGTAAAACACCAGAACAGAAAATTAATTCATACCTTTTGTGATGCTTAAAAGATGTTATAAACACAACAAGTGAAACAACACGGGGTCAACAAAAGAGGTTTATTTAATATGACTGACAAACATTGATTTAAGATGCTGGAAATTTGTCACAAAGTGTCCATGATTGGCTTTTTATGTTATGAAAGAAGGACAGGGTCGCCTTTGACGGAAAGAGAGACGAGCAGTGTTTCAATAGAAAACTAGTAGTCATGATTTGGACATAAAATAAGGAGATGTCACATAAAACACTGAAAACAAACATTTCAATAAATAGTACAACGCAACTGCATCTGTAGATACACCAGATAGAGGTCACTTTGGAAGGGAAGAAAAGCCCTTAAAACACTTTGTGCTATTCACTGATTCAAGCACATCTTTCCCGCTTTCATCCCAACGCAACGCCATCAGTTCTTCAACTCACTCATCGCATTTGCCACAGAAGCAGCGTCTCTATAAGAAACATGGAATTCGACACTTTGGGAAGCAGTGAGGTGGAAACTGAGAGCAATATGTAAACAAGGTCATTTCCAGCGAGCCCTCCGCTGTTTCTAAATGGTAAGAAGTTACGAACAAATGTCAGTTTTCAGCTTCCACAGTGTTTCTGATAACGCCCCCCCGCCTTTGTTATCCGTATTTGAACTAAAAAGGTGTCATGTCCTGTGCTACGTCTACCGAATGTGTGCTGTACTAACACAGGAGCGCAAACGCGGTCAGTAGGAGCACACATTGCAGTACGGACGCCCCGGCCTGAGTGCCCCCCCCCCCTCTGGTGCAGAGCGTCTATTTGTTTGCAGCCCTCTCCTTGAAAGCCGCTGTAGCACTGGCACTCAAAGTCCGAGCTGAAACTCGCTCTGTCCGCGTCCCCGAGCTGACCGCTGACCGTCAGCCTGCCGCCCTGCCCGCTGATGGTGTGGGTGAGGGGGTTCAGGTGCAGGTAGAGGTCACTGTCGGGGTCTCTGCGCAGACAGCGGCCGTGAGAAGCACACAGGGCCCGGCTGCACAGCTCTGCTGCCGTGGAGACGTTGAGGAGGTATTGACCCAGCGTTCCCCGAAGATACACATCCAGGTCCGAGCAGGTGGTCTGAAGACAACAAACAAAAAAAAGGTCAAACATACTCACTGTGTGCTCTGTTGGTCAAACCCACCACGGATTGTTTGTCCAGAGAGGTCCGTTTAACGTAATAAAGACATTAAACTCAAATGGTTCTGGAGATTTTTTTTCATGGATACCAAAGTGCACTTAAGAGTGCATATTCGAAGCGGACACTTTAACACTTTAGCATTTCTACCACAACTGTGTTACATATTATACCCAAATCTGAAGTAGAATGTAGTTAGAGTAAACTTTTGCTTTATTATACTTTAATTAATGACATTTACTGTTCCTTTTGTTTCATTGTTATTAGTTGGAGGAAAAGGACACATCTCTTGAGGAAAGGAACTGTTATGAAGAAAAGAAAGGACAGCCCTGATGTTCAACACAGCTATTGACTGGAACAGCGGAGATTACTCTCTAACAACAACTTATTTCAATTATGAGGATTCAATGTCCCTCCAGGGCTTCCAGGAAAAAAAAGACCAAAAAACACATGACGCATTCTCACCAAAATCACATCCATCAAAGAGGACACGTTTACAGATGTAGAGCAATTGAGTTTCACCAACACCGGAGGGAAAAGCAATTTACTGCTCACCCTGAGCTGCACTTTTTATGGGCTGCCGAACCAATAACTGAGGAAAAGGAGGAAAAAACTGCTACAGATGGAACCCATGAAGAAAGGGGAAACTGCACGATACTAACTCACAGTAAACTACGTCAAATGTCCCAATTATTAATTACCACAATTATGTCAAGCTATATCTGTAAGCTACAGCATCTAGACACTGAATGACTACTGTTTTGTAGCTGAGGGGGGATAAATAAGCAGGCAGTGGCTTTAACCACAGTGGCTGTCATGAAACTGAACAACACAGAGTGCTCACATAAATCTTTCACTTTGTGAAAGATTTTTTTTTCACCAGCATTTGTTTGGATGTTGGTTTTATTCAGCGCAAAGACTTTCCCCCTTGAGTGTGTGTGGTTTTCATGCCAATATGTATTTCTTTCACTGCCTATAATGTATTATATGCTATCAGCCACTGTGCATGCCTTCAAGGGGAACCTACACGTGAACGTTACTTCGACACTTTCCAGCCATCTGAATGATACTGCATATCATTCATAACCCAAACGTGGAAACAGCACTTGCCCTCAGTCGCAGCCTCCGCCATAGGAAGTAAGACCAACCCACAAAGACCCAGGCCCAAGACCCACAGTGTCCTCCGAGTCTATTGGGACCAGATCCTCCAGACCTTTTCTAGGCGCCTCTGTCCACGCCCTGACTGGTCAGAGCTGCCTCAGAAGTCCTGATTCTTGATTAGTTGGGTGGTTTTAATGTTGTTTTACTGCTGCTGTAGAAAAGGCGTCAGTGTGCGTTTGTATGCCACTGACTGTCACTTCACATCTATTACCCAAAGACTGAAGGCAAAAATATCCACAAAACAGAGAAATAATTAAATAACTGGGCAGATGCATTCATTCCAATTCCAGAGAATCTGCACATCTTAATATTAAAACCTTCAACATATCCGCGGTTTATCATATCACCTTTATAACTAAAAACATATAAGTGTAGCAATCACCCGAAAATTAGATATAAATGACATTCAGACAAATATCTTCTGACCAACACGTGACCTCCATTAAATAACGAAAAGCCCTGAGTGTCAAATGACATCACATCTGAGTCAAATGGATTAGGGTCAAAGCTCAAAATCATTAACATGATAAACATGACATTAAAATGATAAAATCTATAGGAGAACAAAAACAACTGTTTGTTGGCAAGCTTCTTTCCATAGTTAGTTTGTGGGAGCTTACCCTGTTAGTGGCATATGTCGCATCCCCCCACAGGATGATTCCAGCTGCTCCCAGAGCCACGCTCTCCCCGATAGTCGACACAAGATCAGTCTGTCAAAGATGAAGCAGCTCATTAGATTTACAGGTCATAGAAAAAAAAAGGAAAAGACTCTGCTATTAAGCTGTAACTCGGGGTCAAATTGTCAGTGTATTTTCAGCTACTGTATGTGAAGTGCAGCACCACCTCTTATCTATTCATTCTCACTTATGAAAATAGTCTTCGGCAGGATTAGCCAGATTTTCACCCGGACCAACACCCATCCTGCCTACTCAACACAAATGAAAGGTATTAGAGAGTGTGAGTGGTACCAGGACAGGAAAGGACTGTGGCTGCTGATAAGGAAAAGTACGGCGCTACAGCTCCATGCAGCGTGCACTGATAGGGAGGGAGGAGTTAGAGCCACGCAGTGATTTAAGAAAAATGTTGTCTCTCACACAAGAGAAAACTAATATTTGTCTGTTTTATACCCCAGCACAGTGGAGAAAACAAAGTGGGAGAAAGCTGGTCAGGAAGGGTGACCGAACATGGCTTTGGCAGAGCCCTCTAAAAGCTGAGCGTCACCTCTGTTAGCTGCTCCAAGGAGTCGATGTAGGTGGGGCGGGTGTACACAAAGACAGGACGCGCCAAGCCCTCGCCCGATGAAGCCAAACGCATGCCTTCCTTCACCCGGTTCCGGACAAACTTCCGGCCGGACGCTGAGGAACGCAGCATGGCGCTCATGTAGACGGAGGGGTAGAGGGCCGTGCTCTCGGTCCACAGCCACCTCAGCTGATTGTTGCGGGACACCTCCACGTCAGGGCAGCGGCCGGTGTAGCTGTCCAGAAAGAGCTTGTAGTCGTGGTTGTAGCAGTCGGGGAACAGGTAGAACCCCCACAGCTGGTTGGGCCTCAGGTGTTTGCCCTGCCTCAGCGTCTCCAGCATGAACCTTTTGGCGGACATCTCAAACTCCTGCTGGGCCACTTTTTTCACCTGCTCACGACTCCAAGTGGGGTTCTTTTGGCGCACCAGCTCTTCGGAACGCCTGCGGTAGATATCTTTGGGTGCCCAGTTCCGTAACCAAACAGGGCGCCAGTCCTCCCAGTCGATAACCGCTAAGCCTGTGGCCCCCGGCTCCCGGATGTACTTCCGAACCCCTTCCTGCATCTTATCTAGGTGCTGCGAGAGACTGGCCACCTGAGGCAGGCCCCCGTTCACCGCCATTTCATCCGCCCCAAAGTGAGGGTACAAACCCAAACGTTCCTTGTAGAACATCGTCAGGTTCTGCCTGACGAAGCCCTCGTTTGGCGAGGCCACAATCTGGAACTGCTCCAGATTAAAAGATACCCCGTGCCATGGGTTGCATTCCTGAGTCGGGATATTCCAAGCGAAAAGCAAAGGCTTTTGGGAATACAGTGGCCATCTCGTGGGTTTCAATCCCAGAGCCCAGAGGCCATCCCGCAGCAGAGCGATCAGCAGCAGCACTCTCCACTCACAAAAAGTCCAGTACAGCATGACTTCAGAGGTGAACTGACAGAAAACACTGCCACTTTCTGCCCTGCAATTCAGACGGGAGAGGCAATTCAGTTTATTTAGTTAATTAGGGCGTTCATTCAAATGGTAATCATTTTAAGAAAAATGAATAAATGCACTGAGTGTGACCAAATTTTATGCAAACTGGGAGAAGAATAACTTTGGGGGGAGAAAATACACAATTTTGAGTTTTATTACCGGTTATGCCAGCATCTTTGTCTTCTCTCCTCCTGTTTACAATATATACCGGATATATTTTTTGTTTAAACTTAGTTTGGCTCATTTCTTAAATTTCTATTAAGAAATAAGCCAAATTCTGAATGCTGTTTGTAGAAAAAAAATGTGCGCAGCCAGTGACAAAAAGCATCCTCTCATCGTTTAATCCACATCCAAACGTTTCTCTTTTGTGGAACGCACTGGGTCTATTTACCATCACTACGAGCCTCAGTTTAAGAAATAAATTAGCAAAAACTTCATTTCAATACAAAGTCAAGTTCCGTGCAGCTTCCATTCGGATAAACTTACCTTCACTGGCAGACTGAGGAAGCATTCCCAAAAAAAACACAGAAGCCAGACACTTGAGCCGCGTTGGAGGGTTTCCTTAAAATAATAAATCCTCCGGGCTGAGAATATGACGACTGCCGAAACTTCTGCTACAGTCCGTTTAAGTCTGTCGTGTCGAGAGAAGTTCGCGTCTGACTCTTCCCACGCTCGGAACGGTGGGGAGAAGTGAACTTACCCCCAGCAAAGTTGTCAGTTGCAACTCCGGGTGCCAAACTTCCAGGATGTTCCATTCAGGATGAAAATAGGGGGGGGGGGTCGTGTGGTGGGAGGTCCGACCAAACTCTCCGGACATCCTAAAAACTCTGTCAGCGACTCGGCCGTGTCACGGGGATGTGTTTCTTCCGCTTAACCCCACACACGGGGAGAGCCGGGAGTTTGATTTGGTTTGTCGTCTTTTTGGTGTTTCATTAAAGGGGTTGGCCGGCCATTGTTGACTGTTGAATGGGTCAGTCCAAGAGCTGTGGCCGGCAGCACAGAGCGGTGGCCGGTGAAACAGATCCACGTAAGGAGCCTCACAAGGTCAGAGCGGGCCGGGGTGCCTCTTCCCAAAAATAAGTGCAAGCCTGCCCGTGACCTTGTTGCCATCTTACGATTTGTTGGAGTTGATTAACTCTACTTTACAGCTTCAGAGCTTTATCTGGGACCAGCTGTGTGCGTTTGTGCAAGAAAGCTTCCATCTGTAAAAATATATATATATATATATATATATATATATATATATCAGTGTCCCTATTAGGACAGGGCCTTTCAAACAATTTTTCTGAAAACAGACACATCAATTTATTTATTAATTTAACTTTAGTTTCTCTCAAATTCTAGATGCCCAAGAATAATGTTTATGCTATCTAATCACAAACACACAATTGTTATAAGTGCTGTTTTGCGTATTCAGATTGCACACAATGATCTTCAAATTTTTATGTATGGCTATTAAAAGCATTCAAATCCTCCATAGCCATTGGATTTGAGCTCGTCAAACACGTCACAAAGAATAAGGGGTATTATTATTTAGTTATTACCATCCTCCTCTCATCAGAACAGCCCTCAAACTGCTCGGAACCCTCTGGGGAGGCCTGTTATTACTTGAAAAGTTTAAGTGTTTAGATCAAGGAAATACATTTTGCTGTGAACCTTCTTACCAACAGCAAAACGAAAAGCAGAATGATGATTTAATGAAAACATTCATAGCTCATATAAAATTAAATTACCAGCATTGAAGAAACAGACGATGTGCTCAGTGTGCCTAAATATAAATTAGTTAAAGCCTTAAGGCTTCCCAGGAACAATAAAAAAGAAAATAGAAACAAAAGCATTATGTTCAAAATCTGCTGGAACATTGCTTTACAACAAACTCGTTTTGAAATAATGTGCTTTAGAAATAGAATTCACTCCACTTCCATTGCTGTAGTATTTTGCAAATTAAAAACATTTGTCCATTTTGCAAGAAAAACCTCAAGATAATAAATAATACATGAATAATCACAGATAAACATATGAGTGGATGAGTTAGAGATCAGCAGAAACACGAAACAAACACTTCATCCATAATGCACGTTCCTATTTAACATTTAAAATTGTGAAAGTCAGATTAATTAAGTTGATTTTTTTTTAAAGAGATTTCAGCATGTGTCCTTTAAACACACCAAAGCTGGAGTCAGAGTAACATCAAGCAAAAGGACCACTTAACCAGACCTCAAGTTATAATTACATCTCTGACAAGAGCACTAAAAATAATGCTCATGCATGAAGCCAGATTAGTCTCAGAGAAAAATGAGAATGTTTAGTACAGTATATGCAATATATTATATTATTATATGTTTTATTCTAACTGCTTAGAACCATTAATGACAGTCTTTTTCTGTCATTTTACCGCTTTACATTTGTTGTGTTTCTACTTAACTAAAAGAGTTTAATGTTTATTTTCCACTGAGAACTCCTCAGACAGCGGGCACCAAAGGCATCTGGTATGCAGATGTCACTGCAGCCTGCAGGCATGTGATGACAGCCACTGGCAAATGAGTCACTGAAGTAGCCAAGTACCACATGCTGTCATGTTGCCAAGTACTGCATGGATTAAAGAGAGGAGGGTAGAAGCTGTGCACTGAAACAGTGTTTCCCGAGCATAATGATCAAACTTTTATTGTTAGGAAGGAGAAGGAAATCGAAGTGCGAACGTTTCTGCGAAGTGTTTCTGTAATGAGACGACACGCGAGTATAGAATAACGATATTCCCCTAAAAAACTCTCCTTGCAGATGCACTGATGCAGAGAGATGTCTGAGCACATGACCGGGATAAGGTGGGGGCCTGGAAGCACGCCGTTTTCCTGTGTCAGAGTCCGTTCCACTGTTTATCTTCAGGGCTTTGCTGACTCACCTCACCATCTCATCAGTTTCCTGTCCTTCTTCCCCCTTCTTTGTGAAGTGGTTAAGAGAAGTCTAGAGCAAGACCGGCACATGTAAATGAAAAGGGAGGAAATTAGCAAAGGAATGGCTTGGCTTCCCTTTGACCGCCACCTCCTGACCGTTACATCAACAGGAGTTGGGAACTATCAGGAAGCAAAAACAATGGTAGGGAAACTAGAAACACCCCGCCACCATTACTTTGTGTCCTGGACACTGTATGAATCATCATGCCTGAGGTGTGATCATGATAGCTTTTTCTGGACGGTCAGATAAAATCCTTAAGTCAAAACAATGTAGAGGCATTAAACTCTGACCAACAAGAATAAGAGGAACACAAAAAGTCAAAGTTTCTTATTGTGTCGAAAGCTTTGCCTATGAAATAGTATACTGAATGTATCCCATTTCCATGGGGCTCTGAAATTGATAAACAGCCAGTGATACCAAGAAATACTTGCTTTCTTTCTCCTCCCTGTTAGTCACATGTGCTGTGTATGAACCCTTTTAGGGACATAAAATGTAACATGATACACATGTGAACTGGAAAAGGCTTCAGCATAGAAAACTCCACCATGTCTTTAACTGTTCAGTATTCTGAGCCTGTTTTACTACTTTATTATGGTCGTTGATAATTGACGATGTCTGTCTCTCTTAACCACGTTCACATGGACAACTCTTCCCTCTTAAAAGCATTGAATTCGTCAGGGAACACATTCCAGAGATCAGAACGGTGCTTCACCCTGTCACATTCACAAGGTTCATACGTTTTCGTGGCTCATCCTTTTAATATGGGCCAAACCTTGAGCAAAGCTTCAAAGAGCAGTGGAAAGGAAAGCCATCAAAGTGATTGACCTCTGGCCCAAAAACGCACCCAACCACATTCCACACAATTACAGACCCCAGAAAAGGCCTGCGAAAGAAGCCCTACCCGTTTATTGTGGGAACTCACAGTGAGCGTTGCTCATGTTTGCATTGCCATTAAAGTTTGGTTTTGTGCCAGCTGGCAACAGCAACCCCAACTGGCTACAACTTTTAATCTGTGTGCATTTTTATTGTTATTTTTTACATTAAATATAACCTGATTTCATTCTCTTTGGGCAGTTTGACCACAGATTTTGGGTTAGTATAAAGCAAGAAAACGTAATGATAACTGAGGTGACGAAACAAACAGCAGACCAGCTCACATGAACACGTTTAGAGAGACTCTGCAGTGTAGATTTCTGCTGCCATCTAGGGGTAAGAGATCTTTCGTATCATATTTCAATTTTTGGAATATTTGCAGATTATCTGATCATCACAGAGATCAGAGGGGAAACATATTCTTCTAACTGCACGCGTCTGGCTATTTCAGAAATATTTTATGTTTTTTTCAATCTTTAATGCTCTTAAAAATATTCTTAACATTCTTATTTGTGAATTATATGGAGCTACTGCCATCAAAGAGTAAAATCAGAGTCCACTACAGAAGCAATCAACACAAAGAGGTTTCCGTCTTCAAATTCATTTTCAGGCTTAATCATTTATTACTTTAAACTGTTGTAACTTGCTTGAGGGGACCACTGACTTTCAGGCCAGTTGAAGGACCCATATAATGGTTCACTGACTGCTTATCTAATGTGCTGGTGTGAACATCCTCAAGAACTTTCCTCATCTTTGAGTGCCTTCAATTAGAGACAAGCCAGAGGAGGTGAGGACAGATGCGAGGGGAGGGGAGGGCAGGTGAGATGATATATTTTCTGTGATACCACAAGATCATAAAGTCCTCGTTTTATTACAACCCACAGCTGCTCATTTATATTTTCTGCTAGATCAGCCCAGATCATTAGTGACCAATGACATATCTATTATTAATAAAGATATCAATGAATTAACAGATGTATATCTGATGAAGAGACAAAGCGGGAAGAATCTATTTTTTCTCATTTGCGTCTCCTCATCTCTATTCGCTACTTTCCTACTGTCCATGACATGGAAATGATTATACAGCTAAATATCCTGAAAGAGGTTTCAATTCCAGAAGAGTCTCTAACAGCAGAATGCTGCAAAATCATTTCTTATAATTGGGGTATTTGATTGAATGTGTCTTCTCTGTGTCTTACGAGGCAGTGAGAAGAGCTGAGGGGGGGGAATCCAGTGTTCAACTTTGGAAATGGGCAAATGTCTTGCTTCCACATATTTACCTTTTCAATGTTTGGTCAAATCTGGGTGGTTAGACCACATTTAAATAAAGAAAATATAGACATATTTCATTGTATGAAAGAAAAAATGTACCCAATGATGGATCATATATATGTTTTTGCTTGTATATTCATGTTTGAAATTTAAAGATAGTAAAAGATGAGGAAAAAGACGTGATCATGCTTCACTGTGAAGAAAATTGTCCAGGTTATGTGACATGACAAAAAAAAAACTTGTTGATTAGGAGGACTGGGAAAACCCTGCGATAGCTTTATGGAGATGGAAAATGAACAAATAAGGAATGTGACTCAAGGCTCAGCTCAGTAAACTATTTATTCAAGTATTTCCAACTAAGAGCTCGGAAGTTATTTACAGTACATTATGTTCACTAGTGCAGGTCTGAGCTCCAGAAACTGAAACAGACTCAGACAGGACAACACAGAACACAACCATATGTACAATAAATTCACAATCCACCAGTTCTACTACCCTGTTACCTCTCATCTCTCTTCCACACATTCACTCAAATAAAACACATGAACACAAACATTGAAACATAGAGTCTAGCTCTACATCGTACAGAAGGCATGAACCAACAGAGCCATGTCATTTCAATCATGTTTTCCCTGCAAAAAAACAAAACAAAACTGTGCTGTCACTACTTTAGTGAATGTTGAAATATGGATTTCGGTGAATAGTGCAATCTCTGACCACAGTAGATTTCAATGCACAACATTTCACTTGATAAAGCATTTAAATTGGACTGTTATGACTGGTACTTTTCGGATGTGGACAACATTTCATAACATTTCAGATCCTCAGAGTCTCTCTGACAGAAGCCAGACTTTGCTCAGAGAAAAACCTGTGGACGTGCATCATCTTAGGTCTGTCCCGTGAAACGTCTCACACCTCACAGAGGATGATGGGGAAATCAACATGAATACACGGATGGTCGAGCTTCACAATTCCCTGAAAAACACGCAGGTTTTCTGTTCAGACTTCTGATAAAAAACGTCCCATGTGCATACCACGCTGTGTCCCCAGCTCACCTGTGGAATCAGATTTTTCTGGATCCTTTTCAACTTTGACCTTTTTCTGCCATTTTTTGTCACCACCGTTTCCTCGTAGAATTCATGGGCAAGGTCACCATCCTCGTCATAGTACAAAGAACTGCCAAAACAGTGGGTGGACATCAGGGTCTTTCTTAAGGTCAGGGTTAATTTTTTTCTTAAATTACCTTCTCACTGAGCCTAAGGGATTTGAGCACATACTGTTCAATGGGACAACTAATGTTTAACTGCAATCAAACAAGTGTGTAATCATGTATTATTCTCTCTCTCTGTATATACTGACGTATATATTTCTGTCCATTTCACAAAACAAGAGTTGAATACAGTAGGGGAATTCCACTGATCTGCATGTAATAATACCCAGGTTAACTTTCCATCACATTTGGGCAATAAAGTGTCAATTACCTTCTCCTGGTGAACACAAAAGGTGTTGCATTTCTTGAACCTTTCATACGGGCCAACGACTGTTCGTTTCCATCATTTGCTGAATCGCCTCCACTGCCTGAGAAAGGCCAGACGCCTTTGGCTTTGGATCCACTTCCTCCCATCCTCAGAGATGAGTCATAACTAATGTCAAATTAAGGCTTATAAGATGAGAGGTTGGCATTCAGCTGCTCACCAAGCCGGGTCCTGAAATGTACACAACACACAAAGAAAAAAGATATAGCATGTTTCCTAATCGGCTGTTCTTTGCCGGTTTGAGGTGAATTGAGCGTTTGAATGATGCTATCAGCCCTGAAGCCTGACCTGTGTGATCACTGTTGACTAGCTGGGTCCAATTTGAAAAACTAAATTTAAAGATACACGACGTATTCATTTCGACTTATAGAGACTTTTCCATCGACGGGACACAAGTGAAATAAAACTACTAAGCTGTTTACGTGACAACACAAACAAACAGTGTAAAACCTCACGAAACATGAATTAATCGGCGGTACGACGTCTATTTTGCTAGTTTTACCGGAAGCTAACTATGTGGGCCATGAAACCAAGCGAAAGCGGTTAACAATTCAGGAGCTTAATATACAGACATTGATTTACTATAAATGTTTGCTTTTTATATATTAATATCAGCACACGTTCGACAAGAAATAACCTTTAACGGGTTACAATTTGCTAACTGTACCTGCACATTTACGTGTGTTCAGTTAGCCTGTTAGCTTCGACCACTGACGTAGGTTAGCATCATCAACTAAATTATCGCTCTGCACGCACGTTGCCCATCGACACACAGAAGACTGTCCATCTACACCCAGAAACGATCTGGACTATCCCACCTTACTGTATTATGTTAAATCGGCGTGCCCGGTCATAATTTGCATGGCAGGCTTGTAAGCTAGCACTAGCTGTTTTGGTCAGGCTGACGTGATCAGCTGATCTGACCCACGGGCTGTCATACTTAAAGAAAAACCGTCTCAACTCTGAGGTGATCCCTCATTCTGTGACCCACTTCGGATAGTCAGCTACTGCACGCTCACCTATGACTGACTATAGAGTAATGTTAATATTTTAAATGTTTACAACCTCTGCTTTCTGTGGTAAACTGTCTATTTTATTTGTTTTGACTGATTATGTCTATGACAGTGTGACCGTCACTTCACAACAGAGACTATTTTTAAGCTAGACAAGAGCTATTTTCAAAATAAAAATTATAAATGAATTTATTACAGCATCTCAGACAGGTATTGCTGTACATACATCATAACATTATGCACTAAAATGAATGTCTCTTTTAAATGAAGTAAATCTCGACAAGAATACAAATACACTTGACTGACTTGGAAATGTCTTTACTAAACACAGTGCACATGTGTAACCACATTGTGAGGGTTGCTACATTTAAATTTGTGCATAGACTGATACAGGATAGGTGAATGGGAACAACAGAGGACAAACATTGTAGTTAAGGACAGAAAAAACAAAGATAAGGAATGGTAAGCAGCTTCCAGTTACACAAAGCATGGCAGTTCTCATTCAAGACTCCAGTCAACCATAGTGACTCTTGGCACTGGTCTCTCCGACATTCATAATTGCATACAAATGTCCATACATCAGACATACCCACATAGTGACAGTGAAGTAAAAAAGAGTTGCACCCATCAGGGGTGTGGAGCAGACATGGCAGACTTCAAACTACCCACATACCTTTCAGCAACAAATCAGGCTTTGGCTTTCTTTGGTAATGATTTGGAAATAAGATTATTTGAGAAGCAGGACTTTTGGTATGTTAATAAAGATCTGATTGAATATTAGTAAGGCTTTGTTTGACATACACAGTACTTGTGTGAGCTCTTTCGTTAGAGCTGTACTGCACATTGAAAGACCAAAACCCTCTTTGGCAGTCATTTCTAAAAGTGACACAGCTGAGGTATCGGATAATCTGATGGAACCCATCAGGTAAAGGCACGACCGCCACGACGGGACATGACCATCCTCTGCCAGTCTGCACTCCTCTCAACTCATTCTCTCAGGCACATCAGACTCTCCGGGTGTAAGGCACTTCATCTCTCGCATCATTTCACACGCACATTCGCGCTGGCTCTTTCTCTCTCATTGCGCCCTATCTCACTCTCTCGTCCATCGAAGAGGTGTTTTTTCTGTTGCATTCTCTGGGATCTCTGCACGCAGCCGTGGCCGGTCCTGGTGGTCCAGCCGGGGCAGGGCGTGTTCAACCCCGCGCACAGGGGGCGTCTCACCCCGGGGTGGAGCCGGCGAGCGCCTCCTTCATCTTATTGCGAGCCAGAGCGTACCGCTGAACTATCTGCTTCACGTGCTCCTCTTCTTCACGCTGCAGAATGCGCAGGAAGTTCTTCAGCTCGGGCATGGAGAAGGCATGCCACTGGAAAAGAGACGGGGGGGGGGGCATCGGTTCAACATTCAGGGGGTACAACGCATAATTCGGATCCACTGATATCAGCACAATGTGGCACTCACGTTGACATCACCCGTTTCGTTCTCCTTGAGCACAAAGCTGAGGACTTTCTCATTGGGCCCAGAAAACAGACGCAGGCGGAGGGGTCGCTCGTCATCAGACAGCTTACGGATGTAAACTGAAAGAGGTGGAGGAATAGCAGACTAAGTGAAAAAGTTTTTTTATTTTTTTTTTTTTTTAAAGGCTGTAGTCATATGTTAAATTACTCCATGGAAAAAAACAAACGAAAGATCCATACCTTGGTCATGGCGCTCGCTGCGTTCAAACAGAGCGAACTTGCCAGGATTGTCCACCACGGTGAACTTTTTCAGCAGGGCCTCAATGACCTCCCGGGCAGAAGTGCGTGAGCTAATGTGCAAATGCTTGGACGCGTCCTTTGGCAGGTAGAAGGAGGTGCGGCGCTTCACCCCTCCGGCCTTCCTGCCCGCGGCTTCGGGAACTCCCCTCTTTGAGGTGGGCACGGACACAGGTCGAGCCAGCTTGAACTGCACCTTTACGAAGCCGGTGTAGGACCCATCCTTGTTCTGTGAAGAGGAATGAAAACATGAAGCTAAAGAGAGGAAAAAGCTTAACGCTGACACGTGTGGGTATATTGAAAGCAAAGGCTCACCATGTTCATGAACAGATTGCTGTTGATCTGAGCGTTGTACTCCTTCACCTTCTGCTGAAGATCGGCAGGCGTCGGCTCCTGCTTCACCCTTTCCGTTTGCTCATCCTGAAACGGACAGTCAGGAAGTTACAGTGTTAGAGCACCAGGTGTCACTGTTTTGCCGCCATAGGACTAAACAAAAAGCAGAAGACGCCCATCACATCCAACCACGAATGGACTCATGGGACCAGTATTAAAGAAAACACAAAAGCAGACTTTCCAAACAAGAACGGCTGCGTTAATTTGCTGAGCCTGGAACTTTTTTGGGGGAAGTTGAAATGTAAGAACCCATGTTATTTAAATTGATTTGAACAATAACTTTGAAGAGATTTTGCAGCCTAACCCTCAAAACAAAATTAAAGCAAGTAGATTCACCAAACAAACTCCTTGAGAACTCACATAAATTATAATTAGTAAACTTTCTGTTTGGCCCCATAGTTTTTAACGAGGAGCACCAGTTGCATCAGACTCGACTTCCTGACTACGTAGCAAAGGGAGAACAGGATGATGTCAGCTCGGTCCAATCCCGACCCAGGAGGGCTGGCGGGAGTAGGGAGGATGAGGAAGACGGGAGGGGGAGTTGTGGAGCTTGCAGCTGTTTGTAATGACTGACCAACGGCTCTGTATTACATTCCTCAGCCTGGTATTCATGTAAAAATAGCTTCAACCCCCCCCAACACCCCCCCAGAGACACTCGCAAGTGAGAGAGACAAAGCTATGGCTTGTTTTACAGCCACATCCTGTGAAGTCAGCTGCTTTACTCACTGCAGAACCACAGTCATGTTTCAATCATGCGTATTTGGCCTCAGGCTAGGGATTAATGTTTGCTTAAATTTAAGATGCTCCTGTCTGTAAAATGTTCATCTGTAGAAGCAAAAAAGTGGTCTTTGTATGTCATTATTTCAATTGAACCAACTCAAATTGGAAAAAAAGAGATTGTCCAGATGAGTTAGGAATAAAACCACATGAATGCTATGACAACTGGAATTGCAGAGCTACAAATGAACTGTTTAACCATATAAATAAACGAAAGGGATCAACACACTCAGCCACCACAGAAAATCAATGGTAAGATGAAGAAGATCAATAGATTTGGTCCTTGGGCAGATTGAACAGCTAAAGAGTAGATGTGCAGATGTTAATGAGTCAATACGTCAATATGTGGGAGTGGAGTGGAGCTTGGGTATATGGTAGGAGAAACAGATGCACAACTTCGCCTTTACATGCCCCCAAAAGGAGTGTCGCACAAAAAACTGTGCAGGAGGTGTCAACGACATTAAGCAATCCCCTCCCGCATGGAGAGTGTTTTTACAGTAAACTGAATGGGTTTCACAGCAAACAAACCTGATACTCCGGTGGGTGTGTGTGACGAAAAGATAAAAAACCCTAAACAATCTATTAGTCATCTGTTCTTCGGACATGTAATGTTGAAACATGTGAAAAGAGTCAATGAATGGTGGGTGTAGGAGGGGAAACTTGAGAAGGAAAGGTGCGTCACAAATCATGACATTTAGGTCTGTACGTGTTATGAGGTAAATCTTGCACACATATATACATTTAAACATTGTGACATGCATATGTGTTTCCCGGTGTAAACATGGACAAAATAAGGATCAAACCATTAAGGTTGTTCCATTTGTCATTTTAAAACCAGACAAACAAGAACTCCACCCCTAAAACTGGGAACTTGTTTGGCAAGCATCCTTGCTTTCTGGGTTTCTATTCAGTACAACTAATTTACACATCCACAGCAGCTACAGACAAGGACAGAAATGTGTTTTTCCCATCACCGTAAATGTTTGGATAAAACAATTTAAACAAACCAAAAAAAGATATTAAGAGAGAAGATGTACAAAACAACGCGAGACTACAGTTCCCCAAACCACCCTCATCTTTCTGGCCTCACTTCCCTTTTTTATACTAAACTTCTATTTGGGCGTTTATACATGTCATATTCAGGATTTTTTTATCTTCTTCTCTTTGTTTTTATGCTGCTCACCTTCTTAATGTTATCACTGACAGTGACGTTAGCTTTCCTGATTTTGGGAAAGAAAGACGTCCTGGCGGTGAAGTACTGCTCGAACTCGGAGTCGGAGTCCTCCTCGCTGCAGTAGCCGCTGCTCGTGGAGCTGCCCCAGGTCATCTCGAAAGAGGGAGTTTTGTCCGAACTACTAGCGTTGTTGGCCATGTTTACTATCGTCCGAAGTCTAAAAATGCTCGGCTGGACTATCAAAACTAAATTGCAGAGGACAGAACGCGTCGCTTTTGGTTCAGTTTTGGTTTTCAAAACGCGAATAAAGCGAAATAACGACAACCGACGGCGGAGGGTGTTAGCTTTGAGCTATCTCTGTGACGATGAAATGTCTCTGGGAAGTCAAGGGAACGGTCGACGCAACCTCAATAACTTCTTTTTTTTCTCTCTCTCTCTCTCTCTTTCCCTCAGACTACCGGCCACGTTTCCACTGTATGTGAAACAGGATGTGTTCGGGTCCCCGCCCTGCCAACTGCATTTCCTTCCCATGGCGGAGGCCCCACCCCAGTCCGTTGATTTCAGTTTGGAAATACACAAACGCCGGAGCCGGCCGCGATTGGACGCCGACAGGAAATGCCACAGCATGTACCTCCCTTTTTGTGTAGCTGTTACACCCTCCTTCTCTTCCTCCCCCTCCTCCTCTAAGGGAGGGATGCTGCTGTTCTCCCCCCTCAGAATCTCATGTGACTTTAGGCGCCACAGTCCCACCACACACAGCCGGGTCAGCATGTGAGTTCTTTCCCACCACGTGGTCACGTTGAACTGAAATATGCTCCGGACATAAAGTGTCAGTTTTTCTAATCCGACCCATCCTGGGAAGCCTGAATGGAAACAATACATTTAACTAAATGTCCCAATTAATGCCTGGACAGTATTTCTGATGTACCAGAAGGCCCTTAAAAAGCAATCACCAGTAAAATCCAAACTCAAAGTGCGGTAAAAAATAAAGTGATGCCCCTGTTACATAATGGTAGATTACCTTCAAACACTACATTTAAAGGAAGCTAAATCAAAGCATATATACAGCCTATAACTCCTATGGTGTATCTTACTCGGGTCTACAAAGTTATGCTCTCACCATGTCTGGCTTGCCAAAATACAAGCTTCAAGGAAGAGTTTGAGTCCATGTTACTCCAAGTTTTGCAAACAGCCTTTATGGCTGATGGGTTTTTTTTTCTATACAATTAGAAGTAATTAATGGAGAAGTGTTCACTAAAAAAAAAAAGTCAGAGGTGTGTTTAAAAAAGGGGAAGCTAGACTTGCTGAAGTGTTCTTACTCAGAAATGGAAATCTGAGTTGAGTTTGTTTAAGGAACAAGAGCAATTTCAGACTGTATAAATCCATTGAGACTGTGTGAAAGGTTCCGGGCTCCAGAGAGGTCAGAAACAAAATAAATCAATAGTCCTACACCCTGCTCCCTAAAATATTTCAAATAAAAGCTCACCTTGGTCCTTCTTTTGTTACACCAAAAGAAGTAGGCGAGAAAATGCAATGAATACAGCAGAGTTGGTTTAGAACAATTTACTTCTGTTCACATGCATATTTTGGTTTACCCATTTAACTAATTAAGATATTCATAAACTTAGAAAAACAGCTATTTAATCTAGAAAACGATAGTGAAACCTCCCAGCGTTTTTCCCCTTCATCTGTGGCACCGGTTACATCTCTGTGTGACAGAAGTCAATCCCACGCTACATAAAAATGAGAAGTCTTATATAGTCTTGTATTATAGAGCATTGTTATTAAAATGTGTCAGGCAGTGTTCAAATAATATATGAACACACTGGAGAAAAGATACTTGCTTGGCTTTCTTTTATGCACCATTTTAACAGAGATATGATTCATGTTTTTAGTTTGAACTGACGCAAATCAGAATTGTGCCCAAAGACAAGTGTGATATAGTCCCACTGGGTAACTCAGAATCACTGTATAATATATAAGAAGGACTAGAAGGTTAATTCAATATATTCTTTTTGTTCTATTTAGTGACTGTATATATAAAAAAATTATACATCTCAGTTGTCCGAGGCATTCTACAGATCTCTTTCTGTAGTGTTTGAATAAACTGAACCATTTCTTGCTAAAAGGGTCACCTGTCATGTTTTGTCAAACAAACTTCCTCTTTGGATCCTTCCTTTAGTTCCCTTTACAGCACTGCTGCTGTAAATAATTGCCCCATGTTGAGCTATTGTGTGCAGCTGTTTAAACCCGCTGTAAAGTCTGTCACGCTGTAGGCACTTCTGCCAAACACAAAGGCCCTTACCACATTCGTGTCAGTCTCCACGGTGTGCTCCACAACCCCGGCGTGGTCGGACGCAGAGCCTCGCTCCCAACTGCAGTCCAGCCGAATCAGGGCACGGCAGCGGTGGTGGCATGTGAACCTGCAGTCTGTTCATTTACACAGCCACCCAGTTTAGACCCGAACGCTCACCCAGGTCAAAGCACCAGAGAACAAGCAACATTACTGTACACCTGCAAAGAACAATGTCCTCCGCTGGCCATAAAATGTCACTGCAGCCATTGTGTATCTGTGCCTTCACAGTTATTAGCAAAGAAGCTCAAAGTTAAAACAGGACTTTAAAGAATCCCAAGAGTTCACTTACGAGTGAAACTGAGAAAAATGTAATACAGTCGGTTAAAAAGACAACAGATGAACACTGAATTCTAACTACCGGTAATGCTGTTTAGCATGATGAACAGGAACCTCAAAACAGATGAGAGCCTTTATTTTGTAGATAATATTCTCCGTTGAATTTCTGTTGCTGTTATTGTTAGATTGTGTTGTCATATGCACATTTGATTTAGTTTTTTTCCTCTTCCCAATAAAGGGGAGTTACAGAAACCACAGTTGTTTATTTTAGAAGGTTTCAGTCACTTAAAAGGAAGTCAAAGATTACTGCAGCTATAGAGGGTTAGCGTCACAAAGGAAATGTGGCGGGTGGCGACTGCGTCGAGATAAGGTCAAACCCGCCAAACCACTGAAACTTCAACAACTATGAGAAACTGTGAACCATCAAATCTTTTGAGTCAAAACATTAAAATGGGCTGCAGCAGAATTAGAGATGCATCTTACTCTTTTTGGGTAAAAGTACCCTTTTTTTTGCACATTCGTGCATTCATTTCCAATCAGCCGTGTGCACACACCCAGAAACCCATGCAGCCTACGTCTGAGAACTCACTGACACACCGCAGGCTCTGCTTGTAGAGGCCCCAGATGAAGTCGCCGCACAGGTCGCACCATGTGGGCTGAGCATGGCTGCAGGGCTGGAAGTCGTGCCCCTCTCCCCTCTCCTCCGGGAGGTGGGGGTCCTGTGTGCTGCTCAGGACTCGGATGATGCCCACGCGGCTCAGCATGTCTGGGACCCGCCCGGGGCTGATCCTCAGGGCGTTGGTTCTCTCCAGGCGCGGAGGTGAGCACGGCGAGCGTTTGCCTGTCAGCTCTATGTGCTCCTTGCTTGAAGTCAGGTCGCGGAGCTCAATGAACTCCCCCCAAGACATCGTGTTGGTCAGAGCAGGGCTCCCTCCATCATCACTGAAACACAGAGTGAAACCCTCTCTGAGTGACAGTGGAAAAGACAAATATATATGTATTATCATTAAAACACAGTGTGAGACATAGTTAAAGTGTTAATATAAACATACTGGGCAGGCCCAAATGATAGAACACAAAAAAGTGAGAAGTCTTTCTTTCTTTTATATAGTAGACAGATACAACAAATAGAGTAGATATAGTATAAAATGCAGATGTTTAGTTTTAGATACTTTAAAACTAAGTGAGGTGAAGGATGGGCTGCACTCAGTTAAAATGGTATCTTTGTATGTATATATAAATCATTATTTGACCGTTTCTCATGCTGTATATTTATTACATTTAGTTTACATGTGTCCATGTATATGCAAAGTATAAAAATCAAAGGAGGATATGACAGACTGCCTGTGGAAAAATAGATAATCATGTGTGAAAAGCAGGCTTGTTTACTTTGTCAAACAGACAAGAGGCCACCTTGGAGAATCCAGTGTGAAGTCTAAATAAACAGTCTTTAAAGTTATATGATATATCGGTGATGGTAAAGTCTGTCCAGCGTGACTTACCCAAACCGGAGAGAAACCCGCCCCGGGGCTGCCGCTTTGTTTCAGAGCTTCTTCCATCGGAGGAGAAAAACTTTCCGCAGAAATGTCTGACACTTTCCGAGTAACGGAGGCGTGCAGCCGCAGCTTCATCTCCGGAAAGAAGCGATCATCCCCCGGACAGACGGACAGCAGCTCAGAGTCCGGCAGACGGAACCATCCCTCCGCAAACGGTACCCGGGACTGCAACCGTCCGTTTATCGGGGCTGCGCCGTTAAAGGAGGAAGCGGAATATCATGAAAAAGAGAGTGAACGATGAGACTGAGCAGCACCGACATCCGGAATGTCTTCAGGTCGGGGGAGCTTCAGCTGAGGGGGCGTAGAAGTCCCCCTCCTCTCTGCGTACTGTGGTTCTGGGGTTTCATTTATCGGATGGGTTTATGAAAACAAATACATGGAGATAAAGCAATTAAACCAACCAGTTCTGGAACTCTCAAACAAAACTTATCTTTATGTCTTTATGGTGGTCCTGTAATTCATCCAGCACGCAAAAAAAGTGTGAACATGCCATAACTAATAGCAAATACGCACAAACTCCTGCATTCAAAATCAGCTCATTCATTTTGTTTGCATGGACTTTTTTTTGTTTTTCTAAGAGCAAAGAACTGGACAATAAGGCAAGACGGGAGTGGTCTTTGAAGTAGTTTTATTTCCTGCTGACATACTGTGTTGTAAGTGATGTGTATCTCCTCTATGGCACAAAATCAAAGCAGCATCAAACGCAAAAGCAAACAGGGACTGAAGTATAGCAGGTCTCCTCCCACTAAGAAAAGTCTCTTTCATTTGAGTCAGAGAGTGTAGAAAAAGGTGAACGTAAGACAAACGGATCTGAAATAAAACACTAAATTTTAAATAGTCTAGAAACATGTCCTACATTAAAAGAAAGAAATGCCCCAATATCAAAATCTGTGTTTCTTTATCTAAACAGGCAGATCTGTTTGTGTCTTTATATCTCCTGTCAGCCTAATGTTTAAAGCGTCTCCCTCTTAGCTGCTGATGTGAAGATCCCTCTGGATTTTCTCTGTAGCCTCAGCCATGAGCTGACAGCTTTTCTTGTGTTTGGACCAGTGCTTCACCTGACATTCTCTGGAGAAAAAAGAAAAAAAACAAGAAATAAACAAGGTTTCACATCTTATTTTCCACCAACATGAATATAACACTTTCGATCTGTGTTCCATCTCTTCCTCTTGCAGTGAGCTTTCAGTATCTTATGTCTCTGCCTCAACACGACGGCGAGAGTCGGTGATAAATTCAACCACTGCTAAATTTGAGCCTTGATGTACGGCTGCCCTGGTTGGCCCCTGCAATGCAATGCTGGAGCGATGAGTCTCACCTGTGACAGTACCACTCTCCCTGACACCGAGAGCATCTCTTTGAAGCCTCTTTACCACAGAATCCACACTTGGGCTTCTCAGGGAGTAAACTCTCCATCACATCCAAGTTGTATGTCTGGGCCAACCTGTTGAAATAAACCATCTTTTTTAAGGTGTTCCTCTGCACCCTCACAGTTCTCTTAAGCCCCCGGGCTCGCCATGCGACACTGGTGCTGTCACATGAACCTTTCAAACGGCTAAAAATCACACAGAATGTCGCTGCCGTTACGCCTGTTTTTCAGAAATACCTCTGGGCCTGCTGCCTCAAGTCGCTCTCTGAGGGGTTGAATGTTTCTTTGACTTGATACTTTGCGACTGCTTTCCACTTTCCAGAGTTTTCTTTCACGATGTAGTTCCGTATTTGTGGGATCTTAACAGAGAGAGGCTTTGTGTTAATGCACAGGGGCAGGAGTAAATGTGACACTTGTGACTGTACCTGTTCGAAGATTAGCTCTTTTTTTGGAGGAGGTGGGTCCGAAACAGAAAGATGAGCCAGAAAACGCTGAAGTTCCACAAGGTTTGGTAGCTGATCGATCAGCACGTCTGTCAAGAAACCCCTGAGCTGATTCACAGCCAACGATACAGATGCAGGAAAAACAATGTTATTGTTGTCAGAATACCACAACTTAGGCAGAAAAAAGGATGCTCAAGACCCTCTGCCTAAACACTTGATGCAACAGGAAGAGGATGAGAAGCTCATAATAGGAGGAAATATCTTGGTCAAAACAACCCTCGGAAACTGAATCTAAGTTTTAACGGGGAAGGAGATTAGATACGATTTAGGACAACAATCTGGCACTCACACACTTCCTAAACATCATTTTAGTGTCTAAAAGCCTCTTTTATACAGAAAGAGCTGCTTGCTATAACTTCAAATCAGGTTGGACATTGCCTGCCAAAACAAAAGGTAACAAAGAACAACACAAGGTGCTGAGCATAAAGTCATTTTTACAGCAGTTTGCTTTATACCTTCAGAAGCTGATTCTTGTTGAAACTGTTGAAGTCATATTTTCTTTGGCAGTCTTCCTTCAGTAACAGGTTGTAAAGAGAGAGCCAGACCTGCCCGTCCAGTTTGGTCATTTTCAAATGGTCCTCAACAGGAATCTTCTGCCATTTGCCATCAATGTACTTCTGTACCTCACCTACAGATGAAAGCAGATCACACACAGCAGCAGTGGTTTACATGCTCACTGTCGGGAGAGTCCAGCAGGAGTAGTGGCACGAAGGTTAAACTGAATGTACTGCTGTGAAAAAAACATGGCAGCTATATTCATTTTGTCCAAATGAAAAAAAACTAAAGCTGTTGATATCAAATTATGACACTAAACAAAAACAAAACCATGTGCGTGTGCACTCGTACTCCTATCTGTTTCTCCAAATTGTGGTTGAGCTGACCGTCTTGTGCTTTAGGCAACACTTTTTCTATGCATAATTCCTTAACACATCACTTCAAAGAGCGCAGAGTATCTTTTTAACAGGCAGAAAAATCATTTCCACATGAGCAGTGACATCATTTTGGATTACATCAATTGCTGTTTTTGTGGTAAGCTGTAAATTACTTACAGAGAAAAAGCCTCTTAGCTTGACATGCAAATATAGGAGGAACAACGGGTTCAACTCAATATACCACCTATAAAGTTCCTCCAACATTACACATCCTATCATGTTTGTTTAATTTCTGATCATTGTCTCACGGTCCCCAAAAAGATACCAGAATGACTTTGTGTAACAAAAACATATGTGTCTTTCTGCGTAACTCTTGTGGTGGCAAAAGTCAAACTGAGCTTCTAACACATAAAAATAAATTAAGGGACTTGTTGGAAATGTAAGCGGTGTGACACACCTTGCCTGCAGCGACTCCAGGGGGAGCAGTCAATCAGCTGAACCAGAACACATGGCATGTTGTGTGTGCACAGCATACGATTGATAACGCTGATACTGTGAAGAAAAAAAGACCAACTCATTCCGTCTGCTGCCCTGTAAGAACCCAACGCGGTGCTGAACATGTCAGCTTCCACCCTGAGGACAGCAGTAAAACTGTAAATGAATTAATCACGAGCCCGTCAGTACCTGTCAGTATGATCCGTGATGTAACGCAGCACAGCCAGAGATTTTAAGGAGATTTCAAACTCCAGACTGGTACTTTGTGCCTGCAACTCCTTCGCAAAGTGAAACAAGGTGCAGACACTCATCACTCTGCATCCACGAGCGCTAGTCTGAACCAAGAGGCTAACTACATCGTTACAAAAAGAAGACAGTTTTACCTTCATGGAGGATGTCGCTTCTTTTTGGCCATGTGTCTCATCACAGTCCCTGATTGCTTCACTGGCCAGGAGAGTAAGTTTACGGTGGCAGTAATCCACCAAGTCAAGAAGAGAATCAGCAGCAGCCTCACAGGAAGCCTACAAAAGCAAAAAGGCAATGAAGAGGGACACGTTTACACAAAAGTTTGGGTTGATTTATAAGACATTTTATAACATGCAACATAACAGGGGAAAAAAAACATTTGCTGACCTTATGAAACATTACGGTCTCGAGCAGATTTATGATTGTGGCTTCATGGTGGATCTAAGAAGCACAGGAGCAAACACATCCAACAAGAGAGCCTTAAGATGATGGTCATCACGCTATATCTCTGATCACCTCACACTCACCACCATATAAAGATGAAATGTGTTCTTGGGATTGAAGTCCTGCAGCTGGCACATGACGGGAAAGACTTTCTGTTTCCACACCTCCACGAGAATCATCTCATGGATCAGGATGGGTATCTGCAAAGAGGGAGATGTCACTCATCTCAGAATAATTCTGATATTTTCAGGTGTGTGCAGAACTGGCCGTCACCTTTCCTAATGATACCAGGAGCTCGTTGACAAACTCATCATGCATAGCAGAAGCATTCAGTATGGCTTGCATGTTAAGTTTCTCAATATACTCGTGTTGTTTGAACCACCTGTGGATACAAAAAGAAAAGAGCCATGACAGAGCAGAGAGGTAGCACATATTGTAACTAAAGCTATCTCTCTATTTTCCAACCTCTTACACCAACTCAAATATAAGTTGCTTGAATTTAAAATATATGATCAATAAACTGTCTATAAGGCCACAATTTTTTTTTTTTTATTATCACGCGACTTTTACAACTTACAAGCTTTACTGGCTTCAACACCTTTCCCACATTTCATCATGTCATGTTAACTTCATTTTACCTCTTTGAGCCCACCTCCTTAAGGGAGAAAGTTTCCAGACTTTGAATGAACCCCTCCGCTTCAACAGGCAATAGTACCGAAGTATCCATTTTTGATAAACTAAAACAATCCAAAACTATGTCAGGCAATAAGGAAAACCGACCACTTCAGTATACGTAATTTTAGTACCGACGAACGAATTCTGTTGCCTTGGAAACTGTAAACCAATCGTAAACTGCAGTGCGTAATTACCACCATAGAGGGGCGGTAGAGCCCCATCTGAGTATGAATCAGCCTAAGGAAGTTCCGCTCTGATTGGCTGCTACGTTGTCAGGCAACGGAAACGCCCAGACACTCTTGCGTTTTACAGCAAATCAACCAATCACAGCGGACACGAGGAATCACTCCTGCTGCTTCAATTTAGCCTTTCACAAGATATTCTTAAACTGAAAATTAAATTAGATCTACACATTAAACTTTATTTAAAAAGTAAAAGAACTTTGAAAATGTGCTGGTAATAACACAGATTTAGAAGTCCGTTTTGTTTTATATAAAACTGTTGAGGTTAAGTTTTATATGTACCCAAAATAAGATTATCATTAACATGCTGTAAACTACTCCAATGTAGTGCCAAAGCTTGTAAGCTCATTTTAAACCACATTTCCCAATCTGGTCAAATCAGTTTATAGTGCCGACAAAGCTCTTGTATCCACGCCTGCAAACCCACATTGGAAATCACAGTTTTCAATGCTACTTTCAGAATTGAATTTCTTGTCTAATCTAAACCAACATTTCCTGCATGTTGAAAAGGTTATTTGCATGAACTATTGATCTTATTGTGGCAACAATTCATACTCCGTTCTGGAGGCTCAGCAAAAACAATGATACAACAGAATATAAAACATTCACATTTTTATTTTTGTCATTGAAATGCAGCATGTCACAACATGGATATTCAGGGATACACAATAAATTAATCCAGACCCACAATGTGTTATTACCACGCTTAATCGACACAATGTTAATAAGATTGACCTTCATGATTTCCTTCAAATAGATGGTAACAACAGTCTCTTTCTCTTTCTTAAAGGCATCTGTGGTTGAGGCATTTCAGTATCTTTCGGGCAGATGGTTCCATTAATCATCACTTCCAGCAGATGACAATGTTAGGATCATTTTCCAACCGTTCATCCAGCTCCTGGTAACTTATCCCTGTAAAATCAACCCATTGTAGTCAAACTTGTTTTTGCGGTTATTTGTCAAATCAATCAAACAAAGCTTCAAAACCTGCCTGTTTTGCAGCAGATCTCGTCATAACTATGACAACCAGTATAGAGCCGCGGTGGTCTGCTCCTCTCATCACGGATCACTTTCACGGGGTACTTTTGCAGCCGCCGGATGAGCGACTTCATTAATCCAAACTGAATTAACCTTCTGAACAGAAAAACACAACATGACCCACCTGTAAATCATGGCCACTCTGACCTTATTTTCCTAGAGTAGGAAATTATTTTCAGAAACTGATAAGGTGAGTGTCAATGACCTCTCATCAACCCTTTGAAGCTGTAGTGAGTAGCGGGAGCAAAGGTCTCGTACTGTTGTGCCTGGGCTCAGGCCACAGTATAGCTGGAACACATCCCTCAGGTTGGCACGATTCTGACCTGAAAATGACCCGATAACAATTAGGTGAGAGCCAAAAAAAACAAAACAAAGAAAGAATTCACTTTTAATGTTGATCATTCCTTACCCTGCTTTGTGACATAGTTGAGGCATTCCTCCTGTATGGATTTGTCATCAATGAGGCTTTGAACTTTAGGGGTCGTGCAGTACACATTAGAGTACTAACAGAAAGAGGAAAGTAGGTTAAGGCAACTAGTATTGTGCACAATTATAATTGAATAGCATATTTTAAAAAGTGTGGATGTTAAATTAATTAACGTTTCCAAGATATCATAAATTGCACAACTGTAGAGTGAAAAAAATCCCAAAAGTTGTACGATGCAAGTTTAGTTTGGTACCTGAAATATTGACACCAAAGTCACAACTCCATAATATCTGTAAGGGAAAAGGAGCTTCAATGTAAAAGATATATTTAAAAAAAAAGTTTTATACCAATATCGAGCACCAGGAAGCATCAATAATTCAGAAAAACTTTGAGTAAATCAGCAAAAGCCATATATAAAAGCTGCTTCTGAAGATGCAGGGCTCATCATGAGCAACAATAGTGCTGGGCACCCTGACAAATAAACACAGATCCATTGTGATGTCTGCAAGCTTACTGTGGAGTATTTTTTTTGTCAATACACTTACAGGAGATTTTGTACTGCAATGCGAACAAGGTTGAGTTCTACATCTGCCTCCGCCGATATTTTTTGGATGTGTCTAAAACCATCAATATAAGGCAGAATCTACAAAGAAAAAGTTTAATAGAGGGTTATACAGATAAACTTAGCTCTGTGACTAAATTACAGGATTGCTAAGAACTATAATATATGCAACTTATTGTGCACAATAGTTTTCCAAATGTGCTTTTTTATTATGAAAGCAATTACAGAGATCTGGATGGATTTACAGCACCCTCTGATTAAGAGCCTCATATCCACTCAGGAAAAAAAAGAAAGAAAGTGCTGAACACTTAAGATTTCAAGTGTCCTAAGAGTTGCATATCTCGCAAGTGCTACTTCTTGGAATTGCGGCATATATCTTATCATTATGACTTTCAAAGAACAGGGGCTATATTTGGCTGCTAACGAGATCTTACCTGTTGAGTGGTGAGATCCCACTGAGATTTGATAAAGTGTTCTTTGCACTGAGCAAAGACAGGCACGTCGTACTCCTGAACGATCGGAGGGTCCTTTCGTAGCTGGATCAGCTTTAGGTGGATTGTGTTTGATTCATCTGAAAAAGTTTAAACACAGTTAAAGAAACAAAAAACGGGAAAAAACATGAATCAGCATGACTTGATGAAAGACCATTTCTCAAGATGTATAAAAATTCCACACTTTTTTCCTAAGAAAGTTTACAGAAGCCCGAAATAATAAATGTTTTTGTTGGAAAAAGGGTTTGGTGAGAGATGGGCCGAGATAATGAAATTTTACAATCTGAAGCCCAGTTTCATAGGATGATTGTTGTCATTTAACAACCTAAAACTGCATCGGGAAAACCCAACAAGGAACCACAACAAGTATGTCCTGCATAGTAACTATAGTGAGTTTCTTTTTCTAATATTTTTAATCAGTCTACGGTCTACTTTTATGATGGACAAATTGAATGGAAATACCTCATAACCCTTTTCAGATTCATAGGCAGCAACAGTAGCTTGCAGCTGTCTTTCCTCCTAAGCACATCATATTCTTTATTTGCATAAAGGCTCCTCTTCACTACTGTCACTTATATTTCACACACTGCTTCTACATTGTGGTTAGGTTTTCTCAAAGAAAATCATGACAGCACTGTATGTAATTATGTCACATATGCCTTACTGACATCTGAATAGCCATTTATTTAATCTGATTTATAGTGACAGGAAAATCTCTAAATGTTTATGGAGGGTTAGTTGACCTCTTCACATGACTGTATAAAACCTCGCCAAACAACCACCAGGCTTCAATTTGCGACCCCACTGATCGTCATTGTTCGGCTTCTTTGAAAATGAACGACTGAACATGCCTTACAGACTTTTTCAAGACTTTAACAGCCTCACTGTCAGACTATCAACAAGGCATGACTACAACCCTTTGACTATAATAACCGATTCAATTTGAATAAAATTAAGAACAGAATCAAATTAAATTTGGTTAATTTCAGACACATCAGGAACTATTTAGGTGCAGAGGTCTTAACGTGGTTCATCAGTGTTTGGGCATTCATCACAGATGAACAAGTCTTATCAGCTGGACGCAAACAGACCGGACCACACTGCAGTCATTATAAAGGCTTAATCACGCTGGACACAAATTTATACGTAAATAGAATTTCTCAAACTGGGACTGGAAGGTCAATTGGTAGATATTCTGCTTGTCGTCAGGAACAGTATGTGGTCTTGTTCTTCCTTCCAAACGACTCAATTAGTTCATTAAACAAAAAGGTTCTACAGTAAGACATCACAAAGTGATAGTCAGCCCTAAGCAGCACACAGCTGGAAGCCCAGGTCTAAGGAACCCCTATTCATCTTCTTCTAAATCAATTAAAAGGTAGTGAATGGACTGTTTTTACTTTATCTAAAGTACATGTTATGTTGTTGTTTTTTTATCACAAGCTGTGCCTGTGTATCTGAACCTAAAGCTAATAAACCGTCCATATTGAAACACAAGGAACATAAACAAAATAAGATTACAGTTGAAAAGAATCCAAGACCAAAAAGAGGGTTGTATGTAGCCGATTAAATACTAAATAATACCTATAGGTAATGTGCAAGCTCCTGTAGCATTAAGCTCCTCTAGCAAGGTCCGCATGATAGGCAGAAGCTTCTGCTTGCTCTCCTCATTGGATATGAAGCCACTCTCCAGCTGCAACACAGCGAGAAAAGAAAGAAACAACTCATATGATATCGAATGTTATTTCTTGAAAAGGAAAATTTGTGCGTACTGAGAGTGAATTGCTCATTACCTCCAGAGTTGTCAGGTACCCGGACAGCTTCTTTACAATCGGTTCGAGGGCACACGTGTTGGTCTGAGCGTCGCATACAAGGCCCAGATTAAAAAGGAGGGCATTTCTACTATACTTTTTGTGTTCGATACACACAGGACAGCCGATTAATTTTTTTCCCATGGCTGTACTGTTAGAAATATATATGAGGACATTATAGTTAATGGACAAGAAAGATCATACCATTTCAAAGAAAACATGGGAAAAGCAGTATTTTACAGCACATATACAGAAGGGCAGCTCTGGTGTACCTACACTGTTATTAATTTGTTTTGTAGTTCTGGCTTGGTGATGATATAAACTTGAACTGTATCAAATAATTCCCTTGATATATAGTCTTCTGGGACCTGTGAGGAAAAGCAAGGGAACAACGTGTATTCTGTTATTTAGGTGAGATGAATGTACAATACAGTACCTGCCAACACAAACAATGACGTCAGAGACTACAGCCAGTTCGCATGTAAGGTGAATAATAAAGCCATTTGCTCTCCTAAAACAGGGTAAAATAAAGCCTGTGATGAGAATAATAACAGTACAGATTGGGGTGCCTGTGTACAGAAATAATTAAATTTGTGTTTGGTTTCATTATCGCGACCAAAGAGCCAAAAATCTCAGCCAAGATGCTGGCCCAAACTTTGCCGAACTTGCTAACTTACCTGGTATGTTATTTTTGGCCCGAGGGTTGGATGAAACTCGCTGAAAAATATGCACTCTATCCGTGTGTTCATGGCTACCACTTACCAAGGTTTTAAACTAAATTAGCTCAAAAACCTCTCCACAAACTGTCAGAAAAGCATGCAAGCGCCTACAGTGTGCCTTCCCTATTAGCTCCCACAAGCTAGTTTCTGCTTTCAACTTTCAAAAACAAGCCAGCGACTGAACCGGAAACCCATTCAAACAGCTCTAACATCGTGCAGTATCCAATTAATGATGCTATTTGTGTTTTAGGGAAAACTGCCACTGCTCTGTTTTAGAAAAACTTCTTAAAAGACATTCACTCCCCAGTTGAGACCCAGTGGTAAACAATACTGCTGCCTTTGTAGTTTTCCGTAACTTTGAAAGCCATACATACGGTCCCACCGAAAACATCACTGAAAACATTTGGCATGGAAATTTGGACACGATAAATATGTTAACGCAGAGGCTAAAGGAAGGGAAGGGAAAATCCATTGTGTTTTACAATAATTTCTAAATATTAGTAATAACGCGCCTTTTGTATGCTACGCTGGAATAGAAAAAGAGCCAATATAAACATGTCAAAGTTAGTTGAAAGAAGTAGCTCATTTTATTACCCAATTAACTTGCAAAAGCTTAATTTACGGGCTTGGCTAAGATTTATCCCATATTCTACTATTTTCTTCCACATCCATGTGGCCACCAAGCTAGGGTGTATCATATTTCCCTCAGTCTTTAAAGTTAACACCACTTAGAAGCGTCAGTGCTGCGCAACCTGCGCCGCATGTGCGCCGCATTCGTAGACGTTCTTTACGTTTTCTGTGCCATGTGACGGGAACAGACCTAACCGTGTCAATGAGGCTGCCCTGAAAATGTTTACATTGAATTTAGAGTAATTTATAAGTGACCTTGAACGTGAAATTGCAGGTTTATCGTCAGTTTATGTTCTGCTGCCACGAGGAAGCGAAAACTGCTTGACAACATAAGAGTAAATGGACACTGAATTATAATGATGTAGAGTGTTTATAAAACCATGTGGAGGATTTCGATGAGTACAAGCTGCAGAGCTTGTTTGGGGTTCAGGAGCTATGGGAAAACAAAGGTAATTGTTTCTTGTTTTTAGTATAAACCCCGCAATGGTTGCTACATATTTTTTACCACTTGGAAAATGGAAATTTTCCCGTGCTTACACTACATATCGTCACCGTATTCTGCTGTCTTTCATCCATAAAAAAAGAACTGTACAGAGCTGACGAAAACGCATACCACAGGTTGATGCGTCTATAAACTTATACGTCCATTTTATTTAACCATTTATCTCTTATAAAAACAAATTCCGAAATCGAATTAAGCGTTTGTTTATCATTGGCTAAACAGAAAGAGTGGATATTGTGCCAAATCTTGGAAGAAACTATCTGTATTACAAAGTTATTATCTAAAAATGTATACGAGTTTATAGGTCTGACACAGTGATTTAAGATAAGATCGAATCTGACCTTAAATTACCTGGAGTACAATCAAAAGCTCAATTAAAACAAGTTTCTCTGAAAGTACTAGATAAGACATCAGACATGAGAGTTACTGACTGATCCAAGAGACAGCAAAGATTTGCATAGTTATTTTCAGTCTCTGTATTTAAATTTGTGGACTGAAATATTGAGGATGTGACTTGTCCCCAAAATCTCAAACGTCCCGCCAGCTAAAGGCCTTAAAAAACTCAACTTCTCTGTTTTGTTTTGCAGCAGCGCTCAGCAGTTTTTTCTTCTCTTTCACTGTACATATTAATACAAAAAAGGATTCATTTAGGCCCTGTTGAGACGGATCACACAGGAAATAACAAAAGTCTAAAGTGCCAAGACGTCTGCTTATTTATCATCTGATAAGTGAGAAATATAGATCAGTTAAATTATCTTCATATACTGTATATATACACACACACACACTATCAAAAGCCAACATGGATTCAGGGTTACCGTTTGTTGCTCATGAGCAACAAAGAGTAACCCTGGAAGCCCCCCCCCCCACTCCGTTCTGGTTTTCATTACACTCTGTTGGTTATTACTAAGATGTACCTTAGCCCAGATGGGAAAATATTACATAAAAAAACTAAGCATTCTTTTATTTCAGACTTCAAGGAAGAATACACAGTTCACTTGTTTTTCGTGGGCCACATTATTCCATAAAATGACGCAGATAAAGGTTAATCAGTGTGTGAAAGTGTGATGAGGATTACAGCTGTGCTTGAAAATGTCGCATGAGAATAACTGGTATGGCGTGCATGTAAGCCTAAATTCTCCCAGCTGTTGTTTTTCCCACTGCATCTGTACATTCTAAAAGCAACTTGTTTTTAAGGTTTTCGATTAATCAGCTGTTACATCAAAGTTTTAATTTTCTGTTTATAGCTGTGTTAACATTTAAATAAGTACGTAGGTTGACCAAATTAAGTTGTAACATATTGCCAGATTGCAACAATGTGAATTCCTTAAACCCCCACCCATAAATAATGGAGACTTTTCATTAAGAGGGTTTTGGAAAATCTTGAAATGTAATGATTTCAGGGGACTTGGAGCTTTCCCGCTGTGCGCACATGCAGTGTTCCAGCCTTGCCTGCCCTCCCGATCACAGCAGCTCAGGCGCTGGAGCTTTGGAGAAGGCATTTTGAGGAAAGAGGTGTGACGGAGCCAGAGCAGTCGAGCCAGTACATCATCGCTCATCTGCTCGGAGCTAAAACCGTGAGTGTCAATTTGCAGACTTCTGTCAACGTTTGGGGTGACGTAATGACTCCAGAGCTGCAAACATCCCCTCCTGATCTTTACCCAGATAGAGACTCTTGAGCAAGACAAGTTAAGAGAAATTCTCAGCCAAGAAAAAATGGAACAAGTGTGGCAGCTCTGCACAAAACGCCTCTCAAGGCAAGTTTCTACGTGCTGCATATTTCTGCTCAAATATGTTTTTTTTTTAATGAAAATACATGCTGTGCAGAATGCCTGTCCAGTATGTGATTGAGGAGTGGGACTTCAGAGACCTGACGCTGAAGATGAGGCCCCCTGTCTTCATACCAAGACCTGAAACCGAGGTTGGAAATTGCGGCATGTTGTGAAATCCCAGTGGCCAATCACCAAGTTTTTTTCTTTGTCTTTTTCTCTCTGATGGTGCAGGAGTTGGTTGAACTTGTGCTAACGGATCTGCAGAAGAAGCTCGGACCTGACATCAGTGCAGATTCTCAGCAGACATGCTTGGAAGTGGGATGTGGCTCCGGGGCAGTTTCTCTTAGCCTGCTAAAAACTCTCTCTCAGGTGAGGTTTGGGTTAAGGAAAAGGTCCAATTTATTGATATGAAATACTTTTAAAAACAACAGAAGCTGAGCAAAGGGCTTTGCAGGTCAAAATTTCTGTCTTTATTTCAAATTCAGAAGGTTCAGACTCTGTCAGGCCTTCACTGCACAGGGGGTCATCAAATCTCACAGTGATTCACAGCCACTGGTTGTACGAGGCACGTCCATTTGGATATCATCACAATGAAAGGAAGGTTGAAAATAGAACGTGGGCCGTTGCTACACAGCTGCCGCCTCATTCACGTTGAAAAACTGCACGTCAACGTTCAGTGGAGGGATTACCTAGAAATTCTACCCTCGTCGTTCTTGATCCGCAGAGGTCGAGGTCTCCTGCCTTTTTTATTTATGGCCTTTGGAGCGGCAGCGCGAGTTAGAAGTTTTCACATGTCTGTTGAAGTAAGCTGACGTCTAACAGACGGGCTGTCAGAAGGGATATCTATTATTTACAGGCAATTAGACAGCGATGCTCCCCACAGGATGAGCCGTTTCATAAACACATCTGGGAAGGCCTCAATATAAATCATTTTGGAATGGCCGGCATTTTGAAAAAACCCAAATCTCTATGGGAGATTCGAGCAATTAGCAGCAACAAATCAGACAAACTAAAAGGTACTGATTGTATAATATAGACAACATTTCAGAGCCAAATACTTCACACAAACATATGTTGAGGGTTTCAACTTATCCACTTATCGAATCAAAGGCATGTTTTTAATGGAAGAAGTTTGATTGTTTCATAGTCCTAAAAGAAAAAGTCATGCCAGTCCCCCATAACATGATGGCCTCTGGAATAATATTGAACAGAGCCTTTTCAAGCCGTAAAACAGCAGTCAGGTCTTGGAATTGGGACATGAGGGTCTGGATCCTGGATGAAAACCCTAGTTATTTTGGGATCAAGCTTTCTTTACACAGATGCCATCAGATTGGTGTCAGGGGAGCTTGGGTCAGGATCCAGACCCCTTATCATGTTTTTTTTTCTAGAAGTTCTTCTTGAACTTAGTTTCTGCTCTTGTGGAGGAGGCTGCCGCTAGAGGCGAGTCCTGTTGCCCATGGGAGGTGTGGCTGCACTGCAGAGATTATTATGTGTCAAATGCCAGGATATAGGCTTTTCCCGGAAGAACGTCTAAAAGAAGAGCTGTTTGATGATTATTCTTAATTTTCGGCCAGTGATCTGCATCCCTCAGTTCCTGATAAGCACCACACAATAGCACTATTGACTGTTTTTCTTCTGTTTAACACAAAACATAATGAATCACGAAGAACTAGACGGTGCTAAAAGGTAAAGAATGAATTCACTTTTGGCTGGAAAACGTTTTAAAAGGTGTGAATAGCGTTTTAGTTTCTCGCTATGAAATCCACATTGTTTTATTTTTGACTGGATAAATGTTTTGCACAATTTGTTGGCTGCGTTAGAGTTTCCTTTGAAATCTAATCGATGGATATAATAGTATGATGCTGGGAAAAAGTCAATCACATGAAAAAAATAATAGTGAAGTGATTGTAAGTGAAGGCTTTTGTCTCCACAATGGCCTCATAAATGTGTAGGCTTCTGCCTTCTCTACATGCTTAGAAATGGAAGAAAAACAGATTCCTAGAAATTCTCCCCGAGAGCATACGTTTTTGATTACCGTGTTTGATTTCTTTCACCAGCTTAGAGCCTTAGCCTTGGATCAGAGCCAGGATGCGGTGGATTTGACCAGAGAGAATGCGTGGAGGTAATTGTGTCCTAGCACACGAAAAACCAAGCTGTAAATGTCCACAGCTTTTGATTTACTCTTTCCAGGTTTAATGTTACTGAAAACTGTTGGGCAGTGTTGTATAAAAACTAAAAAGGGATTTTCCTCTCCAGGTTGGGGCTTTCAGACAGATTAGAGATTTATCACGTAGATGTGATGAAAGGTACGTGGAAACGGTGCTCACACTCGATTTCTGAGTAATGCCGCTGCGGAGGAAAGGTTTTGAGTTTTGATGGCGTGTTTTTCCAGAGCCAGAAACTGTGCTGAGCCTCTGTGGATCAGTCACGGCTTTGATCAGTAACCCTCCATACCTGTTCTCAGAGGATATGATGTCCCTCGAGCCAGAAATTTCCAGGTGAATGCATTACTTTCGGCCACTCAGTTTTTATATAACCTTTGTTTCTACATTCAAAAGAAACATCTCTGCACAATTGTAGTCCTACTGCTATTGTTATGTGCATATTTTTTCTCTCATGTCATGAAAATGATTAAACATACTAATTGCCATATGTTTCAGCTAAGATGGTATTTATTCTTATCTTATTTGATTGAATTAGACAGGTGGTTTTATAAATATATTGAGGATAATTATTCAAATACAATTTGTATGGCACTTTCAGTGTCTGTTCGAATCATGGGATTTAAATGAAAGCTTTTAAAGGTTGATTTACAGCTAGAGACCACAAGACTTTTAGCTGAAGTCATTAAATCTGTCTGGGAATACAATAGGTATTGGGGGGGTAAATAATGCGGTTTTTAATCCCTCAATTTAATTTTCAAATCAGTACAATAAAACACAATTAATACATTAGATTTATTTTTAGCTTTTTCTGCCCAAATCTGGGATACATTTTTTGTATTGATTATAAGTTGTAAGAGCTGTTTGTGTTGTAAAATTAGGTTATTTTAAAGTTTAATGCAACTTAAATTTGGACACAATCATTTGATAGAAAGGAAGTCTCAGATTTGCCTCTATTCATTTTTTGAATAAACATTGTTAATAAAAAACAATTATTTTCTTAGGGGATGTTTTTATGTATAATAATGTTCTGAGCTGATGAAAATGAATGGATGATCATTATTTTAGTGTTTATGGATGCTGAGAAGGAAGTTTAGAATTAAGTGATATTTTGGGGTTGTTGAAATAAATATCACCTGCAGCTTACATATTAAATTAGATATTTTTCCCAGTCCAAAGTAACCAAAACTCAAACCTTTCTAATTACAAAGAGAGGCCAGTACGATAAATTTGCACCGGTGGATTAGATGCTTTAAATATTTGTTAAATATAAGTATTTGCATGATATATGTAAATATGGGATTTTGCAAATGCGTTTCAGTGACGTATGGTTCTGTTTTTCTGCTCCCAGATTTGAAGACCCTGCTGCTCTAGACGGAGGAGCAGACGGCATGAATGTGATCAAGCAGATTTTAACTCTGGCTCCACACATGCTGTCAAATCATGGGTGAGGAACACCACATCCTGACACAAACAGGGATACACACACACACACGCACGCCGACGCACACACACACCTGGGTTTAATTCCTAACATTAGTGGTGCCTTGTCACGAGAACAGCACGCTCTGCAAAACACACGTATCGTGTTGCCTCTTTAACGAGTTAAGCTTTCCAAAGGCTTCCAGTGAGTACAGTTCCAGGCATATGCCAGGGCCCTTGATTCCTGGGTTACTTCTAGTAATCCAGCCTGCTGTTAATCAAATTATAATCCTTGTTGTGTCGTGATTTCTATCGTAAACAGGCGTGTTTACTTGGAAGTGGACCCCAGGCATCCCCCGCTTATTCGAGAGTGGGCCGAGGTGAATGTGCAGGCGCTGCAGTTTGTGGAAACGCGGCACGACATGAGTGGCAGGTCTGTGCTCAACACGTCTCCACGTCCGTCACCTGAGCATCATTAGGCTATTTTAATGTAGTTCAGCGCGCTGCCATCTTTAAGTTGGGGTTTAGGCATTTTGGGGCATTTTTGTTCAATTTCAGCATCTCCTCCGACCCCATTTTTTTTTTTGTTTCTTAGGCCACGGTTCTGCATCCTTCAGAAGGAGGAGTCAAACGAGGACCACGAGGTGGATCAGGATTGAGAAAAAGAGATCCTATTACTCTGGCTTTAGCTCAGGTCACTGCAGTCTCAGCTCCCCCCGAACCCCGAGTCACCGGGCGGGAAGTCACACCCATCCGATCTCTTCAAAATTCACCGTCAAATAGCGTTAGCATCGTCGCGTCAGGTTTAATCACGTCTCAGTGGCCATGGACGCCCCACCTCCCCGTAAAAAAAATTGTGGGCGGGTTGGCACAAAAGCAGGCTCAAAGCTGAAGGTAATTACTGAAGCTTTTCTTAGAACCCTCCCTCTCAGAATCTCTCCCCCCCCCCTCCCTCCTCTCTCCTCCCTGGAAGCATGCAGAAGTTCTGTGAATCCGCTGATGAGCGATCCTCCCCTTTGCTTGTCCCCCCGCTGACTCAGATGCAGGCGGTTGAGCAAAAGCACACACCGTGTGGCCTTTACTTCATCGCACAATCTGCTTCTCTCACATACTTAAAGCTCAAAGGCCAGAGTCTTTGTGTCTCAAAGGTGATTTTTTTTTTCTTTCTTCAACTAAAAATATTTCGTAACAAGTGTCACAAGAGCAGTCATCATGTGGTGGTTAATGATGATCGCAGCATTTCTGTGTCCCGTGAACAATACTCATATTTCGAGCCATGCAGATGACAAAAAGGAAAGCAGACTAAAGTTGAACCTTCTGACATAATTGGTTATTTTATTTGAAAAATGAACACGTGTAAAAAGTACAGAAAAAGCTTTGCTGCAAAAAAATCAAATGTCATAAAAGATATCTCAGTGGAATTGGTGTCTTTTCTTAGAAACAGTATGTACATCCCAAACCAGTGAGGTTGAAAGAGGGACAGCTTCTATATCTTTGACATACAAAGTATGTCAGATTACAGTACTGCATTTTTCCCCGCGAGTCGTCCTGGGGGGGGGGTCTTCTAGACCCAGTCCTTAACAACGTCAACCAGACACTTCGGTCTGAATTTTTGTCAGCGATATTTTTGTGACTGGCCTCCACAGGCACAAAGCGCTGTCTTTTTTCAGTCAGTCCTTCTTTAAATAATCCGAGTGTGAAGCCATTTGTGCCGACCGACAGACCCCCCCCTCATACCTTGAAGGGATAATTGTACAGGTAGTAAACCAGAGGGCCCGGGAGTGGTAGCTGGTCGGGGTGGTCGGTGTGCCTGTTAATGACCAGGCGTGTGAGGTGCTGCAGAGAAGGGAGGCTCTTGGGGTTGTACAAAGCCCGCTTCAGTTTCATCACCACAGACGTCTCCTGAACCTTTTGCTGAGTCAGCTTTGACGGAACTGCGTCCTCCACCTTCCTCTTCCCCTCCTCGGGTTTCCACTCGGGTCCCATGTAGTGCTGCACCAGACTGTTCACGTTGGGGAAGGACGAGAGGCCGGTCCGGCCGGGGGTGCTGGAGTCCAGCATAAACCCGAAACTGTCGGACTGGATCCTTATACTTGTGGGTCCGCGAGCAGTCCTGACGGACAGGGTCAGCAGATACAGGGGGTGGCTGCTGTCTCGTACCAAAAACGCTCCCTCTGACGCCTCTTGAAGAGCAGAGTGGGCCTGAGCTGCCGTCACAGCTCCCCAGTACCATCCTGCACACACACACACACACACACACCTAAATATTAGTCATGTTAAAAAGACACTGGCTCTTTTTATTTATTCATCAATTACAGTCTGCACATCGCTTCTTTATTTATCAGAAAATAAAACTAAATCTCTCCGGACAGAGGACATTTTCCCAAAGTTAATTTTTTTTTGCATTGTACTGCTGTCTTCGGTCTAAATGTGCAGATGATTTTGTGTTTCTGTTTCTTTTCTTACAAGGAATTGTCCTACTAAATACATTGCGCTGCCGATACAGTGGCAACTGAGGCAACTTTCTGTTTTAATCTCAATTTAGATGCTTATGATGTGAAGCGCTCGTCATACCGTACCTGAATTTTCCAGCAAATTGTAGTTTCTGGCCATTAACTCAATATCTATGGGTTTCCGTGTTTGAGGGTCGCTTTGAATGCATGGCACAGGAGATAAGGTTCCTGCCTCGATGCCCTGCGGCGCCTCGCTGGACGGAGCAGTGGGCAGAAGAGCGCTGGGACTGGAAAATAAGATGGAGGATTGGGTTCAACTGGCAGAAATCAACACGCCACAAGCAGAGCAGGAGGGGGGAAAAGTGTTAAATACAGCAGGCCTGGAGCTTCCAGACTAAATTCAATGCACAGGGATTGTTTGTGGCCCTTTGTGTGAATATTTGTCTTTTGGATTGATTGAATTGACACATTTTTGTGTAATTGTGTTGGTAGTGACCTGCGTCATTTTGGAGGCTGGTTGACACAAACTGTTCTGCTTAAACAACACTGTCCTTAATTCTATATCAGTTGGCTATTTATAAACCAGCTGAAGTTGTTATTTTACAGCAGATTACCAGTTAGTTGGGCTCGGGGCATTTTGTACTTGAGGTTTCCCCCCCCTCCTTTTGTTCACTTTCAGGAATGTTCTTGTAAAAACATTCTGCATAACATATATAAAATGCTACTAAGCACGAATAAAGAACACCCTACTTTCAGGCCCGAAAATAGTCACAATTAGATTTTTAGGCCAACTGTGGTGAGATAAGTGAAAACAGAAACAAAGAGAAGTCGACTCACCTGGGCACAAAAAGAATCATGCTATTAGATCCTCCGGGACCAAATCCTTCAGACGAGAATAAAAGAGAAACGGTGCCTTAAAAGCGGCACATTTACGAAATAAACAAACGGCGTCGAGCGACTGGTTGGACCTGGAAAGGCAGACCGAAAGCCACATAAAAGACACCAAAACTTCCCGCACGGGATCGGCTTCTGTCCTCGGAAAACGAGCGGCGACCTAATTCATCGAGCGGAGCGATAATTCTTATCAAAAACGTCGCCGTGGATTGCGAAACGTACGGAACTCTCGGGCAGACGCTTCGTTGTCCGTCGTCCCGAGACTCGAGACCCGAATGTGTGAAGAGCAGAGCGTATGGGCTTGGCTTTTAAAATTTACCGTTTCCTAGAAGTCTATTCTGAGAACTCCTCAGTGCACCGGCGGCTCTGACGTCACACCTGCCGCTCCGCTTCCCAGTCCGCGCCAGACGGGGGCCGGCCCGCTTCCGCCTCCCGGACCCACGGACCCACGGACGGACGGACTCCGGTGTCCACCTGCGGCCGGTTGTCCGGTGAGCGGTGCCGGTTCGTGTTCCGCGGTCAGGTCTCCGTTCAGCCGCGGCCAGCCCGGACGGACGTCGTCTGGGGGGGTCGCGTTCCGTGGCGCATTGTTTTTTTTTTGTTTTTTTTTTCCTCCCGGGTCTCGCGCGTTCTTCTTCTGCGTGCCTTTCGCTGAAACGTCGCGCGCCGGCGCGTGCGCGTGCTGGCGGACGGGCGGGCGCGCGCGCTCCCTGGAAGCGAGCGGCAGCTTCTGGTTATTCGCTTTCCAGGAATAGTTGCCGGGGCTGACTCCGCCCCGCCGGGCGGCCCTGACAGAGCCTTCATTCTGGGAATTCACCGCCTCGACATTAAAGATAATAGGAATGCACACAGGCTGTTTCCAGTAATATAGATTCCCCTCGATCCTGTTTGGAAAAACAAGGCGAAAGGTTTTTCTTGGAGGGTTAGAGAGGGATTATACGAGTGAAAACAAGTTCCTTATTGTGAGAATAAACCCATAAAACGGCTTTTCTTCAGTTGGGCCCTGCAATCTTTTGGCAAAGTCGAGTGCCACTCTCTAAGACTCCCTTTTATACTGGATTATGGGCTGATTTGATTATGGTTTGTTTGACCACATGTTGATGGTTTAGTTCAGACCTAGAAATGTGAAAGTGTTACTTGCAGCAACAATTCTGCTCATCCTGTGTGTCCTGACATTTCTTTTCCTTGGTAATCTATAGATATCCCAGGCCTTCCCTTTCTTGACAATAATATGCATACATTATTTATCAGCTATTTTTTGTAGCCTTTATAAAACACATAAAGAGCCGTTGGAGCTGGTGCTAGATTCCCCGTGTGTTGTTGCAGGGACACCCTGTTCAAGGGAAATATTTAAAAATATAATATTTTTAGCAATAGAGTGAAACTTATCTCCCTCACTCGGTCTGATGTAGCACATATTTTGGGAACAATGCCGTATTTAAAACATCCTGCACCACGATCGCAGACATAATTCACAAAAGCCTGTTTATCCCAAAAAGCGGAATCTCAACCTTTTCCTTGGAATCCTGGAATGAGCTTTTTTCCAAGAAGCCTTGTGGACATTATCTATCCCCGCTGGATGCTGTTGAACAAATATGTTTTTCTGCCTCACAAAGGAAAAAGGACAGCACAGTTTGTGAAAATGTATATTATCATGCACCCAGTAACCTGAAAGCTTTGCATATGAATAGCAAAGTGGCTGAATTTAAATTGGACCCGTAGTGTCTCAGTAACATTTCAGTTTTAATCACAGCTGTTGAGTGTGATATTTTTTTGGAGTTTCCGAGTTTATTGAAAAGATAAATACAGTCTCAGATTGATGGGAGCCTCCTATATGAAACAGAGACAGAAATGACGAGCTATTCTTTTTACCTCGTGTGCACGGGGGCTCGATAAATGTTCAGCACTGTCATTTTCACTGTTTTTGTAATCACAACCTCATATTGTGTATACCTCCGTCATTCACAGATTTCTTTAACAAATTATGTTTACCCAAATGTTTTTTGCTTTCTAAGAATAAATACATTTGCATCTGGTTTAGATTTTTAAGAGGGGCAATGGAAAAGAGGAACATCATGACTAATTCCATCTCAGCCCTGACTTGGGAACTAAAGTTGTGGACTGTCTCCCGAGTATGAAAAGGAACATTTGTGTATTCAGTCATGTTAATGCTGTTCTCTAACGTTGTTCTCCCCTTATGCCAAACATTTCTTTTCTCACAAAAGGGTTCTATGAAAAACATAGTTAGCCTAGGTGTCCAGAGGGTTAGATATTCTGAAATGGCTAAATGTTCAATATTTTTAGCTACATTCTGGATGGTTAGACTTCCCTCCTGCATTCATGAAATGTAATTCTAAAACTAACAGTTCATCCAGTTTGTCTACTTTATCCAATGGTTCTCCGAAAACCCTTGTAAATTCAGGTAATAGGTCTTTTCTCGATACTTGGTAATAAGATTATGTAGTTATTAGCTTTCTCCTCCAGTCACTTGAGGCCACATGACTGCACATGCAGTTTTTCAGTGGAGTAACGCTTTCTGAGCCATGGAGGCTCTGCACAGATCCTCTCCCAGTATGATCACTTTTACTCTTTTTTAAACGACTTGAAAAGGTAATAAAACCAACATTCCTCCGATCTAATTAGCTGTTTCTGCACATTTGCTTTATTATAAGTTCCACACCAACAAATATGCTAACTACAAGTCTCCTTGTAAAACCTCATTCAAACTGAGAATTCGATGAAATTCTGTCCTCGAATATGCTGCATTACTTCGAACTGATCAGCAGTTATGGTTGTTGGCCACATCTTTAAAAACCAGAGCCACGCGCTGACCACGTTTGCTTGTTGATAACTTTCATGTGTCTAAGCTTCTGTCTGTCTGCGCTGTATACCCAGAACTTACTGAGAACTGCTGATATCTTGGGGACAGTGAGTAACTAATAATCTTTTTTTATTGTAGAGGGGTAAAAACAGAGATCATTTGAAGGTTATTCTGACTGAATCCGCAATTGCCTAGAATTACAACATGAATTAATCCTTTGTGAGTTAGGAGAGAAACCCTTATTCATCTCCAGAGCTTTGATGGCAGCAGACAGGCTCAGACTGACCTGCTACCTAGGGAGCTGGAGGTGTTTGTGCGTGACCTCCGCCAGCTGATTGGTTGATTTAATTAACAAAACATGTGAGCTGGTTTTTTGTCGTTTTTTTGCTAATGAATGTGGTCATGCAAGAGGACAACAATGAAGAGATTGTTGAAAACTAAAGCACACATGTGGAAAGTTTGACAAAAAAAAACAGCATCTGTGAACGCGAAAGTGAGTCAGCCCACATTTTTGGTTCAGGATGAACAAAAGTTGCTGCTGGCTTTTATTTCACTGTCACATTACTGATAATTTATATCATTCTCAGAAAGAGTTGAACTTTTCAAGTACATTTTTTTTTACATGTACATTAGACAGTAATTCTAGATTTTGTACATAAGTTCACTGTTTCCAAAATGCTGTATGTTTCTTACTGTACTTTTATTCCCTTATGCACTATAATAACATAAATATCTTACTTTTTTCTGCCTCTAAAATGAATAACATTTTCCTCAGATGGTGGCAAAAAGAAGCATGTCCAGTTTCCATAATGACAGTAAACATAATGCTTAGTCATAGTGTATGTGATGGGATGTTGACATGCAAGTCTGTAACAAGGAATGTTCCTATGTGAATAATTAACTGAAAAAAGAAAATAGAAATAGTGAATTCCTTTTCATTTAAGCCAACATTTTAGAATGCAGAGCGACAACAAATCAAATGCCGAGGCTGAGATTTTCGCCTGGCCTTCATATTCAGCTGTTTTACACTTTGCCTTTTGTCACAAACGCCTGTTTTTCATGATGCTTCACATGAAGTGGAGGGTCTGGACTAATGGTGAAACCCCGTTGCAACAGTCATGCTGCTGCTCCCCATAACGCTGCTAAACCTCAACACATTACTCAGCATTAATGGCGCCTTGAAAGTTACCCCTTCAAACTATGAAACACGCTGTTGTTTGATTTGTGTGCTGTTAACAGCTCGGAGAGAAAAGCGTCCATCATTTCCAGGAAGACTTTTATTAAATATTGATTGAATAGACCGCAGGGATGTTTTTCCTCTGTGGTTTCCAAATGTCTTCCTGCAGGCATTTCTAATTCAGGAATTTTCCCTGCAAATTTGTGACTGTTTTTTTATTGTAGTGCCATCTAACAGACGAAGAAGATCTTAGCTATTTAATATTGCCTCTAATCTCCGTCCCAGAGTACAGATTGATGGTGAGTTGTTGACCAGCTGTTTGTCTTTCACAGAAAGAAACACCATTCCTATGTTTGAAAGAAAACATCATAACTGGGATTATATATATCTACATCTAAAAATGTGTGTCAACTTCTGTTTTATTCAAGCTTTGCAAAAATGATCTATTTGTTTTTACCTCCTTTACAGTTGATGGAGAAACTGACAGTATTTTGTAAAAAATAAAATAAAAAAAACTCAGAGAATTCTAATTGTTTTCTGTGTTCTTTCTGTAATATTGAATCCACATTCTGGTAACAGAATGTGACTTCTTTTAAATCACGCACAAAATCAAGTTGAATCCACAAAAAGAAAGCAAATGTATTAAATGCTGAAATGAGATATTTTAACTACATCTTCATTAATGTGCTGCAATTATGTAGATTAACTGGCAAAATGAAAAGAGCACCTTAGAGAAACAGAGTCTCTCAGAGGCAAACATAGTTAGAGCTTCATCAGTCAATCGAGCCATTTCAAAATAGTCTCTCAACATAATGAGGTGAAGACTTTGACCATTCCTTTGGCAAAGGGAATTTTGGGACGGCTCAAAATCAATATTTGGATGCCTGTGCTCTCAAACCCCTAAGACAGGACGGCATTCAAAACAGACCTGATTCTGTCATGGAAATCACTGCATATACTCAGAAACATTTCCGGAAGTTATTGTCTGTGACGCACAATAAATCAGGCAAAAACGCAGCCACAATTGCATCTGATCCACAGATGCTGCCATCTTGTTTCATCAAAAACTAAAAGTCAAAGTAAACTACGGTCAAAAATATGGTAGAGTAAAATCAGGGATGTGTAATGCGGACTGACAGGTCATGCCTTCATGTCAATAGTACGGGCAGCTTTCAAATGGAAGATAAAGCATAAAGCTCAAAGCTAAGAGCTATCGAAAGGATTTGGAGAAATAAAATGGCTGTTGAAACAGCTGTGGGTGAACCGGTCAGCCTGCAGTCCGGACCTTCCACCGGCTGCAGCCATCGTGACATCTGGAACTTTATGAAACACCAAATATGGCAAAGCAGAACCAGCACTGCTGAGCAGCTATATTCTTAAGTTGGACAAGAATGGGGCAAAAATTCTCTCCCAAATGACCATCAGGAGGTGTCTGCTGTGATCAGGTGGTCCCAGACCACCTTTTTTAGAGGTAACACCACACCATGGTAAATGTGGGCTTGTCCCACATTTTTTGATTTGTTGCCTTCATAAAATATGAGTTGATCTCTTTAAAAAAAAAAAAAGGAAAACATCTCTTTGTCAACATTTGATGTGGTTTCTGTACCCTGTTGTGAATAAGGTCTTGGTTTATTTGATAGAAAAATAGCACTCTTAATTGTACACAGCAGCCCTCCTTTTGGAACTGAGATTGTCATCTGTGTTTTGTTCAGGCTTGTTGGAAACAAAGGAAATCTTTTTTTTACAAAAATGGAAAATCCCACACCGCCTGTAGCTGCAGCTTCACACTGGTTCCAATTCAGCGATAACAGGACGAAGCAGTTTTAAGGAAATCAGCAAGTGATACTCTTAATGTCATGGTATGGTTTCTCATTTCCCATTCAAAACACATCACTCTCCCCATCTCAAAATGCTTTTCATTCTTTTTAAATCGGGACAGTTTTTGATTAACAGCTTGTGTATCTGTTGATCATCACTGTTTGTCTGTAAGCAGCTTGTTTTCTTTAATAGGACATGTAATTATCTCATCTTGTTTGCGGCCAGTAAAAAACCATGTTGAATATCTTGAAACACACAATAACGTAAATCTGAACCAACAAAAACAAACAGTATAAACAACATTTTATTGGGAATATCCTTTTAAGTTGTTAACTTTGTACAAACATCGTTGATACAAAACTTGTATTTAATGCTGGACTGAAACGCTTAATTGTGCACTTTCAAGTCAGTATTGTTTTGTAAACTGCAGATTGCAAACACAGAAAACCAGATTATTTTATTATAATAAAGAGGCAATCTGTGTGCATTACTGAGTCTTTGTTTGATATCTCTACATGACGCTACACTGTAAACTGTTTTCTTATTTTATCAGAGTCCTTTTTACAAACATACCACGAGAGGCTGATTAAGTTATCAGAACGTATCAACCAAAATTGCATTTCTTATATGTTACATGTGTTTCAGTGCAGAAACAGCAGATGAAAATCATCACAGTGCTTGTTCTCCAGCACATAATAAGCCGAGTAGAGAAATGGGGACAAAAGCCATGAACTGCAACTCGACTGCGAGAGGTTTCTGTTTCAATCTGCCTCTAGCTGTCCTGTATGGCCTCTCCGGTCCCCTTAATAAGACGCTTATGTCCCCTTTTTCCTGCGGGACCCCGGGGCTTTGCAAAGGCCTGTTTGTGAGCATACTGCTTGGGATGGACCTCATCGTACAGAAATTCCTCTGTCAGTTCGTCCCCATCGTCGATCTCCAGCTGCACACAGACCAAAAAAGGCAAAAGAACAAAATAAAGCTCTCAAAGGCCTGTTTTTCTGCTTAACTCAATACAAAACTATCATTTAATCTTCAGTTTGAGGTTACTCAAGTTTCAAATGGGATTTAAATGGAAAAGGGTTAAAGTCCACTTAAAGCTAACCCTGTAGTTTAATTTTCTTTTTTTGAAAAATAAAGTTAAGAACAAGATATATTCCTCCAAATTTAAAAACGCAACCTGGTGAAAGTATGCTGACTGAGTTAATCTTTGAGCTTTGACTCTTAAACGCTCACCATGCGTGTGAAAAAAAAAACACACTATCAGGCAGCTGTATACAAATGTAGCTTCCATTTGAAATGAAACTGTAATATTCTGTCCCATCCCCCCCATCTATTCACGTGTTACCTTTTTAGAGATTTCCAAATTGTAATCTTTCTCCACTTCCTCGAGAAGTCGACTCTTGCAGCTGGAGTACAGCATCCGCTCCTTAATGCTGCAGCTGTATCCGGGCATGGAGTAAATGAACACTGCAGGCACAGGGAGGGAAGCATTATGAGAGTTGAATTCTTTTTTTTTTTTTTTTTTTTTAGAACCATGACCATCTTTTGCTGATTCGGTGATTAAAGGCTTTATGGAAAAAATTATGCATAACATTTTTCTACACCTCTTCTCAAAATACTTTGCTTGTAAATGAAAATGAAGTAGGAAGGAAAAGCAAAATCAATGTGTGGGGGACTCGCTCACAGCCCCTGCACACAGGGCAGCCTCTCACTGTGACGACATACTACAAAAACATTGCACGATAAGTGGGGTTACTACAGTTTGCAATGCAAATACAGCAGAGAGGCCTCTAAGCAAAAACCAAAAAAACTAGTGTGCAATCAATACGATGTGCACAGAATCGATGATTAACAAATGTAGCCTAAATTGCACAGGGCAAAAAACTAATCTTTTACAAAAGAGATTTTAATTTTATCTGAGATTATCTGGAAGCGTTCCTGAAGAGTTCCAGGAGTGTGTGCAGGTGTGGACACCTCAGATAGGAATGTAACCAGACAAAAGGTCACCGTCATACCAACAGATTCCAGGTAGTCTCCTTCATGAGAGTGCTTGTACAGGAAAAAGTGGTATCTGGGAGTGTCTTTGGGAACCCTGCGAGGCAAATCCCGGGTCTCCGTTGGGTTCGCATGGACCAGCTCGATGGTCTCCTTCTCTACGTCCAGCCTCTGAAACACACACGCCAGTACTTCAGTAGCTTAAAGAGCTCCTTATGCTGGTTTTTATTGAAGACGAAAGCCTGAGACGGGAACATCGGAGCCTCTCTGGGGTTATCGAAAAAACCTTCATTTGTGTGGGGCTCACCAGCTGCACATAGTTGACGCGTTTTTGGGAGAGCTGCTGCAGGGCTCTTCTGGCCGTCTCCTGCAGGGGAAAGGCCAGGCCTTGGAGGGTCTGGTGCTTGCTCTCCACGCTGATCTCTGCCTTCACCTGCAGGGGGCAGCAAGGAGACGTGTTCTGTTTTTTCAGTCCCCTTAAGCCTCTAAAGGAAAATCCAATGAGCTCATCCTGCCACAAAGATTTAGATGTATTATACTGTAATACTAACGCTTACAATGAACTATTGAAAAATGGATTTAAAAAAAAAAAGCAATCATCAACATACCTGTTTAACGTGGCCCTGCAAAAGGCAGGCACAAACAACGTTACTCTTCAAGTAAAACAGGGTACATGTGGGAAACAGCAGAGCTCAGCAAAGGGCTAAACAGAGGATTCGGCTCCCATACGAAGCTATATGCGCCACGATGATGTCACCACTGAGAGCGCGCTGACCTCTCACCTCTGTGATTTTGATCCGCTGGAGCTCCTGCTCGGCTAATGTGAGCGGGGCCGGGCCCGAGCAGGACGACACATAGCGCTGGTAACCCTGTAAACACATGTCCTCCTGGTGTCGCAAGGAAAAAAACAAGAGCTCTTTTACAAGCGCCACTAAAACATGTCAACGCGGCCAATGAGGTTGTGACAGTGAGGGGTGGTGAATTTGAATGGTTTTGACCTCTGTGGTGCCAAACAGCTCGTGTTTCACGTGGCCGCCACCAAACTCTTTCTTCACCGTGGCCCGGGTGGCGGCGTACAACATCTTCTGTTTCACCTGCGGACATCACAGAGGACAGTTTGGGAATTACTCACAGAAAGCTTTAGTACAATTCCCATTGAGTAAGGATTTCATTTAATGAGGATGGATATGATTCTTTTTTTCGGTTTCCTACAATGAGCTGTTGCAGTGTTTTATCTGAAACTCTCTGTTTAAGCTTCTGTTATCCTTTTTAGTGCAGACGTGTTTAATGAGGAAAAAGCTACAAATGTCTTTTCAGGCCTTCTCCAGGAAACGCCCAACAAAACGCCCAACAAAGATATCTCAGTGTAGATTCTCAGACATGAATCTCATAGTAATACTTGGTTTCAAGAACCAAGAAAAGGAGTCCGGCTGCCCTGCATAAGACACAAGAAGAACAACGACTGCTCATTCCCAGAACCTCATAAACTCTCAGCTGACCCGGTGCTGTTTATAATCAGTTTTCTGCGCACTGGGTGTGTCTTTCCCGTCCACTCTTAATGTTCGGGGATCGGCTCAACGGCCACATCTTTCTCTGTGCTAGTGTTCACGCCTGGCACATTACTCTGCCGTGTTCGTGCTGTAAGTGGCCTCTTTTTTCCTCTTTCATCTCAGGTCACTCTGCTAAATGTCAGAAATTTAAAGTAGCCGCTGAAGGTGGGAAGGTGTTAAAGGAAAATGATTGAATGATCACAGTATGACGTGTTTACCAATAGTTTGACATCATTATTTTTCTATTTTGATGAGGAATTCAATAAAGTAATAACATCACTTCACTTGTGAATTCTTTTTTTGTGGAATTTTGAAACTGTTGACATAATGTTACTCAGAATTTGAACCTCAGTTCAATACATTGATAACTTATTAATTCAGTGTTTTATTTCCCATGAGACATAACCCTGTTTAAGCTGATGTATATAGGCACTATCAGATGTGTCTAAAGAGCAACACTTAAGTTGTTTGTGTAGAATAATTTAAACAGCAGCCTGTAACCTTCTTACTCTGGATCTTCCTATAATAATTATACATGGAGTAGAACCACGTGGAGTAGAAGTCAGGATACTGATGCCCTGACTGTAAGGTAATGCTACGGTGCCTTTTAATCTAGCGATTGAATGTATTTATGTGCAACATCCATCCACCAGCACAAATGTGTGTCCTCAGTTGGAGGTATTGGGTTGGTTGTGAGTGCCGTGCCTCACCGGAGACTGATCAGGAGACCACGACAGGAAGAGCCACTCATAGCCCAGAGCATTCTGGGAGTCAAGGCGGTACAGAATGTAGCAGGGCTCCTGGTCGTTGAGCAGAGGAAGCAGGAAGTGGTCATAATCCTGGTCCCAGCTATGTTTCGGCTCTCTATAGGCCCCTAGCACCAGCTGCTCTGAAAATCAAAGTACCACTCGTCACATACCTGAGCATCATATACATACGTAAACATATACAGATACCTATACGTGTATATTTTAAACCTGTAACAGTAACAGTTTAGTCTGCGTTCATGATCAGGCAACAATGATGTCCGTGGAGGAGAAAAACTGTAATCTGATTTAAAGAATCTGGTTGAATGAGCTTTATTGTTTTTTATTAAATTTCCTCCAGATGAAATCAAATTTTCTTTGGTCTTTATATAATTACAGTAACAATTCAACATGTCAGAAAAACACAAACATTAGAATGCAGCAGAAAACAGTGAAAATGAAAAACTGTGAACACAAACAATGATCGGACAAAGAAAAATACTTTTAATAAAAATCCTGCAACATCACACTAAATAAATTTAGACTTTCTATAGTTCTCAAAGCGTGTTTCCAGGTTTTACAGCAAATACCTCACAAGTTAACTTATTTAACTGAAACGCTATAATTTGCCTGCTTTAACAGTAATTTGTCCTCATTATTGACTCTTTAATTCCAATCCTAAAACTTCATTATAACTTGATTTTGTTTTTTTCACCTCTTCCTATACCGTCACTCGATTAAAGTGACCCAGAAGCCTGAGAAGCAAAAGCTCAGTCGTTGGAGTTAAAGAGAGATTTTCTCATTTAATTCAATTCGGTGCTGGCAAACCCACAGAAAATGCTCACATAAACCTAAAGTCTGATGCCCTTGTGGGGTGCGGGGGATTTTCCCAGTAGCTTTGGGCATGTTGCTATTCTGAGCCGCAACACATTCCAGCTCTGCGTGCACATACTTTCCATTAGGAATTCTCTCCTGTCTTTATAGGTCTGCTAATGTGAAGCTGCAATCATCTGCTAATCATCTGCTTTAGGTGCTAGTGCTGCTCCTTTCAGCGAAAAACAAAATTGTGAAACAAGCAGATGTGAGGTACCAGGAATAGTTTTTGACTAGGCGGTGAGGAAATCAGTTCCTGTGGTCTTTTGACATCGGAAAACTTACGCTTTGCGTGGCTGTGTGCCACCATGTGAAGTCACATGAGAATGAAGTGACAGAGAATGATGGGCAGATATGGGGTTGGATGTGAAAAGTCACCCTATAATATCTCCATCCGGGGTCAGTGGAGGGCTTCTGTGCCCCTCAAAAGTTTCACATTAAGCATGTTTTGTCAGTCATAGGTACCCATGTCCTGAAGAAAAATCAAAGAATACTACTCACTTATTTGAGTGGAACAAGACAGATTTCTTATTGCGTTTAAAACTCTGAATTTCTTAGGCAGAGTGTGCTCCTAAACCCCTCTCACCATCTGTTTTGAGACAGTTCCAGTCATGAGAGGACAAACATGCAAAAACAAGTCCCAGAATGCATCTGCCAATATTCATATTACAACCCAGGGTTGTTCAGACACCAAAACAAGATGTAAACACCTCCAGAACATTTCAGACCACCTCCACAGTCTGTCACCTCGAAAAAAAAAACTATTGGCTTACTAAGCATGTTCCACAACCTGCTCAGCTCTCACTCCGACAGCTGCTCCAGCTTTTTTTTTTCTTTCCTAAATAGTTTTTTGTTGTTGCTCTCGCTGCTGAGAATAACAGGCAGTTAATATTTCCACAAACCCCTTCAGCTCCAAGGCAGTGAACTTGAAGCAGCTGAACTCTGAACTGAAGTCTTTCAGGCCTCTAATGAGCTGCTGTTATGCTGAAGCCACTGAATGAAGGAATCTGTCTGTTTTCTTAAAGGATCTTTGAAAATCACCAGTCGCTTAAAGCTGACCCCACATCTGAGTTGCCTGACCTTGCTCCGATTCCTTTGACGACCTGGAGTAACATTCGGTTTTAACACCTGACTTTTAAAAATGACTTGTGACAACAAACTCGTAGCCTGAGGTTTAAACCACTTTTAAGCAGATTTATTTCAGTTAAAAGAAGTTGATTAATCTTTGGCCCGATTTTTCTGGCTCCATGTTGGGTGGCGAAATGCTTTCTCCCTTCTGTCTGCCTGTGTTCTATTCAGTTACAACTGACTGTCCAGCTGATAAAAATTTATAAGCTTTTTGAGCCTTTTAAAAGAAGCTGAAATCACTCAGTTGGGCTTTCAGAGCCAGTGCCCGACATGAGCCCCGTGTGGAGCGGCTCCTTATTTTTGGACAGCCGTTGTGGGTCACTCACCGTCCTGGATGCACACCTTGATGAGGCGCACTGCTCCGCCTCTTGCCCTGGCCAGAAACTGCCTCAGCTCTGGCGTCACCACTAGTGCGAGAAACATGGCGGGTCAACGGCGTCGTCCTCCCGCCGGGGTCTTCGGCACAGCTCGATGAAGATCGAGAAGCAGTTGGAATCGGGGGTCCGAGGCAACAAAATATCCAGCGTCAGGGGCTAAAGCACGGCCGAAAAGCGTCCTTCACTTGAGGTTGAGAGTGCGAGCGCTGCACTGCCCGCTGAAGAGGAGGCTCTCCGACGGAGTCTGGACCGTGTGAGTGTGCCACAGTGTGAGATGGGACATTGCTCAAGTATCTGGGTGAGTATCGTATGCACACAGAGAGAGGAACCTGATCACCACTGGCCCAAATTTAGCTCTGAGTAACCCGTCCGGGCCGGGGCACAGGCCTGTGGAGAACCCAACACACAGCAGGAGAGTATGACCCCGCAGACCCCTTTATACCAACGCGTGACTTGTTAAGGACCCGTAATTACAAGAAGAATTTAAACTGCTGCAAGCAAACGCCTGCTGGATGTTACTTGTCAGGGAAGAATGCAGCTCTGCGTTGTTGAAATAAAGAGACTGCATTTGTCCTCTACCTTAAAGTCAACCGCTCTGACTTAGAAACCCCTTTGGGATGGGGTGCTGGATAGCTGCCGTTTTAACAGCTATTCTAATAATACGAACCTGATTTAAGAAAACCTGGTGAACTGGAAACATTAAGTCATCTTATTCCAACGGCGAGCACCATGTGACAACTGTGATGGCCAACAGATTTGCCATAATAAAACACCTGGTCAGACACACAGCCTTCTCTAAATCTCCAAAACAGTGACTTAAAAATAGCTTCAGTGTTGAATTATGGGCATTAACAAAGTTTATAATCCAAAAGCTGATTCAAAAAGGATCATCCTTAAAGCAGTGAACACTGTTCGTCTGTTTGGGCTACATTGTATTTCTCTACAAAAACAGGAGTTGTGAATAAAAATTAACTTTACCTTCTTTGTGTATTGACCTATTTAAAACTGGTTAGGAAAAATATCTGAGTAAATGATAAACTACTATGGGTGTAAACAAGAACGAGCCAGCTGAAGTCAGCTGGACAAGAATGGGTCCCGACCAGCATTTACACAGAAAAATTTAATGTTAAATACAAATATAAAAAAAGACAATAAATCAATTCCTGTAAACTCCTTATTTACAAATTTAACTTGATTTCCTCTCTGTCGTGTCCACACACAGCTGAGCCTGCCAGTCCGACAGAAGGCACAGCTCCACTTTCCTGTGATCAGTCATCGATGGTGGGGAGCCAGAAAGCCTGAAACATGAACATTTTGAGTCACATTCTGGTCTTTGTGAGCTTTGAATGTGCATCTGAATATTCTTTATCCGCTTCACAATGTGGGATTCACTTTACGTCTCTAAACATACAGTCGTTTTTTGGGGGGGGCTGATGATCTACTGGTAAGTTAGTTTACCAGTAAGCTCATAATATTTCTGTTGCCTGGAAACATAGCTAAGCCTTAACGTAAGCCCATTTCAGAGGCAATGTAATTTTATTTCAACTTCTTTTTAAAGACTACATCAGACATTTACATCTAAAAGTAATGCCGGAGAATTTAGGGCAAAAAACAAACAAACAAAACTAAAAAAGCAACAACTTATTTGACCCTTTAGCTCCCCCTGCAGGGATCTTACACTTCTCATAAAAAACGTGGGATCACCGCTCGTGAATCAGCCACGCACAAATACAACACCGGAAAGCAGGAATCCACCGACACAAAAAGAGACAATTATTTATGGCCTCCTCCCCTCACCATGTTGGAGCAGGCGCTGGCAAACGTCATGAACTTGGGGTTGAACTGCAGACAGGTGATGGGACCTGTGTGCTTCCCGTCGAGTAAAGCCACCTTCATGCCGCTCTCTGCGTTCCAAACGTGAATCTTACCATCCTCAGAGCCTGAAATGCATCAAATATCTCATCAGAACACAAATGCTACATACATACACAATCCAGGGGCTTCCTTTGTCTAAAGCGGGAGACATTTTTAGAATCCCTTCCATCTGTTCATCGACATGTCAAGTCTTTTTAATTTATTTGAGTTTATTCCATTATAATTGATAAGATTGTATAGACAGGTATGGAGAGTAAAGCTATCACAGGTTTTAACAATTATGACACTGAAAACAAAGCAGAAATATCACATATCTGTTATACAGATGTGCACATTAATGTTTGTCAGAAACTGTAAACTTAGGAAATTATTAGACCAGCTATTTTTTATTCAGTAAGGTTGAAATGATTAACTTACCGATCATTACAAACTGAGAATCGGGAGTGAAAGAGGCCTCCAGGGTTACACCTTTACTGTTGTTGTAGCCCTGTGGACAAATAAAGCAGTGGAGCTATGAAACCTGAGCATAAATGGTTTCTCTGCTGGTACGACATCAACGTCTTTAAAAACCTGACGGAAATCTATTTTCCTGGAAATAAACTGATACATCTTTGTTGTCCTCTTACCCCAAATGAATGCAGGACAGCCCCCTTAAAAGCATCCAAGATGCGGAGGGCTCCTCCATTAGTAGAAAGCAGGATGAGTTTCCCGTCGTTACTAAACTTTAGTCCCGTCCACTCACATGTCCGGTCGTACTGAAGCTTGAAGGTTGCAAAGGGACCCTGTTGATAAGCAAGTTCAATTGACATTAATAAGATTTTACCCAGAAATCAATCAGTCTCACATTAAACACCTTTTACTATACCTTATCAAATGACCGCAGATCATAGAGTTTAACCATCTCTGAGTTTATTCCAGCAGCAAAAATGAGACCCTCTGGATCGAAAGAGCAGACAGGCTTCCCCTGCAGGTGCATCAACCCCTAAAATGTACAGATTGGGAAAGTTTGTCTTCCACAGCCTCAAAGGAGGCTAATCAAATTAACATGTAATTAAAAAAAATATGGATCACTTATTTTTGCAAAGCGGGACGTGGAGTGTTAACTTTAAAACTCACCTGACAGTTTGGTGATCGCAGATCCCACAGTCTGATGGTTTTGTCTAATGAGCCAGAAATAAATGTGTCATCCACAGGAGACATGGACAGAGATGTCACTCTGGTCACAGCGCACACACGAACAAACAAAAAGAAACCGCATGAGTTCAGAGCAACCTGAAACATTATGCCTTCTGCAAAATGAAGCGTGAAGGTACGCAGACATACATCAAACCCTCACCTTTTGTTGTGTCCAGGAAAGTACCGGATATATTTGTTGTCATGAAGGGACAAATACCGAATGGTATCTTCAAGAAAAAGAGTCACAACGTTAAAAAGAGTTTAACAACAACATGTCGTACATACTACTAATCAGCATCCACACACTGAGTTGGCTCGCAGGTCTGATGAATGCACTCAGCCGTGGGCAAGGCAGTCACTTGTACAGTTAGCTCCTGTATGGGGCAGAATCACAGACCCTCAAACTGTACAAACAACTACCTCAGCCCACAGTCGGTAGTGTGACTTCCTGCGATGAGAACCATTGTAAAATGCGTGAAATCCGGTCGACATCAAATCATTGTTTCTACAGTGAAACCAATACAACATGACAAGATGCTGTAGAAAGATGCAAAGACGAAAAGTATCAAACTCCTATCATCAACCAAATACACTTCAAATCCTATTTTGTGCATACATACCGTCGATTTTGTTGGAACTGTAGACCACTGTGTTTGCAGCATGCGTGTACCTGATCAGATCCACTCCATACTTTTTACTGTAAAGAGTCCTCTTCGGTCTGCCACAAATCAGGAGGGGAAAAAGACATTTTAATAAAAATATAAGAAAAAAAGACAACTTCTTACTATAATCACTAGCCATTTATCGGGAAAACTTTGGTATTTCAATCCCGACCACTTAATCTAGACAGGTGGCAGTGGGACCTATGATCACCATCCATTTGCTGTAAATCCACAAAATGTAATTGCTGATCTTAGTTTTACATTAAAATCTCTACACATAATTTGGCTTTGCAAAAACAGCCAAAATCTGAAAACTAACAAATGCTGCTCATGGACAGCAAGTAAGATTAAATAAAAACGTAAATGTTTGCCTTTATTGAAAGCATATCAATAATATATCTTTTTAAATCCATGTTGGTTAGGTGCTTTTTCTGCTTGAACATTTCTTATAGGTCAGACTTCTGTGATTGATGATCACCAATTTCAATGAAGTGACGGCGTCTCACATCCGCTTTTGATAATTTCTCATGAATAACCCTCATTATTTGGGCGTAAGGCTCTTCTCTAGAAAGCTAATCACACATTAATTGCAGGTGTTTACACTTTACGACTTAGTTACTGTTGAAGTCATTTGTATTGTCTATCTGTAATGTGTCACATCTATGCCTGCTTTGCATTACGTTACGCTGCAGGCCTCGCTAGCTAGCGTAGCAAGTTGCTAATGTTAAAAAAAAAAAAAACAAACACATAGAGTCCTTACTTTCCCTCTTGGCAGTCATACAACACTAACGAGTCGTCATCACTGCTGGAAATGATCGTTTCTCCGTTTGAACTGAAATCGAAGCAATTAATTTTGTCTGAGTTCTCTCGAAACACCTTAGCAACCCTGAAGCTCCGCAGCACATTGTCCGTTAGCTTCATGATGACCTGTCTCTATTTGAGGGGAAACAGGCCCTCGTTTCTTCTTAAACCGCCCTACGGATTCCCAACTTGGTAGTTTGAGCATATAAACAAGCTACCACGGGGCTAAAACTGATTACTATAAAGATTATAGTTCAAAAACTGCGACGAATTCCCGCCTGTATTACTTTTTACTACTCGACAGTCAGGAGGGAGGGAAAAAGCACCGCCTTCGCCACGTTGGTGACGCACATAGGATCACCTGATGCGCGCGAGACGCAAGGGTCATTATCGCGAGATTAGTATGTCAAAACATACACAGAAGATTTGAAGAGCAAAATAACATTCAACTTTCATTAGAACGTGTCTTTATGATAAAAAATAAAAAAAACTTTGGGGTTTCGAAAACCCATAGGCACTCCTTTTTAGCTTAACATTTGTTACATTGTCGAATTGCTCATTTCTGCCAGGTTCCAGAATTTCCTCCCGCAGCAAGATGAGCACAAGAGGTGTGAGGGGGAAAGTTCGAGCAGCATTTTTGACCAGTCAGTCTGAGGTATGGACCGCAATTTACTGGTTTTAACTGTAGCCCTGACTTTTTCTTGTGTGTCTCGAGTCACAGACAATCTATTTTAAGCATTTAACGATCAAGTGTCAGTTTTTGGCTCAACCTAAAAAAAACACACGCTTTAAAAATAATTTAAACTTATCACAAAAGGCTCCCAAGAGGGGCAATTTACTCACATCAATCTACAGATCTAAAGATGGATTAATTATTATATGAGATTGTCTGTCATTTCTGCTGGCTGTGATAAGGATCTTGGATTCCAAAAACCAACAATACACATTTGACTGTACACACCTGATTGATATGTTGATATGAGTTTCAAATAGCATATGAATATATTTGCTGCCAGTTGCTTCCACACTACTGTATATGAATGATGTGTGAGAATCACCATGCTAGCGTTTTACCGTTATTTTCAAATGACTAAGAGAGTTCATGGAGATTAGACACAAATGCACACCTAGGTGAACAGCTCCATGATCTTTTGAAATTAATAATTAAACACAGTGTAAACAACTCCAGACAGTGTTTGCTCAGATTTTTTTTTTGCCTCACTGCTGAGCTAGAACACACAAAACAAGCTTCCACAGGAATCTGCTGGCTTTTAAGTACCATTCCCAACTGTTACAGGTAGGCAGCCCTCTGGGTCTTTAGAAAGCACAGTTTTAACAGGAAATTTGATGATTTTGGTAAATCAGAGTGAAGGTGTAAGTACAGACTTGATTGAGTGCAGAGAAAGTGACTTAGTGTCTAGGATTTTTGTCAGTTTTGAGAAACAAACTTACAATTAATATATAAATAAATTATTTGTTTGTGATGATTACATTTCTTTAAAAGAATAACCCAAGCTTCATCAGTGCATGGACTGAACAGGCATGAGTTGAGCTTTACATTCTGGCACTTTTAACACATGTATGTTGTTTTTCTGTCAACTTGGAAGCAACTAACCTTCACTTATTTCCTATTTCATTTATTTAGGTTTGTGTGTACAAAAAGGAAAATGTTTAATGAATACAATAGATATATATTAATTATTTGCTTAAGACTCACAACTCACAACTGTATATTTTTCATATATTGGCTTTTCTTTGTGCATCTACATGTTCTACTGTCATTAAAACTCAACTTACTTTTCTCATCTTTTAGGGGATTTATTCTCCAACCTACTGAATTATCAATGGCTCGTGTCCTTTCCCTGATCCGGTCAAAACCTTTCCAGGCCCTCGTGGGTAAGCAAAAGTCTGCAATGTGCACAATGTCAATGGACTCCCGGGCACGGGAAATCTTTGCAGCAGCAGTGGACGCTGTGCAGCCGGACACCGTGGTCCGGCAGAGCATAGAACGCAAGGACGACTCAATCGTCATCGATGGTCGCAAGTTCACACTTAAACACAACCTGCATGTGGTTGGCTTTGGAAAGGCTGTTCTAGGAATGGCTGCTGAGGTAGAGAGGATTATGGGTGATCATTTAGTGAGAGGAGTCATAAGTGTGCCTCATGGGATTCAGCAGTCATTGCAGCAGCATGGAAAAGGGTATGTGTATTTTAGAGAAGTTAACAGCCTTAAATATGTTGCGGAAAAGATGATTATGGATAAACCAATGTGTTATTTCCATCACAGCCATCTGTTGCTAAAGGAAGACAGCCAAATTAAAGTAATGGAGGGAGCCAAACACAACTTACCTGATGATGATGCCCAGAGGGCCGCTGAGGGGATCAAGCAGTTAGCCAGTAAACTCACAGAAGAAGACTTGCTCCTTGTGCTGATCTCGGGTAACAGCCCCACTTGTTTGTACCAAACAATCCAACCTCACATTGTAACATCTAACAACCAGTGGTTCATCTCTGTCTAGGTGGAGGCTCCGCCCTATTACCAGCACCAGTTCCACCAATCTCATTGCAAGAGAAGCTAGATGTTACTCGCAAACTCGCGGGTGCTGGTGCCACAATTCAGGAGCTGAACACCGTACGTCGAGCCCTGTCTTTGTTGAAGGGGGGAGGACTCGCACGTCACGCTCACCCTGCGCAGGTAAAAGACTCTAGTAGTTTCCATCAGCCAATCATTGGAGAGAAGTTATATCTCTTAACATCCCCTCCCTGATCACTTCTTCATAGGTGATTGCACTGATTCTGTCCGATGTAATTGGGGACCCACTTGACTTGATAGCTAGTGGGCCTACAGTGAAGAGTGAGATGTGGCCCGAAGAGATTTTGTCCATCCTTGAACGTTACAAGGTCCTGAACTCCCTGCCAGCTTCAGTAAAGGACATCCTATCGATACAGAATCCTCGGTGGCAAGACAATAAGGATGAATCCAGTGTATCGGAACACGTTCACAATGTCGTAATTGGCTCTAACAGCGTTGCTCTCCAGTGTGCGGGCCGCCGCGCTCGAGAATTGGGTTTCCGTCCTGTCGTCCTCTCACCAGGAGTGTGTGGCGACGTTAGGTCCGTGTCCAGGCTTTATGGTCTGCTGGCTCGTTTTGGCTGCTCTACAGAGGAACCTTCTCCTGAGATTGCCGCCGAAGTGCTGCGACTTGGGCCGGAGGTAGGCGTGGAGAGTTGGGACCTGTGCCGCACCATGCAGGTATTGGAGGAGGGCCGTACAGAGGGATGGGGGGCCACGTGTCTGCTGGCTGGAGGGGAACCCACTGTGGAGCTGACGGGCAAAGGCCGAGGTGGTCGAAACCAGGAGCTGGCTCTGCGAGTGGCACTGGAGTTCAAAGGCATGAAACTCCCCCCTAACGGCCCTGCTTTCCTCAGCGGGGGCACTGATGGTCAAGATGGACCCACTGAGGCAGCAGGGGCCATCACTGATGGGGGGTTGCATGATGAAGCCCAAGCACACGGGCTGGACGTTGATAACTTTCTCATCAATAATGATTCCTACACATTTTTCTCTCGTCTGTCTGCTGGACGGCATTTACTGGCACCTGGCTTAACCTGCACGAATGTCATGGATGTACATATGCTACTTATTCCTGCAATTCCTATTGTAATAAGATAACTTTAAAGCAGAAATAATTAAACCCACCAGTTAATCTGGATTTGAATGACTTTCCAGCACACAACCTTGTATTTGACTTCCATAGAGAAGTTTCTGATCCATACTTCTAAAGCTACATGGAAACACATTTGGTATTGCTGAATTTTGCGATCATAGTATACTTTATATGATGATTTTTTTAAAACAAAAAACAAAAAGCAATTATCTATAATGCCAAGATATATATTTTTCCCCACCTCCCTTTTGTGCACATACCATGTCTGAATATATGGTAAATCCATGCTTTTTGCTAAATGTCATTATTATTATTAACACAATTCGGGTATTCTTTCAACTTAACTTTATATTCTGCCCTTTAGTTTTTTCATTTTTAAATATTTTCTCAAAGACACATTAATTTATAAATGTTTAATTTTTTCCACTAAAAAATAAAAGCTTTACAACTTATGGACCTTTCTCATGGATGAATCCAAAACATCACGACATGTTCTTAATGCTGTTATTGGCAGAGGTGGAATGTAGTAATTTTTCTCTCATAGAATCTGTTTTGTAACTTAGAGAAAGTTGAAGTCTTTTTCCATAGTCTGACCATGGCACAGGACCAAGCAACAGACCACTGAACAACTGATGGACCAGTTCAAAAACAAAAAATGTTGTCTGTTTCCACTCTCACTCACAGGAATGGAGCTGAAAATAACATTGTTCACAAAAAATAAAATACATGCATAAGTCAAAGTAGATCAGATCAATTTTACAGAGTTACAATATTAAAAAAGAATGACACCCATACATGGGAGACAGTAGTTATTCATTGAAAAATAAAAATAATTATGTGATAAAAAGGGAGTTTTACACAAACTTATTTATTTTCTTTCTTTTTTACATAATATACAATAAATTACCCTGTCACTTTAATTCTCACAATTCTCACATAACTACTGACTTTGGCAAATACTATTAAGTATTTCTAATTTAAAAAAAGCCCCAACTATATATCACCCAGTGTACTCGCACAGGAAAAACAATTTATTATTTTAAATTGTCCATACACTGTGACAGTCCAATATAATCCAAAATGTGTGTATGTCCTTGGGATCGCAACACCCTATCTGACTTCAAAACCAGTCCAATGAAATCTTAGCAACTTTAAACACAAACTGATGAATATGTTTCACATCAGTATTGGATCCCATCGTCCAACTTAAACTTTTGGTCTTTCAAGCAGGGTGACGGTTCTCTGAAGTGTCCAATGCCAGTATGATACGATAGATATCTCACAATGACCATTCATGTGCATACACGGACACGCATCAGATCAATAGATGTATTTCTAGAAAAATTATATAACATCAAGCCTTCTTCAGACCATCTCAAATGTAATGAAGGCTTTATTATCAGAAAAAAGCTCAACAGGCACTCAGTGTCTCTGGAGTAAATTGCCTGGCCCTAACTTGGATAAAGGCCACAGATCAGTGTCCGGTTAGTCCTGATGAGTCTTTGGACTGTCTCCTGCTTTACTGTCCCTAAAAAGAAGAAGAAGAAGAATTAAGTGAAACACTGCAACAAAAAACTAAAGCAGAAAAGAAGAATTTATCCTTGCAGAGACTCACTCTAGCACTAATTCCTGCTTTAGAGACTGAGACCATGTGGTGAGGGAAGACTAACTGAATAAAGTTATTAAACATAAAATGAGACACCTACCAGCTGCTGAGGTGCGGACCTGCATCAGGTGTACCTCCGTTCTGCCCAGTGCCTACATGTCAACAGACACAGATCAAGCTAACGTGGCTAGCACTAGCTTACCAAACACTGCCCCCGATAAAGCAAAGAAAACTCACCTTGTCGGTAATACATATCGTTTACTGTATTCCCGTAGACCTTCCATGCAAAGTGAATTGCAATAAGACTAAAAATTAACCAGCTCAGTAATATTTTGAAAATAGACACTCTCATGTCGTTGGCTACCCAGTCGTCCACAAACTCAGAGAGGAAGGAAAGGCAGCTGTCAGCGATGCGGGACAAGAACTCAAAATCCCACGACTCCTCCATAGTGGTGGACTTTCCAGCTAATGCTTTGATATGATTAACTATGTTTCCAGTGGCCAATTAAAAACAATGAATGTGTAGGGTTAGCAGCATATGCTATCTGTTACACATCCCTGGAGTTGCTCTGTTTACGTTGAGAAGGCATGAATAGGAAGTGACGTAATTACGCAGAGTCCTTACCTGGCTACGTCAACCGTTTACAAAACATTTCACCAGTTATATTTTCATTAAAAATATTTTCTTTCTTGTGTTGAGAGTGTATGTTGAAAGATTTTTTTTTAGTGACGAGTTACATTCTTGTAATTTGTGAAATTCATTGCTATCAGAAATTCATATGTATTGCGCAATACAAAAATGTCATGAAAAATGTTACTGACAAGTGTATCTATCTCCAATTTAAACTACCATGTGTATTTACATGTATAGTGATTTTGAATATTTCTATAGTTTTTATCATATTTTGGAAACAAAGTTTATTAAATTCTTTCTATAATTTAAATGCAATCAATAAATAGATATACAGTTACATATGCAATTGCATTAGATATGTCACTGCAATTACATGATTATATGATTTTTCCAATTCAATCTAAGTAGTTCACATTTCCATATATTCAAGATGTGATTCAATCTTAGAAACCTGATTCGACTGCTTTTCCTAGTGCTTATTTAGTTTTTTATCCTGTATGGTTCCACCTCTGTCAGTGGGCGGGACTAGCGTCCACCAGAGCGCATACTGATTGGCTAGTTCAACCAATCGTCACCGATTCCGGACGTCTGCTGTTGTAAGAGGAAAATTTGTTTTCTGCTCATTCTTGACAGCCCACTTGAAACCGGGCTTCAGATTAAAGTTAATGTAGCAAACTAGACATTTAGCCCCGCACGTCGACGCTACAAAGTCGTAAGTTTTATTCTTTGTTTATCTAATTTTTTACAGGAGCACAATTGCCCGCACGATCACTGTTAAGTCAAGGCCATGAAATTGATCCGTGGGTTTCGTTTGCTAGCAAGCAGCGTTAGCTACATAACTACAGTCAACATTTGCAGAGTTGCGTCGTAATTCACGGTCACACCATTATCACTATGAAGACATATGCTATATTGACCGTTTGCAAGTTAGCCAACATGTGAGGATTAGTCGTTTGAATAACAGAAGTTATTTTTAAACTGAAGGTTAGGTCCATCCGTCAAGCGTTTGTCAGCGGTGCAACATTAAACCGGCGGCCTGTAATCAGATTTAAATTCCTGTGTCTCTTGGGTATCTTGGAGCTGTTACTCTCTTGTGTAATCATGTGACCGAAACCACTGCTTCCAATATGAGTGATCCTATTCATATCAGACATAAGATGCCTATGAGCCTGAGCACTACAAAGCTGTTTGACTTAGTTTTTCGTTACTCTTAGTGATTGGGATGTTATCATGGAGGAAGACAATCATCATGACGGAGAGGCACAAGGAGTGAAGATCTGTGATCCCCCGTCTGGGAGCAATCCATCTGGTAAGGAAAGGAATGATTGAATTCTTACTACAAATCAAATTTCCCAACTGGTCAGGGGTCTGATCTTTGTACTTGTCCTAGCTATAATTCCACATTAATTCCACAAAGTGTTAAAGCACTGCATACCTTATTACGTAGACTAATTCTTCAACCCATGGATGTGAACATGTTCATAATAAGACTCTAAGACTCTCAGCTTAATATACATATGAAGTATACATCTGTATCTTCATTTCATAGTATAATAATACATATCTAAACTAATAACCTGTTGGTCTCCAGATAAAATGTTACTCTAATATTTCCTTAAAGCTTTTCTGATGAGGTTTTATGATGACTTCTTAACTTCGTTTTTCCCTCCTTTTAGCTGACAATTTGGCGACATCTCTGTCCCTCCTGGGGAATCACATGTTTCCCGATCAAGTGGTGAGAAGTGATTCTGGCATCATTAAAAGAGACCGGGATGAAAATGTGCATCTGTCAGATGCTACAGCAGAGGAACCCAGTCAGGATCCAGAACCTCCTTCTGACCCAGAGCCAAAGGTAGAGACTGACGATACACAAAACCCTGAGTGTGAGAAGGAGTCCGCACAGCTGACCGACGGAGGGACTGAGGGGGCTGCGATGGACAATGGCCAGAGCGACTCCGGGGAGTTTGTTGTTACAGTGCTGGCCAAAGCCAAGCTGGAGGAGCAAGGCCTAGGTGTAAAGGGGAGATCTTCCCCCCTGTTGGAGGCGGGCATCCAGGAATCTCCTGCATTCATATCTCATCGTGATGAGGATGTCACAGCTGACAGCTGGCGGCAGCACAGGAAGCATGTTTTTGTACTCAGCGAAGCCGGCAAGCCCATTTATTCCCGATATGGCAGCGAAGAGGCACTTTCATCAACAATGGGAGTCATGATGGCACTGGTGTCTTTTGTCCAAAGTAGTGATAATATCATCCGTTCAGTGTATTCAGGTAAGAGAGGCAGGTGGCAGCATGAATAGAATAGAATTTCTTATTATTTAAATGAGAAAAGAAGAAGTTATGTATAGTTTTCTGTTGTGCAGTTGTTTTATGTCGATTAGATTCACATATGTAGCTTTTTTTGCATGAATGAACAAGTCAAAATGAAGACTGGTTTCACAGGCTTTTCAAACTAGGCTTTGGTTGGTGCTGCTCAATGGGAGTGTTGCTTCACAGAGTACATGTAGATAAAACTTGGTTAAGAATGACAAACTGCAAGAGTAAAAGATCAACTGATGCACAACATGAAAAAACTGAATAAAAAATGCCTCTTAAATAGTTAGAACAAAATCTTCATTCTTGTTTTTTCGAAATTCTATAAATAATGCCATGGCATAACGGCTTGAAGCAAAAGCTTGGGGACACCAAGTTTTGGTTTTTGATGAGCCTCGCAGTTTTTAAAATCAATTTTGAATAAATTAAAAGTATTTAAGGTCTTACTATTTGTTTTGTAACTCAGTATCATAGAGCATGTTGAGGCTAACCCTTTTCCGTGTGTCTCTGCCCTCCCTCAGATGGACACACTGTGGTGTTCCTGCAGAAAGGGCCCCTGGTGCTGGTGTGCGTGTCCAGCAGCCGCCAGTCGGAGCAGCAGCTGCGTGGAGAGCTGCTCTATGTGTATTATCAGATTATCAGTATGCTCACCCAGGCCAGCATTTCCCGCATCTTCGAACACAAGAAGAACTACGACCTCAGAAGACTCCTGGCGGGCTCCGAAAAGATCCTGGACGGCCTTCTCAACCTGGTGGATTCGGACCCCAGCTTCCTGCTGGCCGCAGTGCACTGCCTGCCTCTGACCTCCTCTCTCAGGGACTCTCTCAGTCAGATCCTACAGAAAGCTATCACGCCCAATCTGGTTTTCTCCATCCTCATCGCTAAGAACCAGCTGCTAACCATCATTCAGGAGAAGACGGTCATCGAGGACACGAGGCTGGAGCCGGCCGACGTCCACCTTCTGCTCAACCTCATCGGAGCGTCCTCAGCCTTTCAGGCTGGGGAGATCTGGACTCCCATCTGCCTCCCGCTCTTCAACCCTGACTGTTACTTTTATGCATACATTTCTTACCTGGACCCTCCGGAGTGCACTGTGTGTTTGCTGCTGCTCTCGACAGACAAGGAGGCTTTCTACGCCGTGGCTGAATGCAAGAGGAAGATAGAGGAGGCCATGGTGGCCCAGAACTCCCTGAGCCTCATAGCCAAAGCCCAGTCCTACAGCGTGAGCCAGGTTGGCGTCTCAGACCTCAGACACTTCATGTACAAGCCCTTTGACGTGCCGGACAACTACCGGCAGCTCACTCAGTTCACCAGGTGTGTGTCTTTGCAGCATCAGCCAGCTCAAGCTCGAAATAACTCGTGTGGGACAACAGTTTAAATGGCTTTTTACACTAAACAACACAATTTTGAAGCTGCTTTCTCTGATCGCGATCACAACTTAAATTATTACCGTCTACAAATGAACAACTCTACTCTCTGTGCATCTCTTGGTCCGAGTTTTTGAGTTTTACCCTCCTTCTTTGTGTGTGTAGCCCAGAGATGGAGGCTCCATACAGCAGTGAGGAGGAGAAAATGCGACTCCTGGATCTTTATCGCTACATGCACAGCCGCATCCATAGCACCTCACGACCCCTCAAGCTCATCTACCACGTTGCTGAGAGGGAAACTCTGCTGGCTTGGGTATGTTGTTGTTTTTGTTTCATTCTCGTGAATGCCTTTTATGAGATATAAAAACAATTTTTTTAGTGACTGATTAATTGCTCATAATCTGCCTTACAGCTGATTTTTTTTTTTTTTTTTTTTTCAAATATTTCCAAATCCGTGAAGCATAATTTTTTGTTGATTTAATGAATTAAAAAGACAAAATTACACTCAAACTTAAAGCCACTTCATTAGTATTTCAGGTGTCTTAACTTTTTACTTGCGTCTCATCTTCCCGTGAAGCTTTTTTAAAATTGAGTGAAAGGTACAGGTATTAAGTTGTGGCTGTTTTTTTATGTTTGTTTTATATCCACTCTCAGTCTCTAAGTTCACAAAGAGAAAAACTTCACCACAGAGAAAAGGATCAATGCTCCAGTAGCTTATAGTTCCTTGCAGACTTGAATCAACCGAAGCTGACAGGAGGAGTCTTTAGGGGTTTAAGTATTTAAACCTCCAACGGCTTCTTCTTACATAGCAGGTTTTACGCTGATGAGCTTGGAATCTGTTCCAGTCTGAGGTCCCTGTTTCTCCATTTGATCCAGTTTGGTTTGGTTTCACTCTGCACTCTGTTTTAGTGCACCAGACAGCTCTTCATGACATGACTTCTCACTGAAAAATTTAAAGTTTCCCTTGAGTGGTTTATGTCAGTATCGATGTGCTTTGCCGTTGTTTAAAAGAAAAACACAAGAAAAAACAAGATAACTGTGATCATTTTGACTGTTTTCTTTAAAAAAAACAAACACTCAGCTCCAGTAAAGTAGGACTAGGCTTTGAACTCCCATATTGGAGAGATGGCGTAGGCCTGTGGGACTGTTTCAGAGGATGAAAATAAACCTGCTCCCCTTTCCTCAAATGCTGCCTGGGGCTGTTCTCCAAATACTTCAAAATGTTTCAACATTTAAAAAACACCTTTTCAAATCAGACCAAGTGTGAAACATTTAAACACTGAAAACTCTTTTGATAAGACTAAATAATAACAAGGACAGCTTGTTTCCTCTCCATCTTAAATCTGTCTTCTTTCCATTTTAGGTGACCAGTAAATTTGAGCTGTACACCTGCTTCAGCCCCCTGGTGACAAAGACTTGTGCCATTACTGCCATCACTAAGCTTTTGAGATGGATTAAGAAGGAGGAGGACCGTCTCTTCATTAGATACCCCGCTAAGTATTCAACTACTCCAAACCCCAGCAAAAGCTCTAAAGGGGGCAAATCTGACCAGCAGGACTCCACGGATAATGGTTTCTTATCTCTTCTATAGAACTCCGATAGCATTAAAATAGCTCTGCCTCATTCAACACTAGTTTGTACACTGGTCCCAAGACATTTTTAAACCTTCTTTGGATCCTTGCTGGACTTGGCAGACACTGACTACAAGAATTGAGCAGTATCTTTTACACTACTTAAGGAGGACGGCTCTCCAGGACTATTCCTTTACCTAAAAAAACGAGAGCATGCCATTGCATCTGTGCTTTCACTCAGAAAGGGTCAGGGCAGAGCTGCATTAGCACATTTTAATTTGAACTATGGTAGGAAACAGTGACATGATATTTAAATGTTTTTATATTGTTTTATTACAGCAACATGAGCTATTTCTGTTCTCTCACGGACAGTGAATGTATCACGCATACAGGTAGTCAATACGCCACAACTATTTATTGTTTGTTGTGTCAGTTAATAGGAGAACACTTTAGTACTACCTTTTTCAACACTAGTTCACAGACGTTTCTTTTCTTCTTCGGAAAAGAAACCCTACTGTTTAAAACAGAATCTTAGGAGGAACAAAAGTCTTTTCTGTAGAAGCGGCCCAAAACTGGAAAACCAACTACTGGAGCTGTCAAAAGGAAGAGGCCTGTACGAATGAGCGAAGCCACCCCCGCAAAGAAATGTGGAAACATGACGTTTCATATTGTACTGACATTTCTACTCAAATGACGACGTGGTCACGGGTTTTATTCATGTTACATTTCCTGAAAAAAAGAAAGAATCTCATCCCGGTCATCGTTCATGTTAATGTTTTCTGTGTAAGATGTCTTTCTTGAGAAGATTCTTCAGATAAAAAGATGCTGCTGAGCTCATGAAGTGTTTTTCTGCAAAATCATCTCAGCCAACGAAGTGAGTACAGGGGACTTTGGAGTTTTGAATAATAGTTTTCTAAATATGGTCTATATAGGGTAGCCTTATCTTTATCCCCTCTGATGGATTCCCTTTCAGTTCAAGTCCTACAGTGTCTCTGTGGTAATATCAAATAAACCCCAGATTGCACAATTACAGCTACAGCTCTCCTAATTTGATGGTGTTTCTGTCAGAAATAAAAAACATGAACACCTTATTTGGCGATTGTATTTTTATATTTGCTAGGCTGAAGAAACTAATGTTTTAGAAAAAACAGAAGTGCAAACATTTGATTGGGACTTCCACTTTACGGAACAACTCCTGTCCCACCAGCTCCGTGTAGATAATCAGCTTCTCCTCAAAGTGTGCACACATACTGTTGATCGAAGTATTGATTTTTGTTTCCGTTCTTGGGCGTCCCAGTTTCACACTAAAGACCTAGTTCGAGTTCCACCCTCAGAGGAAAAGAAAAACTTTAAGTACTCCATGCAAGAGGCATTAATATGGCTTTTAATAGTAACAGGTCAAATCAATATTTCTTCGTCTCGGTGATTTTCAAAGGACACATGCCTAAATTATAGTACCACATTAGTAATTGACACATTATCCACAATATGTCCCACTGCAACTCCCATTTAAAAAAGGTAGCATTAGGTACGGTTTTTTATTTGGAAGTTTGAGCTTTCATTGACCTCTTAAACAGTCACTGGTGGGTTTTTTTCTGTGTTTGGTGACTCAAATCTATGCAGCATGTTGCTTATTTCTCATTAAATATTTACCATCTCAACCAGCTGACAATGGGTTATATGTTAATGAGAGAGGCTGCAAAGGTCAGCCCAGAGCGTCTATTTTTCAGACACTTTTGGAGCCACCGTGTCAAGCGGTCTGTTTTCAGTTTAGCCGTCCGGGTTGGAAACTCGTAAGCACCTGAAATGAGAGATTCATCCTGAGGTTGCTAAGTAAAAATACAACATGTAGTTGTTTCAAACAGCTTTTATTCTTGAGTGAGAAAATATCATCTCAGGCAGACTAAAGATCTTGCTGTACAATTTAAATGACAAGATCAAAAATCTCCTGTGCCACCAAGAAAGAAAGAAAAAGATTCAAAACAAAGAAATCGCAGGACAGTTCGGACTCTGCTGCCTTCAGAGTTCAGGGCTCGCACCGCCTCTCTTCTATAGAATATATTCCATCGACATGTTGGTGAATACCAGCACTATTACAAAGAGCTACTCAGCATCATACATAGATCTGTTCAATATTTTTACTTTTTAAATAACACTCTCGACTGCCACAAGTTATAAATTAAAATCTATATTTGATTTTTGCATTCCTTAAATTACTTAATGTAAGCGAATATAAACATACATTTACATATTTACAGTACTATACACATGCACTTAACTACACTGAGGCTGTATACATACATGTATATTATAAGCTGTACACAAACACACACACACTAGGTTAGCCACATATATGGCTCCAGGGGTTTCCTGCTTAAAAAAAGAAAAAAAAAACCCAGACCATTTGTGCTTTTCAAGTCTTCACGGCCACATGTGTGAACAAATACACCTTCTTCAGTGGGTCAGTGCAGCTGATTTATCTGCTACACCTCTGTAGTGGCTTCACATCTTCTCCTCTCACTCTGGCGTTTTTTTATAATACAGTTTCACAATATGGAAAAATAAGCAACAACCTTAAAAGTCTCACCAACGACACGTCATAGCTGGACTCGGAGTTCAAGAATACTTGTAATGGCAGTTTTTGTTTTGAGAACAAAATATGAACATAACCTGGATATAATCCCTCAGCAAAGTTTGAAAAGTGATCAGTCAAATCCGCCTATTTCAGATTGGAGTGGAGGACCCGAATGAAAGGTCGCTGCTTCCCTCATTATTCTGAAAATAAGTCAAGTTGATTTATCAGATGCACACAGATCATTAAAAGTTCGGTTTCCATCCACGGCTGTATAGATCAGACCGCCACAGAGTCCAGATATGACGCGAGCGTTAAAGTGGAACTTTGACATTTCAGTGGCAAACATGACCGAAAGTCGTTTCAAAGAAAAACGATCCCTTTGACGAGTAGACATTTCAACTTCTTTCAATCAAGTCTCGACTCACTTTGGCCTATAGTGAAAATCCTCTTATGAGCACATAGCAACAGTGGTTGTGTAAAATGATTATTAAAAATGTTTTTAAATATATTAAGCACTTTGCCCACCATTTTAAAAATTGTTCAAAAACCATCACTTTTCCATTTTTTCAAGGACAGTAAAGAAGCTTCTATACAGACAGCCTGTTTCCGGTTATAAAATCTGGAAAATAAAATCTATATGAAATTGGAGGGCGTGAAGTTCACGTTCCCTCTCACGTGGTTCAAATGCACCATGGCTCGGTCGTACGCAGTGTGCACAGACTTGCGGACGCCGGGTTTCTTGCCCTCCATCAGGCGCAGCTTGTCCACCGTGTCGTCCATCCCCAGCGGCAGTAGTTTGTCGCGAGGGAGCCACTGCCTGAAAGCCAAGACGGACACGTTTCAGAGAGGCTCGGGTTCCAGCGTGAAGGCTTCCCCCCTGCCGGGATCTTACCACGTCCTTTTGGTGTCAAAGAAGAGCACCAAGAAGAGCTTTTCTCCTTCCTCCGTTTGTCTCCACTCGCCCAGTTTGAGCACCTCCACGGGAGGCACTGGAATGGGGATGCCGTTGTGAAGGAGTCCTTCCTGAGGCATGTCCGGATCAACGATCTGTAACAGAGGTTACATGTTAGCCGGGATATATTATTTATTCCATGCTCCGGGGATTCGGCGAGGCAATCACACCGCACAATGGAAAGGGTTGAGGAAAATGAAAAAAGACAGGTGATGAACAGAGGAAATACAAATTTGAACATGAGTAAATAGCCTGAAAGTTAATATGCCTCCCTCTAAAATAAGTTGTTTTTCAGAAAAAGTTCTCCAGGACTGACTAAAACTGAAAAAGCATCAGATCTCCAAAGAAAAACGTTAAAAAGCTAATGCTCAACACCACTATAAATCATTAAAAAAATCTGTCTGCTTGGATGTCTGATACAAAAAGAGATGGTTTGACTCAGACTGTACATCATAAATTATGATCTCACCATTGCTGGGTAGGACGGATATCCTCTGCATTTGGCCCACACCAGGTCCAGAGGCGAAAGTTCAGTCTCACTGTCTAAAGACAGAAGTGTAGACTTTCCTATGAACAGAAAAATCAAATTTGTTTCATTCACCTCTGTTGGTGACTGCTTTTGATCCCAAACTCAAACTGCATCGCATGTCACAGCAGCAAATATATTTGTTTAATTCTTATATTGGGATAACAAGTAAAAGAAAAGCAAAAAACAAAACGAGAATGACTGTATTTGTATTACTTTGTCATGATACACACCCGACCCGGAGATGTCTCCGTTCTCTTTGCTCGGTATTTTAGCCAAAGCTGGTTTACCACGACTCCGTTTGGGAGGGGAGAGCCTGCAGTTGAGGGGAGAGCGAAGCAGCAGAGCTGAGTCAAGTATCCGTTTAGAAAAAAAAACAATTACAAAATAAGAAGAAAGAGTTAAAAAAGTTGTATTAGGCTGCAAGCTTTATTGGCAAAAAAATATCTGTTATAAGATTGCTTTAAAAAAAATTTAAAAAAGAGAAAAAAGTCCAAACTGAGAGCTGAAACTTGCTAACTGGCTGTTTAAAGCTGACTGATGAGGCTGTTTGTGAGAAACAACCTGTGGTACTCCTGTGGTAAATAAGCTTAGCAGCCAGCTGGGGAAGTGACAATCACACATATTAAGTGTGTGAATATCATAGCCTTCGGTAGGTGTTTTCACACCGTCTGTTACCACAGAAACATGTACACAGCTGAAACGGCTGCTGCTGCAAAACACACCAGCAAACGCTCAAACCCCAAAAACTAAAGCCCAGCTGGTTTGGCTTTATGTCTATGCGACATGTAGAACACAGGATCTGACCCCCTGACCCCACACTCACGTTAAGTTGGGGTCATCGTCCTCATCCGGGTCTGCACAGGTGTACTTTCCGTTTGTCAGGCCTGGGAACACGAGCAGATGGAGAAAAACGTGAGCTTACCCGCCAAATGTTGGCAATGCTGCGATCTGCTCTGCCTCACCTTCTTCTCTGGGTGGGGGGGGGGGCTTGTCCGTGTTGCTCTCTGAGCTGGGGCCTCTGGACCTCAGGTGGTGCGTGGAGGGGGAGGAGGGCGCCGGGGAGGCGTTGGGCGTCGGGGGCAGGGTGGTGGTGTTGTTCAGTCCGGGTGAGTTTGGGCTCGCCGGCGCGACGTCCAGCCCGTTGGTTTTCTCCTCGGACGTTTTGCCGTTCTGCCCCGCGGGGGACTTGGTTTTTGCCATGCGGGCGCCGTTTTTCGCCTTCTTGAACAGAACGGATGTGCGGCGGCCGACTCCGACCAGGGGCAGAGTCGGCGGGGAGCCGAGCGGAGTGACCTCGTGAACGGCCTCCGGTTGGGATGAGGGCGTTTCTCCTACCTCCGCCTCCTCTTCGCCCTGGCTTTTGCTCCCGCTGCGGGACGACCTCTGACGCTTGTAGGAGCGCCCGGGCGAGCGCCGCCCCCCGGTGACCATACCCAGGACCGGGGGCTCCAGGGGAGCATCCCCCGGCAGGGGGGAGGACACTGGGCAGGTCAGCTCCAGCACAGGTGGACAATCATCTGGATCAAAGAGAATTTTCTCATTAGGGTGATTAAAAACAGCAGAACTCATGTGTTGTTGTTTTTTGTGCTTATTAAGACAAACTGCATAAAAGATTAAGCGATTCAAGATAATAAAAATGAAAATTACCTTACCTGTCACAGAGTTTGACACTGCTGTCAAAGGCCCGTTTTCCACGTTTGCTTTCTCCTTTTTCTTTTTCTGCTCCTCCTCCTCCACTTTCTCCTCGTCTCCCTCTTCATCTTTTTCTTCCTCCTCCCCGTCTTTGCCGTTCAGGGCCGGAGCGCCTTGCTGCTGCTGGCTCATCCTCTGCCTGAGGGTGTTGATCTCTCTGCGCAGCAGTCTGATGCGCTTGGTGCGGCCTCCGCTGGTGCGCATGGAGGTGACCATGTCCAGTTTGTCCAGTAAGGCCTTTAGCTGCTCGTCCGTGGTCAGGTGCAGTCTGTTGTCGGGATCCAGGATAGAGTCCACTGTGCGGAGGGACAAAGAAGGGGCGGGTGAATCGATAAAAGGGGACGGGCCGCGCTCCGGGAACAAAAGCATGCAGTCTATGACGTTAACTCACCGTCATCCCATGTGCACTGGTAGAAGCCGTGTTTGTTTGGAGCTTCTGGCAGGTGCATGCCGGTGCTGGGGTCCAGGCCGATGCTCTGGGACTGCCTGTGGGCATGGCGGAGAACAGCTCCACCCACCTCCCGCAGCTGTAGGGCTGCTTTGTGGAACATGGTGTCCTTGGAGTTGTATTTGAGGCAGTTGGAGATCATGAGCTCAAAGTCCTTCTCCAGGTCTGCAATGGAGCAGTAGGCATGCCCCTCCAGTTTGGTTCTCATGGTCGAGAAGTCCATAGGCTTTGATATGAACTCCAAGTAATCTGGAACCTTAGCGGTCAATAAAATACAAAGAGCAGAGCCCAAGGTAAGCCAAAGCAGCACGATTCTGCTGGACCAAGCAGGATCTATTATGGTGCACTAACCTCTGCCAGATTCACGGGCTGAGAGAAGATTTTGGCTGTGTCCTTCTCTTGTAGTTGGTCCAAGGTGGTTCGTAGAAGCACCAAAGCAGGGGTCAACTTTAATTCAAGGGCAGCCTGCTGGATTTTCATCTGATGGTGACAGCATAAACAAATGTCAGCGCGCAGAGGAAATGCAAGGGCGCCGTACAGGCTTTTAGATGCAGTTTAATCTCTCTCTCTCTCAGCAAAGTGTACTTCCTCGCAATTTATATGATGCCAAAAAGAAAATAAGTACAATCAAAGTACAACAAAGGCTCTAATTTTCAGAGCCAAAAATAGAATTTAAATCGCTTGGTTCATGCAATCTGAACTTATACTTATACTAATCTCGGGTCTTGTGTCTTGTGTGCTGCTGTTTGACCCGACCTGTTCTCTCTTTAGCCTCTCTCTCTTGCGGATGAGTTCCACCAGAAGGCGGGCTCTCTCCAGGTCTTGCCTCAGCTTTTGCCAGTATCGTAGCTCCTCTCTCGCTGCGCTCAGCTTCTCATCAGGCTCCCGCTGATCATGAAGAACAAATTAGAGAGAAATCACAAGTGTTATTCTGTTTTAAAATTCCTTACACGGACAAAATGCTGATTAGCGCTTCAACATCACAATCAAACCTGATTTGAATACGGAAATCTCCAAAGGGCATTCGGACAAAACTTTGAACAAAATGTAATAAAAATGAACTTTGATTGAAATAAAAATAATCTTTGTGGTAGCCATTTGCAGCTGAGTTAAAATGATTTCATAGTTGTGTAGAATATGTCCCCGTATAATCGATATGAGGTCTGCAGTGTGCAGTTTGACTGACCTTTTCACGCATCCCCTTTAAGCTGGGGTGAACACCTTTTCTTTCTCTTTGACATCGGTGTCATATGTCAAAATACAGAGGCAACATGAAGGGGAGGTGAATAGTGTTGCGATGCCAGCTTAATGTGTGTTAACCAACAGCTCTGCGGGGCTGAGCAGCCTTGTTTGTTAGATATTTATAACTGAGAACCAGTCCAAGGTGGCAGGTTAACAAGGACATCTTTTTTTTTATTGCAGATAAGCCACAACTGATATGTGAACAGACAGGTTTGTAGAGTGGAGATAGACCTGTTCTCACCAAATTAATTGAATTAAAGTCCACACATTGCTACACCGCCTTTGCTGTTCACTGTTACGTTTACGCATAGTTACTGACTGTGATGCCGCTCCTACAGTTTTCATGTTTCTTTTGGCTTTGTTGTTTATTTCCTGCGAGGTGCGTGAACAGTGAGCGAGCTGCAGATATGTCGGGTGTGCACGGGTGTAACCTTTGTTGCCTGTCTTGGCCAGGACACCCTTGAACAAGACACGGTGCAAACGAAAGGTGCAGTGGTGTGATTCCAGTGACTCATGTTTTGCTCGCATTTAGAACTGCTGAGGGGAGGTGGCAACTGAACCGGCGTGGATGTCAGTTAGAGCTGCTGTACTGTCTCAAAGGTGATTGTGGTTTTTTTTGTGGTCACGGAGGTGAATGTGCATTTTAAGACTTTGCTCAGAAACAGCCTGCATAGATAGCTGGTGTAGATAGAAGCGGAGCGCACCTGTTCTGCGGTTTTGTGGGCCTGCAGGTGGGAATGAAGTCGGCGTATTAAAGGCATGCCATTCCGTGACTGTCGTTTCAGTAACCAGTAGTTGTGAAGCCTCTGCATGAACTGATTCTTTCTCTGGACTTCAACCCCAGTGCAGATCTTGTTCAGTCTGTGAAGAACAAAGTCACAGTTATAGATTCAAATCTACGAGGGAACGACAGTAGTTTAAAAAAACTAAAATAAAAGAGCAGTATATTTTCACTTTATGAAAACATATTATAAAGTATCAGTGAACGCCTGCAAAAAAATAATTAAAATAAGTAATAACTGTAAAACAAAGAAAAACAAAACATTGGGCAGGTATGCAAATGTCCCACCTGTGAGAGGGGATCTGAGGCACCAGCAGCACAGGAACATTCGAGCGGCGTGTGGACCCAGATCCTTTAGTATTCTTCTTTTTCTGGCCTTTGATTGCCTTCTTGTTTGTTGGTGAGGGAGGACTTTGAGTGTAGGACCTCTGACCCCGACTACCCCTGCCTCCCACCAACCTCCCTTCCACTGACTCGTCTCCCGACCCGTCCCTCCGCGACCCGACGGGGGAGTGGTGCTCACAGAAAGCAGTCTTCTTCACAGAGAAGGTGGTGCCGTTCACGCCCGTCTCTCGGACGGGATCGATTTTCATAAACAAACCGGCCTTCTGGGCGCAGGTGACGTGAAAAGCCCGGTAACAGTTGGCTTTGTGGCACTGGATAGACGCTCCCCTGCCTTTCTGCTTACACAGATAACAAGTGAGTTTCCAACGTGCAGGGGGGATGTTCTTCACGCCCTCAACAGGCTCCAGGAACACCGTGTTAGCAAAGCAGACCTCCGGGATCCATATGGCACAGACGACATGAGCCCATCGTCCGTCACTCGTCTGTTTGAAGGCACCTCCTCGGTTGGGACAGAGCACACAGTCTACGGGGCGGGAGGGGGACTGCAGGCAGCAGCGGCACAGCCACTGTCCCTCGGGTACGTAGGGAACGCCGTAGCACTCCTGGTGGACCGCCAGGTTGCAGATGTCACAAAAAAGGATGACATTGCTGTTCAGACATTCATCATCCAAGCAGACGCAGCAGAAGGCGTCCTCGTCTACGGCACTCTGAGACAGAGCCTGGCTGCGGGACTCCAGGATGGACTCCCTCTCCAGGCGGTCGATCAGAAGCTCAAAAGTGTCCGGAGATACAGACGCATGGCCGTCAGAAACCCGCTTGTGGTTCACCATCTCCAGCCAGGCTAGGTCTTCCTCGTCCATGTCGTATTCTGCCACGGCATCCTGCTCGTCCACGGTCTTTTCGATGTAGCGGTAGTAGGACGCTGGGAGAGGAGGTGCCTCTGCAGGGGAAGCGGAACTCAGCACGCGGAAGGTGGGCTCGGGCAGCGGGGTTTGTTGGGATGGGTGTTGGAAGGAGTGAGACGATCCCGTGTGCTGCTGTGAGCCGGACCGCTGGTTCTGATGGGATGTATTTTTACCACTCCTTCTGCTTTTAGTGTTAGAAGGTTTCCTCCACGATTTGCTCTTAATTTGCGTTTGCTCGCTGTTCTCTTTGTTGCTGTTGCACTCGACAATGTCCTGAGCCATCATTTCGTCCTCTGTGATAACAGGCAAAGGATCTGTGATGTTAATCCGATGGAGCCTTCCATCTAGGTCCACTTCCACTATTTTCTGGGCCTGAGCGTATGTCAGGGTCTCCCTGGATGGAGAGAGCTGCAGTCTGTAAGGGGAGGGGGCCCGCAGCTGGCTGGTTGATCCCCTTCCCCTTCCTCTCCCTCTGCCTCGACCCCTGCCCATGTTGAGTCTTCTAGCAGCTGTCTTGCATTCCCACCTCCTCACCTTCCGCATGGGACCTAAATAGCCTCCTTACAGGTAAAAAGAAAGAAAAGTTTAATACCATGATTTAAGTTACTGCACCAACACAGAACTTCTGCTTCAGAGGGTTATCTGAAGAGCTCCAATGTACACTCATACTGAAAAATTGATCAAAAGATATCAAAGCTGAGATGGGTACCAAAGGGCCTGTAATTTCAATAATGAGGACAAGTATCTTTCAACATTAAGCTGTAAATGAAAAGATAGCGTGCTGAAGTTCTGGTAACTAATTTCCACCATAAATTAAATTTTGATTCACAAAGTCCCATTTCTTGCTCCTGATTTAAATAATATTTTCCGATGTTCTATTTGTCTGTGCGGTTGGGTGAGGCAGACTAATGGTTTAAATATTAACAAAAAGGCATTTCATAAAAGGATCAGAGACGTGAATTTACTGATATGTGTTTGAGAATCCAAAGGTAAACCTATTTTTTATGATAAAGGGTAGTTGTTTGATTCTTTAAACGTCTGATTTAAAGGTTTTTCTGTCCCATATCAGAGTGAATGTGCAGTATTTTAATACAGGACGTTGCAATAAATCCGTAATAAGAGCTCATCTGTAGTGCTCTATAATAACATGTTGCCTCTCGCTAACACTAACACAACTACAGTAAGTTTCGTATTCGTTGCATGCATTCTAGCGTGTGAGCCGTTTCCCTATTGGCCCAACACGGAGTCTGTATCACGACCGTTTGGCATTCTGGCCAATCAGAATTAGGCAAACTGTTGTTTTTTTTTACTCCCCGGGTCCGTTCCTAGTTCGGTTGTCGAGCGCTAAATACCAGCCCGAGTATCTAACATCTGTCAGCCATTTTAAGCGCACAACAGCAGAGACAACGCTTGTGTTGCAAGTTGATTAGCAGCCCAATTATACATGCAAACAGAAACCAGTGGGCAGATGCTCGCACTGCACCGCGCCTTAACGCCTTTTATTAACGGCATGTGTACATTAGATCACGACATATCAACTGCAACGGTCCAGGTATTTCTTTGTGCTCAGACCCCTGCAAAGAGGCTGTCTCTTGCTTGATGTGATAACGTTACTCGATCGGACAGGACACACGGTGACAAAACGCTGACATTTCTAACAAAAAAAAGGCCGAAAATACCCAAGACACCTGAGCGGTTTAATGTTTTTTTTTACCTTGAACAGATGTCCTCTGTCGTGCGAGTCACAAACAGAAAAACAGCACCTGGCTAAATGTCAGCTAGTGACAGACTCCGACCGAGGCGGACATGCTAGCCGTTAGCTTAGCTAGCCGGTCATTTCAGGAGCGGCAGCGTCATCTTCAGCGCTTCACTTCTCCGCCGCGGCTTCGGTTGAACACACGAACTAGAGCCGGTTTCATGGCGGCGGGGTGGACCCTTTGAATGCCGGTGGTGCGCAACTTGGGGAAAGCAAAATCTCGGAAGATATCAAATTAATGTACCTTGGATGAGGCTAAATATTCAGTCAAGATGGCTTGAAAAATACGCCCCTTTAAAAAAAAACACCTCGGCCAATTGTAGGTCGCCGCTCCAACTCGCGCTGCACGCGCACCGGTCTGTGATTGGTCCATGGGACCAACCGAACGCAGCGAACTCTTCCTGGAGCTCATCGCAGACGGAGGCGATGAGAAAAACAACCACACGTTTGTCGCGCGCCTTCTGTCTTCACCTCCATGTTCGTCTAACCATCCACCTTTTTACAGACTTCGATTAAAACATGCAGATGAGAATGTGGAACCTTTATTAATGATTTGACAGATAAATATTTAAAAACAAGTCATTTACATATATAACCATCTCCATTTACTATACACAGATATTTTCTGAGATTTCCATTATTTGTCTGAGAAAACTAGAAAAATATCTGCTTTCGCATGGTGGCAATGAAATTGTACTAAACAATCTCAAGCTTTGTCAGTCAAATCATTACTATCATTCATGTTTTTAATTTGCTTAAAACACAGCTGTTCAGATGGTTCTTTCCATTTGACAGGACAGTTATTAGATCGAGGCATGTCAAAGTCCACTATGATCTTTACAAAATTTAAGTTGGAAGGAATGAATATGCCATCACATGCCAGTTACAGAACATTTTAACATAAATTTGAATCATTGTTGCAGACTGGTTTCTTCAAATTGACAAAGCTTTTATTCCTAAACTGAAAATATGATATGTCTTCTTCAGTCTTCATCTAAGTTAAGTAGTAGCTTGTTGAGGATAGAGCATACTGGACTAACCCCTGTTCCTGTGAGTCTTAAATCATGAATATTTTTCATCTGTACATGTTAAATGGATTTTTAGTCATTTCCATTTTTTTTTTCTGTCAGTGGGTTTTTCTTTGGTTCTGTAAAGACATTTCATTCTGAAATCATCCTCACAGGATCACATTGGTCTATATCTTGTCTGTGGTTTCTTTTTATATTAGTGGTACACAGCAGAGTAGAGAAATCCTAACATGCTTTAAAAATACAAATTTTTGTGTGCATTTTTTTTAGTTTATCGCATTTTTCAAGGACTGTGTCATCCTTCCTATTTGTGGTTTGAACGCTTTGGTTCACATACAAATATACCACAGAGCTAAACTTTTGCCTTTTACATTTATACGAGGAAACAACTATCAAATATTTTTCCACCTCACATGTTCACATGCAACACAATCATCTTATTTGAATGAACTACAGAAGACAAGGGAAATGATTGTTTAATCACAACTTCATATGAAGTTCATTCTTTCTTTTCATGTGTACAAAGCTGTCATCGGTAATTTCATTCTACAACACTTCTTTTATTCCTTGACAGACACCACTTGCTAGCTGTCCAAAAAAAAAAAAGTTCTTTATTTTTTTCTCCACCCACAAAATCTTCATTGGTTGTCTCCTCACATATGAGTTTGGAAAACGTCCTCCTGCAGCTCACTGGTGTGAGATTGCAGCTGACGCACTGGTCCAGCATTCGCTTTGTGGACTCTCAGGTAGTTATGCATTCTTCTTTTTACTGATCGTCATTTTTAAGCATTTGTAAGTATTTTTGAATCCATGCATTGTATTAAATCTAGACATGTGCAAGTTATTTTTAATGCTTGTGTCAATCATCTGATACACCATCCAAATCTGCTGTTTTATAACTTGTAGGTCAAAAGCAAGAAAAGACAGGATGCTGTTCTGTTTTATTCTCGTGTCGGGGTTTCTGCTGGACGTCGGAGTGTGCGCTTCAGGTAAGGGTTTATTCTGTCTCAGGTTAATCTAATGACAGGGTACTAACACAAAATATCAGTAGTACAGATTTACCAGAATCGTGTTTTTCCTCGATGTAATGGAGAGTCAGAAAGTCTGCATTTGAAAAAATTTGAAACAAAAGTGGAAAAGAAAGTTCTGCCTGCTTATACTTCAAAGTTTGACCCGGTCAGTTTATTTTTCTTCAGCGCGCTTGCAGCTTGCTTTTTTACTTTGCCAATTTCCTCGTGTTTCTCTGCAGGGTTTTCTTTGAAAATTCTCAAGCTTGACAAGACATAAATAAATGCACTGTCAGCTCGGATGAATATCAAAGAGTAGCACCACATCCTGTCCAACTCTTGAGGAAAAACAGAAAAGGAAGCAAGCCAACTGACAATCTTGCTTAAAAAAAATGGCAATAAATCAGCTCAGTGAGGCAAACAAAGACTCTGTGTTTCACAGCGGCCAAAAAGTGACAGAGGCTTGAAGCGCTCATATACGTGTCGTCCTCTGAAAAGGAGGATCTGATGGTTGTCAGGATGACCCTGTGGTGATGGATCCCCAAGGCCTTGGCCTGAATTGGGGCTTTTGATACTCTTTGACTGCCCTCCCATAGCACAGTGCCATGCTATTGATTAAAGTTCAAATAACATGCTGCTCCATATAATTTTAGGTTGCACAATGCTGACAAGAAGGAGTGGAAAAATGCCAGATCTGTAGGATACCGGAAAGTCCTTCTGACCACATAGTCATACATTCAACCCCAATTTCACCTCAGACATGTCATTCTTTCAAAAGCAAGCCTGAGGATGAACTATATGGATTTTTATTTGTTCTAAGGCTTACTTTAAGATATCCCATTATTTCTTCAACATTCCTGACATGTCTCTTGTCATTGATAACGTTTTATCTGTGTAAATTATCTCTATTTATATTTTTCAAACATGCTAACTATTCATCCAGCTCAAGAATACAAATCGTCATCTAGGGGCCAGGAATATTTCCCAGGCACATTTGATGCATTTTTAGACTAAAATATCCAAATAAAACAAAATAGATAATCAACTCTTATCTCCCCTAAAATTCAGAAAGCATTCATCTTTGTGTTGTGTTTGTGAAAAATGTGTCTAATCTAAAGCTGAAGCCTTTTAATTTGTTTTTTCCCCCTTCAAAATCAGTGCAATCAGAGATGAGAATCACAACTATTAAGGTAATTGATCAACGTCTTTCTTTTGTGGGGGGTTCCCATCACAATGAATATTGTAATTACGAAGAAGAATTTCCCCTGATTAATCATTTTTTTACCTTCTTCTTTAAGCAAGAGCCATACACGATGTCTAAAGGAGCTCAGCTCGAGGGTTTTTGCATGGACCTGCTCTCTGATGTGGCCAAGAGAGTGGGCTTCAAGTACAAAGTACAGCTGGTGAAGGATGGTTCATATGGGAGGCAGGATGAGAACGGGAACTGGAATGGGATGGTTGGAGAGGTGGTGCGAGGGGTGAGCACAGAAAAACTGTAATTTACTGGGGTCCCTGTAGATAGATGATTATTTGTGCTGTTAAACTGACAGAATGACTTAAAGAAGAACCTTACTACTTCAATGATCAAATACTACATCAAGTATTTTCTGGTAAAACTAATCTGTGTCAATGCATTCTCAACAGGAGGCAGACCTTGCAATTGCCCCGCTGACTCTCACCGCAGCCCGGGAGAAAGCTGTGGACATGACCAAACCCTTCATGCAGACAGGAATCAGCATCCTGCTGAGGAAGGACATCTCTGAGGGAACAGACTTCTTTGATTTCCTGAGCCCATTCACGGCAGAAACCTGGGTCGGCATACTCATTGCCTACCTGGGGACTGCAGCCTCCATCTTCATTGTTACCAGGTCAGAGAAGAGTGTGGTTTTGTTTTTAAGTGATAATACTGTGGTTTACACCAATGTGTGTTATAGTGCATCATAGTGCTATAGTGCTCATGTTGATAATGAAGTTTGTTGTTAAGTTTGTTATGAATGCAAAATGCAGAATCAGCCCGTGTGAGTGGACTGAGCCTCAGAGTGAGCAGAACAGGTTCAGTTTCCTCCACAGCCTGTGGTACGCAGCTGGAGCCCTGACTCTACAAGGTAAACATCTGAGCAAACAGACAGGTGAAATGACATCTGTTAACTGGAGCAAATTTTTGCACATTTGAGTTTAACAATAAAATTATTATAAAACATCTAAATGACTGTGTCCTGCATGGAAAGGAACAGGTGTTGTTTTTAGTTTAACTTAATCTCTTCCATTAAAGTAATTTCCTTTTGGGACAAAGTCATTTTTTCATTTCAGATTAGCACAGTGTCTGTGCTCTTTATGTGAGAGAGATAAAAAAAAAACACAACAAAAGAGGAAGTTACATTTCTTTGACACAGATTTTCTTGAAACCACTTCTCTCTCTTTGTGGACATCTAATGTTGTGTTTCAGGAGCTGGTCCTCATCCCAAAGCCGTGTCTGGGCGTGTCATCTGTAGCACCTGGTGGTTGTTTTCTGTTGCCCTCCTGGCTTGTTACTTCTCTAACCTCACTTCATCTAAGACCCCAGAGTCCAGTCACCTGACAGTGAAAGGATTTGAAGACTTGGCCAATCAGGACATGATTGAGTATGGCTGCTTGGCCGGCTCTTCCACGCTTGCTTTCTTCAAGGTGAGTATGAACTGGGCTCTGTATTGTTTAGACTCAGTATAAAAACTTTCTCCTCTGATTCATCTCTCTTCAATTCAGAATTCAAACAACCCAGTGTACCGCAGAATCTATGAACACATGGAAAGGACGAAGAGTTTTGTGTCAACTATGGAGGAGGGTGTCCGACGTGCAAAAGAAGGGAACTATGCATTCATTGGAGAGTCCGTTTCTTTGGATTTGGCCGTAGCACGTCATTGTGAGCTGGTCAGAGCCCATGAAGTCATTGGCATGAGGGGATACAGCATTGCTGCTGGGCTCGGTGAGGCTGTTCATCCTAAACTTAAACTAGCCCATGAAATTTCAGGAATTTTCAATCAAGGCAAAGTCCAAATCATATTGAAATATTCTTCTTTTCTTAAGGGTCCCCAATCATCAAGAATCTCAGTGTGGCAATCCTTCAGCTGAGTGAGGCTGGGGAGCTAGCTTACCTGAGAAGCAAATGGTGGGCAAGCAGCTGCATAGCAGACAAAGGAAAGTCCTCCGTTGTGCAGCTGCACAGCCTCAAGGGGATGTTCCTGGTTCTCTCTCTGGGCCTCGGGCTTGGGATACTTCTAGCTGTGCTGGAGCTCACCCTCAAGAGTCGTAGGAGTGCAGCGGAGCAAAGGGTACGTTCAGCCGTGCACCAGTTGACGGCACAGGATTTTCACAATGAACCATGAAAGTGTCTGTTTATGAATTTGATTGATTTAATTACATAAAACACAGTCAAGAACTATGTAGTTCTTCATCTGTCTACAGACTACTTTACTTCAAAGTCATCAGTGTGATACACTTAAGCGTTTTACTCTTCATCTTCATCTCTCCACAGAAAACATATTGCTCTGTGCTGACCGAGGAGCTGAGCCTGCGCTTAAGGAACAACAATGCAAACAAACCCCAGGAAAATGTAGACAAAGAAAAAGCATAGAAAATTAACACAAAAAAAGTTTAACTGAAAAGTGTGTTTCTTTGAAATTTTAGGTTGAATTAGTTCTAATATTTAACAGTATTTTAACCTCTGGTGTATCGCTAAAAGCATCTTATTAAAAAAAGGGAAACCAGCAAAACTCACATTTTATTAAAAAATATATAATTTATTGATTTCTCCTTAAGAACTCTGAAACTTAAATGAAATAAAAACATTGAACTGTATGAAAATGTGATTGTTTCAATTTTACATTTCAAATCTGAAAACTTGTCTGACAAATTGAATTGATGTATTGGGACTATTTTTTTTATACCGTTTACAGCTGTGCTACAAGCAGTTGTACAGTTGGCAGCAGCATCATGTGATTTAATCAGCTAAAACAAACATGCAATAATTCACTGATTGTAAACATTTCAAATGGTCTGCGAAAACACAAAAAAGACTGGGTTGTTGTGTATTTCAGCTCCATGTCAGCACTTCTTTGTCAGTACTGCTCCTCTTCACAAGTCCTTTTTGTGGTTTTCAGTTGTTTTTTTCTCCTCTGAATAACTTCTGTGTCTTGGATATCATGAATCTGAAACATAATCTAATCAATAAAATAAAATAACAGTTAAATCAAATGCCAGTCACCGTTGCTTTTGTGAATGCACATTTTCGCTTATGTTTGTTTGCTTTTACAAATGTGACTCACCATCTAGAAAAAGCGGGGATTTACAGCGGATCTCTCTCATCTTTTGGTCAAAAAGGGCCTTCATCTCCCTTTGCAGGGTGCCCTCCCGTTGCTCCGCCCCGACTGGCACGCAGGCGTGCAGAAGCTCCAGGCTCTCAGTGCTGCCGTTGCTGCTGCTGGACGTGCTATCGGACAGACACAGACCGTTGGGTATGCGTCCCACCTGGTTGTTGTAGCTGCCATAGTTCTGTGTCTGCTGCTGGAAGACAGGCCTGCGGTTCACCATGGGTGTCTGAGGAGAGGTAGTCGGTTTGCGAGGGCAACTGCGTGATCGCACCTTTGTTCGAACGGGGTTTGAGGGAGGGAGTGGCACTGGAGTCCCTAAGGTCCGTCGGACTCTGGGAGGGGATGATGGGGGAATAAGTGGGGAGGATTTGGCTTCATGCAGTGGTACAAAGTGAGGCCGGGGGACTGAATCGGTCTGACTCTTCATCTGTGGTGGTTGCTCAGGTTCGAGAAAAACATCATCATTTGACTCTGCTTCTGCTGGTGTTAATCTCTCCTTTGATTCCTGCTCTGGTTCAATTGTTTCTCCTGTCTGCAACTCAGCATGGACTGACTGTGTTTCCTCTTCCTCCAAGACTTTGGGATGAACTTTATTTCTGACGTCCAGTGCAGGGCTATCAGGACAGGAGAGCTGGGGAGGGGTGTCCAGGTCAAAGCTTTCTTCTTTTACACAGGGAGCTGCCCCGCTTGGGTCAGACTCAGTAGAGGACATCCGGCTTAAGAACCCTCTTATTGTCTCTGGTGGTTCATGAATCTTAACTCTGTGAGCTCGCTTGACTGGTTCACTCATGGCCCCTTTGTGAATGGCAGCTTTGGCTGCAGGCCCGATCAACACTGGAGACATTTGCCCATTTCGGCTGTCCTGTGAGATAGTGTCCAAATCCCTACGGAAGAACAGAGCGGGTCCATCCTCTGAGGACAAGACAGAGAAGTCTATGGAAGGCTGCCTTTGGTGGCCCTTCATATGTTTCTGGGCTGCTTTTTGGATGTGTTTCCGAGCTGCTTTCACAGCATAAGCAGGTTTGATCTGCTTTGCAAAGGAAAGATTGTTAGAGACTGGATGTAGATGAAATGCTCTTCACAAGTTTAATCTAAAGAACAAACATACCTTTCCTGTAAAGTCATTGATAGCAACATGAACAAAGATTGATGATTCTGCCATTCCCTCCAAGTAGACATGCCGGTAACCTTTAAAAAAGAATTATACAGTTAATAGCTGTCATCCCTCATCTGGCTGCTAGAGCATGAAAGAGATACCCGGAAATAGTCAGAAAGCCTTGCCAAAGTAACCCCAATGTGGTCTCTGCTATGTCCCATAGTGAATGCCTCACAAGCTGTAAAATGCATCTAGTAGTTTATCAGTGGGAACTGAGAAACAAAGCTGCAAAAACCTGTGATGCTGCACTGAGACAAGACCACACGCTTTACATATTCATACAGACAATATTTCCTGGAACCCCTCATGCAAACGTTGGATTTTTTTGGATAAATTCATAAAACCGACCAAACTGAGATTTGACCGCATAACCAACCTGACATCATGCTGGAGAAAGCTACAGTTCTCTGTCCAATGAAATCTCGCCCAATAGGATCGTGGTCCCACACCTGGAACCTAACCAGAGCAATCTGTGGCATTTGAATGTTGAAGACAAGGGTCTCCTCCCACATTGGATTAAAACCTGAATGACACAAAGTAAAAGGCTGATACAAACTGAACTGACACCGACCTGCAATGGCATGATTAAAATTTTCAACTCACCGTTGTCATCCACCACTCTGGTCTGCTGCTTGGAGCAATCGACAGGTAGGCCAATAATCTCAACTTCAACAAAGGGATCAATGATCTGAAGGCACAAAAAAAGACACATTAGATCATGTTATTTAATGCTCTTCATACTATTTAACAAGGTTTTCTTTCAGGTTGAATAATGAGCCTCAGGATTTATATCAGCTGTGTGTTGTGGCTTCACCTCTCCTCGGTCCCCAAGCATGGAGTCTTTAGGTTTGGGAAGTTGCTGTCCACTGATGATCTTCAGAACCAGCTGAGTCTTTTTATGTCCAGGTAAGGGATCCTCCAGCATGGGGTTAAAGGCAGCTGAAAAGAGCCAGAAGTGTTTATTCCTCTTTCACATGAAGATCACTGCAATCCACTCGACAGTCCGCGTCGGGTCATACCTTTACACATGTACTTCGGCTTCAGGATGTATCCACAATTTCCATTGCTTAAAAACTTGGCTCTGTACAGTTCAAGCATGCGACCCTCTGTTTGGTAATTCATAGCAACTGAAACAACACGATGGCCTGTCAGTTAAAAGTTAAGGTCTAGTCAGACTGCACCCTAGACAGTGGAACACACTTACCCATGTGGCATCCTGAATTCCAATACGTCTGAGGGTTGAAGTTGCTGGAGTCCACTCGGTAGTTCGATGGGTAGACCCGCAGAAGCTGGCGCTGGTTAAAACGCACCAACTCGCCCGGCTTCAGCTGTAAAATCTGGTTCATCACGGTTTCATTTAGAGATGACACCTGCCAACTGCTTGCAAATCCTGCCAGATAGGAAAAGACCACAGCATCAATCACCCCAAGCTGACAGTGTGTTGTCACAATAAAAACACGCCTCTACTTTTAATCATCACTTATTTTACCTTGTGTTTCTATGTCGTGCACACGGACAGATTTTGTGTACTTGATCAGGTCAGACAGAGCCCGGGACAGCCTCATTGTTTTCCTTTTTCTAAAGATGAAGTTTAAGAGGTGCAAACGTTACCTCATGTATTGAGAATTTTGGATGAATAACAGTTCTGTTTAATCATGGGCCTCACTTTGGGTGGTAAGCAATTTGAGCTCTCTCCCGGCTGTTGCTGTAGTCGGATTCACCATCAGAAAAGGCCTTATTTTTCAAACCTATTTTCTTTTTCCTCTGAAAAAGAAAAACAGTTGTTCGGAAACCCCATTTGCATGCTTCTGCCAGGAAGATGGAGCGGTTGCCTACCTTTCTTTTGAAGCTTCTAATAATCGATCTTCCAAATCGTTTCTTCTTTTGGGCCTGATTGGCTGACGTAATGTTATTTCCCTCCTGAAATGGACAAACTGTATTTGTACATGTTTCCATTCTTTATTCTATTCCTCCATCCATGACAGATATACTTGTGAGTTGTTCTCATCGTTGTCTTCCTCCTCTTCCTCATCGCCAGTCTCTTCATCAGACACGTCGCCTTCTTCTGCATCAGGATCAAGGTTTGCTGGCAGCTTCTTTCCCTTAAAAAACATGAGCAAAAAACCTTTAGGCTGAACAATTTGAGGCTGGTTTGAAATGTTTAATGTACATCATGCTAGAATCTGGGCCGAACATCACTGGACTGGGTTGATTCTGTTGATCAAAACTGCTGTACCTTGACTAAAACTTTCCCTTTGAGGATCTCCGGAGAAGGCAGCTTCTTGCATTCATGCACGTTGACGTTGGTCAGGTCCAGTTTGTCCTGCAGCACCTCTCTCAGATACTCAGCCATCTTTTTCTGCTGAGGCACTGTGCAGTGGTTCTCTATGGATAAGATAACTGGGTACCTGCAGGTGAGCCAGCAGGACACGCTGACACAGTTTGCAATGACAGCTTGAAAAGTCATCCACCACTGTGAGAACAGAAAAAGTGCTTACTGTGATTTTGTGAAGGCATATTTGTTAATCGTCTCAACGACATCTCTGAAGAGAATTTTAGAGGTCAACGTGTAGCCGTGATGAATAATGGGTTCTCCGTCTGGTCCATCCCAGCAGTCCACTTTGAGTAAATAGAAATGCAAAAAACAAAAAAAGATGGGGATAGTTGTTTGTCATTCTGAGAATAAAAAACAGTAGACTGCACAGAGTATGCGCTTGCGGACTCTCACCCTCAACACAGCGACAGCCCGCCTGGAGAACATAGGCGTACATCTCCACTCTGGACTGGGAGAGCAGCTGATCTCCTGTCAGGTACGTGTTGTGTGAGGTGGCAATGAAGTAGTTACAGAGAGGCTGCGTCATGTCCTGGTTGACCTGATTGTGCTCAGGGTTGAAGATGTCACCTGCAGGACTTCGCATGTAGTTGGTGAAACCTAAAGGAAAAGTTTCAGGCCAGGTGTTCTCTTTAAGATCATTTTTCAAAACCGTTTCACGTTTTACTGGGCTAACGTCATGCTGCTGATTAACTCTTGTGTCGTTTGCACATACCGTCAATGCCCAGCACCATGCGCTGGAGGTTCATAGGACAAGGTTCAAACTTGGATACAATGTCAACCAGATGCTCCCTGGTCAGACCTCGCATCTACAGAAAGATAAAACTGAGTGATGCCGTCCTCTGGATGTTATACTATCTGACAAATATAGCTACATCTACAATAGTCACAATTAAAAGCTTTTCTTTCTCACTGAATTTGATTCAGTTCTTAAGAATGTTTTACAATAAATTTGGTCATCACTACATATTTGAATATCTGTTTCTTTTAAGAAAGCTGATGTATCAGTCATCAGTGTAATCATCAAACATGAAAAAATTCAATCAAAACGACAAAGTAAAAAATAGACAGACATGTCATTGAAACAGACATTGTATATGAACTTTCTGAACTGACAAAAATACTTGGACGACTGACATTGTTTCATCCAGCTGCTGGCAATAAAGCAGCGGAACAAAATGTGGATTTCCAGGGATGAATGCAACATTTTGGAAACATTTTGGTGCATCCAACATGATGGCAACAACTATTCATTTAGGTTCAACTGACTGAAACTACTAATAATAACATACAGTAATCAAACATTTCTTACTAAGACAACAGATGCTTCCCAACTTGCTTTTACCTTTTGTTCATTTTCCAGAAATCGTGCAAGGTCGTGTATGTCCATAACTTCCTTCTGGTTGCTATAGGAGATCATTATCAAGTAGAGGTCTCTACGTGTGGAAATCATTTTGTAGAAAGAGCAGAACTCGTCAAAGCCAAGAGAACCCTGGATGTCATCTGTGTCTGCTTCCTGTGGATAGTGACAAAACTCGGTTATGAGATGGGGAGAAGTCCCTGACAGCCACCATGCCAAAGAATACACGCATTCACACACTCGTCAGATGAATGGTTTTGGAAGTAAGATCTTACCTGAAACATCTCCCTGACTTTCTGCTTGGGTAAATTCACATTGAGTTTGTGGAGCAGCTGGTGAACCTCTGCAATGCTCAAGGTGCCGTCTCCGTTTTTATCAGCCTCAGAGAAAGTCTGCTGCAACCATGTGGAGCTCCAGTTAAGGCTCACTCACAGATCAGAACGCATCACATGTACTTTTCACACACACACAGTTGATCAGTTTTCCCTTCGGAGCCGGAGAATGGGAGTGAGCTGCTGCATAAAGGATATTGATCTCGAGTGCGTTGCCTGCGGGCCAAACTGTCTTCATCACTGATGCCAGCCAGGAGGTATTTCAGCCCGGTGATCCAGGTCCGAGTCTCCTCTCCGTTGGTGGAGACAAGATCCAGGGATTTCACACGCTCACCGTAGTAGATACTGAAGCAGCAGTTCGGGTCAAATCGATTGTCTGCATAACGCCTGAAGATCTCTGACTTTTTACCCTCAAAGACCTCGTGGATGGAATCAATAGATACTGAAACAAGACCAAGGCGGACATTTTAGATCAGTCAAACTTATTTTCTTTGAAAGTCTCTCTCACACCAGTATAACAAAACTTAGTTGTGGGCGTAAACATATTCCAAGTGTCATTAAGTGTTTTTTTTTTTTGCCACTCTGTCACTTAAGTAAATCCACTTCAGGGATGCTTCTATCTTTAATAACAATGTCATCTCTTTACAGCTGCATCCTGAACATAATATGCACAAACAAATCAGATTGTTTACTCAGCAATTGGAGTAAACAAGTGTGACAGCATGATCCAGCCATATGCCCCTTTACCAGTTTGTTCAATTTCTTTTATTGTTTATGTACTTCTATGGGCAAGTCAGTGGCCACATGCTCAGCACTGCTGAGTCTCCCCCGAGGTTCAAACCCAACCCCAAAATAAAATCATGTCATTTCAGAATGGTCATCACGTACTTTTAGCCTTGTCGTGCTTTCTGGATGGCCGCCATCTGATGCAGGATTTGTGCTCGTCCAGGTAAAAGAATCGCACCAGTTCTTTCTTCTTTCCTTTCAGTTTGGTCATCTGGGTGCCAGTCTGCATAGTGCACATACACCTCTCCACTACGGGCGAGCACAATGGAACACAAAGTCAATATTCACACGTCTTTCCGTCCATTAGGATCCTAATTAATCGAGAATATTTCTAGTGCGTGTTTATGTCTTTAAAGAGAAAATATATGATAATCACTGTTATAACTGAGTCATCTTGTTTGAAAATGAAAATGGCACAACTGTTTTGAGTGGAAATGCATCCACTCTAACTACTCTGAGGGAATTAATAAAGCAGTGTCTATGATCATAGATATACCTGTGAGCACTTCTTTATCAGATTATGGACTGCGTCATACGGATTTAGGTGCCTGTTTACATGTCATTGATAAGGTACATTGATAAAGGTAGACGAATAGCTTGATTTCTGTTTTTAAATTACATTCATAGCTTTCAGGTCATTGTAAAGATATTGTTTTGTTTACTGTGTGCAGGTAACCTTTGTTTTTAATCTGAAGGTCAGAAACATGTGATGCAACCTGGCACCTCGTTCAGGCTAATCCTGAAGGATTGTCTGCAGTCCATATGTCCATTATCCACTTCTCTGTTGTATGTGTAATAGAACCCATTTGGAAAATGTAACTATCATAAGATCATGTTGAAAATGCATCATTATTGTCTTCTTTGTCGACTTCAAAGACATAAAAACTTTAGTTTGTTACATATTGTAAGCATCTTTTCAAAACATTCTTTGTTTTATTACAGTTATTTGAGTATTTTAGAGTGAAATTATTAACAAGCTGTATGTGGGTCTTACCCATCTGACCCAGCCTCCATTTAGGCTGTGCAACTACACTGCCTCCAATCCAGAAAAATTCCTCTGCAAGTCTGGAGACAGATGCTTTGTGCCAGAGTTTTGGCGAAGTCATAATGGAATGGTTGGGTGAATTCACGGGGGTCGAGGCTCGCTTGGCCTGACGAGCAGGGCGCTTAGCCAGAGAGGGAGAGAACGGTCCTGATGATAGAGATCCCAGAGATGGAAAAGCATTCTTTTTAGATGACAGAGAGGACAGTGGAGGACTGCCACTCAGTCCTGGAGACTGCGGTGCCATTTCCGGCCTGATGTTCATTCCTGAACTGTACATTTGGTTCCACCTCTCCTGTCCCATCCACTCCACATGGACGCACCTTCTTCCTCACTCTGCTGTCCTCACCAGAAAGGTGTCACCGTGGGACACTGTCTCAGTGGTATCATGTCCTCCTTTTACCGTCAAAGTCTGCGCACATGGGATCAAGGAACAATATTCCCACATTGTAGGTCCATTCCCTGTTCGGCTGTGTTCACAGATCCAGAAAAAACAGGCATGAGCTATGACTATACTTTTTTTATGGGCACGGAAGCGACTGTTAGAGTGGAAGCCTGCAACTTGTGTGAGTCGCTAAATCTTCCTCAAGCTGTAATCCCACAGTGAGGCGTCAGCCTTGTTTTCATGGAGGGATTTTCGTGTTGCCTTTAAGCCTCTGAAGAACGGGACCAGGACAGGAGGGGTGCAAATGTTGATGTTACCACACACTGATTTCACGACTATTACAAAATGAAAGAATTGAGGAAAATCTATTAGACTGTCTGCATGACAAACATTTTCAGGGGTTTATGGTTGGACCTTTATACAAGCTATAAACAAGCGTGTCCTCCCTTCAACTTGGTATCTGAGTGTCCCTCTACAGGCGACAGAGCAACATGCTGGGCATGCAGAAACTGTTTACCTGCAGCATGGTGAGGACATTCAGTCTCGTTTGAAAACAATTAGACTAGATAACATGTGTATGTGTTGTTTTTCGTTTTCAGACATTAGGCTCATTTAGGGGATTGTGTTTGTATCATAGTATGATTGTGTAAATATATGAAATAACTTCACTTTTTGGTGAGTGTCCAATCTAAAGGACTTCAATTTAAAACCATCAGTTTTGCATGCTGTTTTACACAGCAAAGCCAAATAGCGGTCAGGATTTTTCCTGAAAAAAGGAGACTTCAGATTTCTTTGAGAAACACTAGTGAATCAATGTGACATGTCTATCACTTTACATTACATTATATTTAATCATATTATTTAATAGTCAGATATTAAACAGATCGTTCATGAGCAATATTTGCAAACATCATAAAGTAATGATCCAAAGGAAGCCAAGCTCTAGAAACAATTTTTTTCTTGGCATGCTTCACTTTTCTGCCCATTTATTTGACAGAATATATATTTCAGTTTTGTCCTGAGGAGAATGTGACATACTGAATTCTCTTTTTTTGGGAGTGTTTTTAAAGTCAGTTTGAACAAAAATAACATACCCAGAGCTCAAATAAATGTATCCACACATACAAACATGCAAAAAATAAGCAAACTCAGTAAAACTGATTTAGATTTTAATGGGTATTATACAAGTTTTCTGAAGGAAAAAGAAAACATTGAAACAAGAGGCAAGTGAAAACCCACTTCCAGACCAAAACTACAACAGCATCAGCTAACAAAATGGATATTGCTATTACACTGTACCCAACAAATACTGAGCGAGGGTATCATATCGATAAGACATAAAAGTGTTTTCTTGGCTGATATATACGAAAGCACCCAAAAAGGTTTAAACCATGAGAAGGTGTCATTTACTGTTTTAGCTGACGAAGGAGCTGGAAGTGCAGATAATTAGAATCCATTTGTCAGTTTTTGGTTTGAGGTGTAATATATACTCTATAATTAATCAAATAATAAAGATCTTTTTTGTTTTTAATCGAGGGAAGATTATAGTATACTATTTGAGTGTCTAACCTCCAAAAACTGCTGATAGGTTAACTTCACAACCACAGATGGATAAAACCAACAGCCCCATCTGTTCTGGTACATGCCCTGTGATTGCAAAAATATTCAGGGAACAGCAACAATGAAGGTATTAGTTTTAAAAATCCAAATAGTCTCTTTTTGGTTTCAAGTAAGAGAAAAAAATCCATAAACAATTTTAGTCTGGTGCAAGCAAACATATCATACCAACAAATATCTTATTTACAATATCATTGTATATACATCAGATGATACTGGGGAGTGTGTGTTTAATTCCAAAGTCCATGTTAATTTATGATCTGAAAAAATGTAACAGGGAGCACAGTTCTTTTGTTTAAAAAGTGCAATTACTTTTCTCAAAGTAAAAAAATATATATCCTTTTTTGTGTATACATGTAGAAATATTGTTCATACAAACAGCAACTGTTCATTTAAGAGCCCTAAAACTATTGACTAAAAATGAATACTGTCTGTTGTTAGATAGCAAATTTTGTACCAAAATTTTTTGCAGCAAAGTACCGCATTTCAACATAAACCGACACCTGTTGAAGTTCTGATTTTCTTTTTCTTTTTTCATAAGGAGTTTGGTTGTAGACTAATGTGGATGTTTGTGGGCAAAATATATCTGCTATTCACTACAAGATCTGGGTGCAAAAACATAACTGGAAAACAACAAAGAGAAGTAACATTTCCATAAAATATCTAAGCAATAAACAATGGTGGACCTGAAAGCAGTCCACTCAGCCTCCAATACTTCAGGTTTATAGAATACAAAAGGTAGATAAGCTGGTATACATGCGTACATGTTTGTATATGGATGTTTATTTACTTGCCTGTGGAATAACAGTGTTACACAAGCGATATTTCATAAAAAGTACGACCTCTACACAGATATAAAAAGCAAGCGGGTATTTAAAGTAGATAGTGGTAAACTTGTGTCTCTTGTTTCCAGTGGTCTGCATTGACACCTCGGAGTGTACCAGTATTTTGTGGCACAAAGACTCGTCATCTGCTTATGTTTCTTCCCTTCATATTCAAGTAGTGTTGTGCGGCTTAATTTGCACATCTTAGAATAGCTTATACCAAACAAAATACTAGGACAGCGTAAGGAGGGCTCTGACATTTTTGAAAAGAAGTGTTCATCACTGAAGAAGTCGTTCTTAGTTCCACGCTCTTTAACATGCTCATGCTACTTTCCAGTTCATGTCATGAAAGTCACACTGTCCCAATAATATTGATGTATAGTAGAACATATTATATATGACAAAAATTTTCCTCTACAAAAGTGACTTTGAGTTTTGATTTTTTTTTTCTTTCCCAAGAGGAGGTGTAACAAAGTCCTTGACCGTGCTCCTTTGTATCGAATCTTTCTGTCCAGTTTCAGATGTGCAACCTTAGGATCCGTTGCTGGGTTGTGTGGTCTGGCTGTGTGTGTCTGAGTTTGTGTCCTTGCAGTCTCCAGGAAAACAGCCGCTGGCCTGTTGAGCCAGCTGGCTCTGCAGGTCTTTCACTACGCTCTCCAGGCTCTGCCGAGCTTCTCTCTCCTGCTGAAGCTCCTGCCTCAGCTGCTCACGGTCGGCCTCCGCCTGCTGTAGCTGCACATGCAGCTCTTCAATCTGCGCGGCGAAAGCCAACAAACAGAGCGGTCAGTGTGTGTGGGACATGTGTGATGGACAGGATGGGGACTGGATGTAATCTTTTGGTGAGTTTGGGCGCATTTTGGCGGCGTCTTACCTGAGCTGAGTACTTGACCCGGAGACGTTCAGCCTCACAGCCTTTGTCACAAACTCGCATTTGCCTCTCTCTGTCCAACTCTCTTCTTAGCCGCCCGCAAGACTCTTCTGCATCCCTCATCTTCCTCTCCCAATCCACACGAAGGCGCTCAATCTCCTTTCGCAAATTGCGTTTTGCTTCGATGGCATCCCGAAGACGGCCTTTTTTGGCCACTGTCACAAACTCCAGTTCCTAAAAAAATTTCAATTTTAGTGACGGAGTTCATGCTAAAATTGCTTTCACTATGACCTATTTCTGGTTACAAAGCTGAACAACTCAGGTACCTGCTGAAGGCTGCGTTTGGCTTGCACGGCAGCTGCAAGCTTCTCCTCCTGCTTCATTCTCATCCTGACAATCTCCTGCAGGAGTTTTTCTCGAGCCTCTTTGGAGTCCAGGCCAGCATGCAGCATCTGCCTCATGATGTCCATCTCTGGGCAAACTGTACCTGCCAGCCAGGAAGGTTTCTCCTGAGCCCGGGCCCCACTGTGAGGTGACACACTCTGAGGCCCGCTGGTGAAAGCCAACGGGGGTGAAGTCAGGGACGAGGCTGGCGCTGGACCTGAGGAGAGATTTAGATTTGAGATTAGAAAGGGATACTGCTTTGTAAGAAGAACAAATAGAACATATTTTACGACAAAATAGCGCTACGTGTTTTTATGGAAGCAAGCATTGAGCCAAGTTCTTCCTTTTCCCTGCACTTCTTCTGTTTGACACCAGATGGTGCAGTTGTACAATCATCACAGACAAGGAGCTCCTTCTTGGCTCATTTCAAGTGTTGCTCACTCACTGTGCAGCAAAACTTCAAACTGAAGAATCCCTGTCTCACACACTAGTTGTGTAACGCCTCACTGTTTTATTTCTATGATGTATGATAGGTCAAGTTGACGGTTTGTACTGACCATCATCGCAGTCGTCCACATCGATCTCTCCGTCCGTGTCTAGGTCGTCGGCTCGATCGGTGGGGATAGAATGGGCTGATTTTGCTGTGGGCTGTGTGTCACCATTATGCAGATCCTGAGTGGAAATGGCTGTGGGCCCCCTGCCAGGAGTGTGGCTGTCCTTGTGATGGAGTAAGGGGGCCAGGGGAGCTGGCAACGTCTCCTGATTCCGAGAGCAGGACCTGTCAGAAAAAATAAAGCATATTTAAAGCATGAGGGCTTCCTTTAACAGATTACAATAGCGCTGTTTCTATTCTATTCTATATTAATTATTCAGTAGCTAGACAGTCATATATCTGTGTGTGTAGGGGGGGGGCTCACCTCTCTGTCTCAATTTGAGAGGCTGGTTTCTCTCTCTCTGTTGCTTTAGGAGACCAGGGGCGGAAAGCAGAGGGCCTCTGTTTCAGCTGGGCCTGTTTCAGATCCTGGAACAACCAACAAGAACAACAACAAGCTTAGTCAAACTTAGTGAACTACCACTAGAATGTTAAATCAGCCATGACGAAGACATTCAAAGACCCCTCTTCATCGAAACGGCCCAGATCACGAGAGGTCATACGTAGATGATAATGTAATGACTGAAAAGGACATCAGGTCTGGCGCTTCTGAGCTCTAAACTTAACGTCCCTCCTGGCTTCATACCAGCAGTGTAAACACACAGCGTACAAACCTTGTGCGCAGACTTGGATAGTGTTTGCAACCAGTCAGGCTTTCTGTCTTTGTCAGCTGATGGAGACTGTAATTTGTCAAATTTGGACCTCTTGGGTGGTATCGGGCTGGGAGACTGGAGAGGAAGGAGAGAAAAGCAGGTTAATCACTACCATCCGTGCAGAGAAAAAACAAAAAAAACACCCAGATATTACATCATCAGTTTATATTTCAAGAACCCACAACTCCAAACGTGTACGTGCAGCATCGCTGTAAATGGCGTTATTCATAAGTGGGACGTGAATTTGTCAGGACATGAAGCAGCGTTTTACAATCCTATTTTTTTTTTCACATAGAAAGAGCAGAAGGTCGTGGCGAGGGAGAAAATTATAGAGGAGTCACAGAAAGGCAAGGAGCACAGAAGATGTGTCTGTATAAGCATTCAGTCGGAGTTTGGCACGTCTGCATGTTTGTGCGTGTGTGTGTGTGTGTGTGAGAGCGTGTGTTTGTGAGCGGGGCTATGAGCTGAGCAGACACTCAAGCTGGTCTGGCTGGCAGCCAGTATGGCTACATCGCTCCCTGCCAGGGAGAAAGAGGCGCCGTCAGGTGGAGCAGATCGACTCCACCAACCACAGAAAATACAGCAATCCAGAGATAGATGCAGACAGAGAGGAAGGCGAATGAAAGTAATTTGCACTCAGATCTGAAGGAAGGTGGAGTAAAAGTTTTCTGAAACAGTTTCCCCCCCCGATACAGATCTGCCAAGTCATGTACAGTTTTGAGGGGATTCTCACAACCTGGGAAGGGAAGTATGTGATCTTGATAAGCGCCACAAAATGCCACATCCAACTTTTTTTTTTTCATGCCTACATGGCACGTCTTTGTGTGTGGCAAGCTGTTGGAGCAAGTGTTGAGAAACTAACCTCCCCAGCCCTCAGGTCTGCACTTGTCAGGGAGAGGATATGTTTACCTATGTAGGCAGCGAGGCCAGCACAGGCCTGCCTGTCGCTCCTTTACTCACTACAATGTCATCTTGCCTCTGGGAACGGCACACACCTCCATCTTCTCATGTGCAATTCACGAGAAATTATTACGCTCCCATTTCCTCAATGAGAAAACACTCCTGCGGGTTCTCACGTATTTGTAAAATCTTAATCGCAGCTTGGCTGTAATCGTCTAAAAATGGAAATTAATGATAAACTACATTTAGTGAAAAACCCAACTGGTAATGAATCATATCCAACACATTATCTGCACGGAGGCAGTCTCTGCATGTGCTCACGTAGCTGTGAGTGGGACGTGTGGGAAGGTGGGTGAGTGAAGGGGTGTAGACATGAATCTGTATGTGTGAGAGTGTGTGGGAGGGTATTTGTATTAGTAGGAGTGTTTCTGTGAGTCTCTATGAGGGTGGAGGCATTAAGTTGGGTCTGGCACGGCATACCTGAAATACAGATATTAATCCAACTAAGTCCTCAAACAAAATGAGTCATCTGAACTATTAATTTAAAACAATTTTAATAGTTTTCAAGCTGCCTATACAGTGTTTAATGGACAGGAAATTCTCTGCAAAAGTTATATCTGGGCTGTGGAAAAGCTGTGGTGGGTAATTTCTAAATAACTTTATGATGATTAAATGATAAAACGACAACTTCTAAACCTTCTAATCTAGTAACAAAACACAAGTTTCATTCTCAGCAACACTGTCAGATACATGGGGGAATTCAAATAAAACTTTGGAGACTAATAAAGATTTAAGATAAACATTGTCTTCATGGGAATCAACAACAGTAACTGTACAGGCTTCATAACTATTCATATATATAGATATAGATATACACACATATATATATATAGATATACACACATATGTCTGGACACTCCCGTCCAGTCTCCACCTGTCTAACCAGTCGCCACGTTACACACCTTTCACACACACAGAGCAGTGTTTGGTTTTGCTACTGTAGGTTAATTCTTTTAACCCAGACCTCCTCTGACTGAGACCTGTTCAGCGCTGACCCGACCCATCACCTGCCTAATTCCAGGCTAGTGGTATTCTAAGAGCTGCTGTACTGGTGTAATCAGACTCTGTAATTACTGACATGACTGTTGTTTTCCTGACAAAGGATGTCTGCCTGTCTGGTACTATTTCTACCCTGAGGTTAGCAGCTCCAGGAAGGCTGTGAGCACTAGACATAATAGAGCCAGAAAACAGACACTCCCAGACACCACAAGGGACCTGCTGGCTAAATATGACACTGACCTCACAGGAGAGCAGCCGCACAGGCTTTACTCACTACCACATCATAGACATAGCATGGCCATGGAGTCATAACACCCTGCTCGCACATCCTACTGCTTTGCAGGTCCCACAGGGCCTGGATCGGACGTCCATCCCTCCCTTTCTCTCACACTGGAAGGAGAGAGAGACTTCCTCTGAGGAGTTTGCTTTGGCTGAGTCCCCTGTGGGAACTGAGTCTTGAGTGGGAGGGGGGTGGGCCAGAAGAAGGGGACCACAGAGGAAGCTCTGAGCTGAAGGAATGTATACTTGAAGGCCAAGTACAGCCGACTCTTTCAGGCTCCATTCAAGCTTTGCCCTTTTCAACTCACTATTGTATGATATTTCTTTGAGGCGCTGTAATGAGTGAGCGGTTCAAAGCAAACCTGTGGGCTAAACAGAGTCTTATAGCAGATGGGCTAGAGCAGACATGCTTTATTTTTTAATTAGTGCTCCATAATACCATGGTAATACAAGCATAAGCCCAGGCTTTTTTTTTGCTTGAGGGCATGGCTGATAGCCATACACACAACACACTGTAAACATATCAATATCTATGCAAAGAACATGGTGAGGGACTAGTCTGTCTGACTGAATGATAATCTATTGATATCTTTCCAACCAGAGGCGAGTTTGTTTTTTCACCTCAACGTAGAGTTGAGGTAAAGTCTTTATTATTGAGTGCTTAAGTAAACTTGAGTAAAAATGCATTCATCCTGTCTTATGTCGTTTCCACAGAGCTAATGGTTGTTTAGCTTAGCATAAAGTTTAAAACCAGAGGGAAAAAGGTTGGTCTGGTTTAGTCATACAGTAAAACTGTCCATTGCAAATGGGTTTTTATTTTTTTTTAAGTCTGCATGATAGTTAATAGTAGTCTATCTTAAATGAGTTGAATAGAATATCTAAAATATTCCAGCAAATGTACCCACTGTGCAACCTCGTCGAGTTTGTACATTTTTCATGTTCTTCACAAAGCACACAGGGATAGAGGGCTAGAAAACAAGACTCCAGCATCTGTTGTGCAAAGGAAAAAAAACACTAATGAAATTAGCAAGAAACAAAACATGGCGCAGCACTCATCTGGTGAGACAAAAATAGTTCCCCCAGATGAAGTTCCTCGGGCAATGGTCATACAATACCAGCGCACACTGCATGATAGCACAGCATTAAGAAAAGTGCACGGCAACAAGACACAACAGTTTCAGATTACGGCCTCTTTTCCCCTCCTAAACCCATGAATGTAATCCCCAGATCGACATGTGCTTAGTGGGGCGCTGTCTCACTCAAGGGCACACCAACTGGCATGGCTCGCTCGGGTAACAGCCTTAGTTGGAAGTGAGAGAATACTAGTTTTGGTAATGTGATCCCTGTCGCTTGATGTAGATGGTCACGGGGAGCTCTCCATTCAATCAACGTAAATCGGATGACAGTCCCTTGATTTATATAAAGCCCTGTGGTCACCTCATATGGTAACAGCTGGGGGGAAATTATCTGTGTCTGCTCGGAATATCACTGAAACTTCATCCCAATCTCAAACACACAGCTTCCGTTTCTAAATCTTAGCCTCATTTATTAATTTGCCCTGTCTCCACTGTGTCCAGCATGAGGATATTTTGTTTATTTAGTGAAGTAAGCCATGGGAGCATGGTCACAAGAAGACAGCCGCAGGGTTTGGCATAAGGTCGGCATTACAGAAAGGCTTATTGGATTGTCCTAATTGTCTTTGGGATTGAGACTTGATGCGGTCTGAGGTGCATGCAGGACAAGCTGCTCTTCCTAAAGGTAGAAAATCTAATCAGATCTACACAGCTTGACACGTATAGCTTAAATGCAGAGAAACAGAACATTTGAGTGCTGGGAAATTGCACCATTCATGAGACTATATGTGCAGCGACAGTTGCATGCAGTTCCAAAGAATCCTCTTGTAACAAGCATGTGCTGCTCAGCCCCGCAGAGCTGCTGGCTGACACGCAGCAAGCCTTCAGTCGATCAACTAAATATAACTGATAGCACTACATAATCTATAATGAAAGAAGCAATCGCAAAATTCTGAAGCTAACTGCATTTATGTGAACATGAAAGTGAAATGTGAAAGGAGAAAGAGATGTCTTCGTGGAGCTTGTACACAGAAAACACATTCCCATGCATCCACCTTAAGCCCTGCTTTTTCTGACAAGACAAATGAATGAATGAATAACTACATTTTTCTTTTTTAAACCTTCTCTGCTATTTGAATTCAGTTATCTTTGCATTGGTAGCGTTTGAAAGACAGTTCATATGTTTGCCTGTTAGCCTGGTTTTGGATGGAATACAGCGTACTGCTGGGAAACAGATGCCTATTTTGTTGATACATATGGTGTATGCAGTGAAGACATAAGCAGAAAGCAAAGATGTGATCTGGAAAACCCAAACAGTGCGTTGATAGCCTTACACTCAGAAATAACGCTAATTTTTTATTTACATGTAAGTTGATTCGTTGTTAATATGATAATCTCCTTAACCGAGTCTAGTCAATCAAGTGCAACAGCACAGTGACCTTTTTCTAAACTAATTTAGACAGTGAAAGCGTTTTTTTCTGTTGAATTCATTGCACTTTCAGTATAACGAGAGAAACATTGTTAAACTACTTTTTAATTTAGGAATACACGTATTGACATGCAGACCGCTGGAAATCATTTTACAACCTGCATCAAGAGGACATATTATCCACATAATCTCCATCCACATTAAGTGTGGATGGAGATTTTTATTCATACGGAGGAGCTTCTTTTCCATTCAATTCACTTTATTCAACGCCATTGTGCGTCACATCCAAATCTGGATTAAAACTAATAACACTCACTAATCTCTAGCTGACAACT